CCCTCCCTCCTCCTCCACCATTACTCCTCCACTCTTATTCCCCCCTCTCCTAATCTCTACCCGGATTTCTCCGTTATTTTTTTCTCCTTTACCCTTTTCTGCAGGGTTTCTTTGGGAATAATCTTAATATTTGAGATCAAAATCTCTGTGCTTTGTCTTTTAATCTTTGCCCCCTTCCAAAAGTGGTGCCCGTTTGGGCTTGCCTGCCCTCCATTCCCCTCCCTAAGCGCCGCTATCGTCTATTCCTCTCAAAAGTCGTGCGCCTTTTCGCCTCTGGTGTCGCTCGTCGCCTCTCCGGCTGATCCTATCGCGCTTCTTTTGCGTCCGCTTCGTGCCTGACACCTACATCTGTCTTTCTCTTCTACCACCTCATCAGATCATCCGGCCTGCGCTCCTTTCTTTTCTTCTTTTTGGTCTCCCCATCCCAAAAGCAACGGCGGATCTCTCTCTCGTTTGCGTTCGCGTTTGCTCTTCAGACGGCCACGCTCGTCCCCCTGTGGGTAATCGTCGCAACTTGTTTCGTTGCTCTGCGTTGTCATCGATCTAGTGGAACCTGTTCGACGTCGGTCAATTTGCAACGTTTCTTCGGTGCCGTCTCATCTAGTGCCTATCCCCGTCGTTTGCGCATTCGTGTTTAACTGCAAGGGCGTCACATATCGGGTTAGAAGCGCCGGTCACTTCGCCTCTTTGTTCTTTTACCCCCTCTACCCCCTCGCTCGTCCAGCGCACCTCCTGTTTAACTCTGTGGTGAGATATCTCGCCGCGAGACAGTGGATGCGCGTTGGAATCAACCAATTTGGACGACCCTCATCGACGACAAAATAAGAGGTGAGGGTGGCAGACCGCCTGATCGCCACCATGAACCAGATGAATGTACCTGGGATGAATCCCGGGGTAGGAGGCCCTGTGGGTGGTGTCCCCATGATTAATAATGGTTCGACGGCTCCTCGTAACGACGGAAATGTGAACATTCCCGACACGATGATCAATAATCTCAACACATATATCTACGACTACTTCTTGAAACGCGGCTACCACGAATGCGCCAGAGCACTTGTTCAAGACGATTCGATTAAGCTCAACACCGAACCTCCCACGAAAACGAGTCCGGGTCACCGTGGGGACGGCGCCATAAATGGCGTTGACGGCGATGCTATGATGATGGATAAGGATGGCGATAAGATCAAGATTGCAGATGATCTTCCTCGGCCTAGCCTTCCCAGCGAAAGCCAGCAATCATCTTTTCTCTTAGATTGGTTTAGTCTATTCTGGGATTTCTTTTGGGCTCAACGGAAGAAGGGGAACAGTAATGACGTGAGGCAGTATCTCCAGCACACTCAGGTACCCATATACACACTCTGTCACTCACTAGGATTTTCTTGTTCTCATATATCTAACTCGGTTCTCACTATCTAGAACATCATGCGCCTCAGAGAACAGCAACACAACCAGCTGTTGCGGCAACAGCCTATGATGGCCGGACAGATGGGACAACTCAACATGCGCCGGAACAATATGGTTCCCCCGAATCTTCAGAAGACTGTGTTGCAGAACAATACTCCCGGCCTGTACGCCCTTCTTCTCGCCCATTCTTTCGTATCATCCGTAGTGTGTATTTGGTGCTAATGGATTCACAGCTCCCAGCAACAGTTGGCCCAGTTCCAAAAGACTCAGCAAGTGCAAATGATGCAGCAGATGCAGCGTGAGCACTCCGACATGGACATGAACGGGCATCGTCCCCAGTCCCCCGCGTCCGCTGATAATGCTCCTTCTCCATCCAAACGGCCTCGTCTTGAAGGCGGTCCCATGAATGGACAACAGTTGGCACCCAACGGACGCGGACAAGGGCAGGGCATTCCCGGTCAGCCAAACCCGCTGTTGATGCAGAACGGAATGAACCGAATGAATCCGGCCCAATTTCAGGCTTTCCAGCAGTCGAACCCCGCTACACAACAGAAATCCATCCAGGTATATGCTCAAAACTTAGCTCTTCATCACTCACGCTCAGCATTGAATAACCAGGGCATGCCGAATGGTTTGATAAATCCCGGTGTCATGCCAAACCAGACTGATCTGGTGCCTATGCCAGACGGCCAAGGTATGTATCCGATGAGCGGCGACTACTATGGCGCGAATGGACAGATGGCCCAGGTTCGGGCTGGAATGCAGACACCTGGCGGTCAGCACGGCAACCACGCTCTCCAAGATTACCAAATGCAACTTATGCTGCTTGAACAGCAGAATAAGCGGCGTTTGATGATGGCTCGTCAAGAGCAGGATAGCATGGCCCGTACTGATGGCCAGACCCCAATGCCCGGGCAACAGGGGTTGCCGCCAGGCACCTCTCCGGGTAGCAGGGCGGGCGCGTCACCGAATCCAAACGATCAAATGAAGAGGGGTACGCCAAAGATGCCCCAGACCGCTCTCCCCGGATCCCCCAGCGCTGCCGACCCGATGGCCCAGAATCGTGGATCCCCGGCTTCCATGAACTTCAACGGCGGTCCGATGCCTCCCGACATGGCTGCTCCGTTCTTGATGAAGGGCAACATGCCTCCCCCTAGCTCAAACCCGGCTTTCAGTGGCCCTCAAATGGGCCAACCGATCCCCGCCGGAGCTGGAAACCGTGGAAGCTGGCCTCCTCAACCGGGACCTCAAGGTCAACCAATGGCACCGCACCAGTCCCCAATTCCTCAACCCCAGGCCGGAACCCCGCAAGAACGCGGCAACATGCCTCCCCCCCAGGCTCCGCCAGCTGCAGGCCCCAATGCCGGCCGGGCTCAACCCCAATCTCCTTCAACGGGACCCGCTGCGCCTCCGACGCCGCAGCAACCCAATAAGCCGGCACCCAAGAAGAAAGACACCAAGGGTACTAAGGTATGTATCCTTATTCCATTGTTCTGTGATGTCCTTCTTGTCGCCTTTATTAAATATGATCATAGCGACCCTCCAAGAAGGCAACAGCCACAGCCGCTAATGCGAACCCGGCGGCCACACCATCCTCCGAAGCGGAGCACCCCCCGACTCCCACCCCTCCAACTCCTATCACCCCTCAAAATCCTAACTCGTTTAACAAGAACGGGGCAAATGCGACTACGAACGCTCCTCAACAGCCGACATCAGCACCCGCGCCTCCTCAACCTCTCGTCCAGCAACCACCACAGCCAGATCAGACCACTCAGTTCAGTGACCTCAACATCCCAGATGTATGTATTTCTGCTTCAGACCTAATGGTCAATTTTACTGACGGAGTTATCAGGCGTCTGCTTTCAATCTCGATTTCAGTGCTCTGGAGAATCCAGATATCCTAGAGAACTTCGATTTTGATACCTTCCTCAACACCGATGCGGATACGGCCGGGTTTGGATTTGATCCAAACATACCTTATTCCACAGATGGCGTCGAGACCGGTGCCACAGATGGCATTTAAACGAATCCGAAGGCTATTCAATTCCTAAATTCCATATACCCTTTTTGTACATTCCATACATTCCAAGTTGTGCGATTCGGTTTCGCTTTCTCGCTTCTTTCTCATCCTCATTTGTTGCCGAACGATTGGATATGTGCCGTGAGACTGGCGTTGGTGTATCCGTTCTTGCATATCCCTCTCCCTCTACTATAAGCCAGTGTGACCAGTGTCGACTGGCCTGAAATGGTTTTTGAATTGTATCCGAGCTGGGTATTTGTGACCTATTGAGTTTTCTTCTTTCCTTATCTTCCATTCTTTCTTATTATTATTATCTTACTTGGTTACTTAATTTTCCTGGCTCCTAACGAGCCCCAAGCTATCTAGCAGAGTTACATGCTTCACTTAGTGCTTGGGGTCCTCGCAAAAATGTGCCTTTTCTTTCATTCCCCCATTTTTCTTTTCTCTTCTCTTTTTCCCTTTTCCCATTTGCTTTTCTTTATTTTACCCCTTGTTTTTATGGGTGGCGTTATATCTATGAATCATCTGTGGTTATCGAGGAACCCCCCTCTCTGGGAAATGGCTTATATGAATCGAGGAAGAGATACAAATAGGATGAAATGGTATTTTCATTCATTCATGTCTTCTTCCATGATTGTCTTACATTGCATGCTTTGTTCTCCCTTTTATGTCCATTTTTCTTTTCTACTTGTGACTTCTCACTCGTGGCAATGCAAGACTCGCTTTTTGCTCTGGTCTTACGGGAACCAAACAAACAGTACAGGGGTTAATGTTAGTTTCATCTGTCAGTGTTGAAAAGAACAAAAATTCCTCCTCTCCTTTTACCTCTCCTTCCCCCAACTGCAGTCACACATGGTAAGGAGAACAGAACACCCATCCATCCATCTATCATCCGCTTACGGGGTTTATGGAATTGAAATTTTCTATCTATCCATTGGCTGTGTAAAATTGGCAGATACTGCTTTTTTCTCTTATGTGATCCGCCTTTGCAAATTTCGCGCTAGCGAAGAGAGTTGCTTACCTCTTTGTTGTTTTGTCTTTTTGTCTGTTTGATGATATACCTCGGGTAACGCGCCTTGCTACATTGATGATTTATTTTCTCGTGGTTCAGTTTCCGTCTCAAAATCCCGCAAGCCTCGATTTCTTTTCCAAAAGCAGCGCTGGATATCTTAGTTCTGGATTGTTGCTCAATGCATCAAGTGCTCTAAATTACGTATACTTATTTGTAGTTCTGTCAGTATGAGAACGTACTATTCGGAATGCATTAATCATAGATCCTAGCCCTATTCGGAGATAAAAACGGGGACCTGATATCCGTATATTAATAGATGCGTGTCTCCTCCCTTGCCATGCCAGTCAATCCCATCGCGTCCAAGGGAAAGAGAAAGAGGAGTGTCAGTTATCGTCCATGCTCACATCGGCGTCTAACGAGCCATGCTTGACATATTCGTCAATGGCATCCTTCCTCCAAATATCATTTTTTTCCCTGCTCGTTCACTGCTTCACCTTCCAGAGCCAAATCCTCTCGCACTATGTTTAGAAGAAACTTGATAGCAGCATTGGCACAACCCTCCTTAGCTGCCGCTTTGTCCCTGACACCCTTGACTTCGCCAATGGCACCTGCTCGAGCAAGGAAAGGGTCGTTCTGGAAATAAGCTGCAGCTGTATAACCTTTATCGGTCTCGATCAAACGCCCTTCATTACTCTCAATCCGAATTTCTGGACGCTCCAGCGAGAGAAGATCACACATTCCTATTGATATAAAATAGAAGCTCCTCCCGCCATTGGAAGGAGGCAGGTGTATGATTAGCATACCGCGTCAAGGGGAAAGGAAGGTGCATTACTTTCGAGTTTCTCGCTATGAGCTTGCAGACTCTCGAGCCGTTTCTCGATCTCTCGGGGTGTGAGTTTCCACCTTTTCTCTTCAATCTTGTCCGGGATTTCAATAGCTTTGACCCTACTGTTAGTCAAGGGAAGCAAATTTGCGTTCATAGCCTTCTTCTGGGATTGGGGCGTGTTGTTCGGACGGCCCCGAGTTCTGGCCCTCTTGGGTGTACTAGGGATAAGTCTACCGGTCCTTTCATCCTCGGCCGGTCTCTTTGGAATAGAATCGTTTACAAACCTGCTGTTGCTCGAGAACAAATCCTGGTTCCTCATTGCCCTTGGCTGCTGCAGTATCTGTGAGGTACTCTGCCCATCTCTTCCTAGGTTTCGAGATAGGGCAGAGGTAGCTGAAGCCAATATTTGGGAAATTTGATTGGTAGAGGGGATATTGCGGCCACCTGCGCCTTCGGGTATTCTGGGAACGAGTCTCAACATGTTTTCGTCAGACCTTCTCAATATGAATGGCCCAGGAAAGCCATGGTGGACGCCGTTCCCGAATACAAGCAAGGCGTGTAGTGCCATGTGTGCCGAAGCATTTCGCGAAACAAATTCGTCGGCGTAATACTTGGATGCACCGAAGTACGAGGCGCCTTGCAACTCAACTTCATAACGACGTCCATTCTCATGGTCATATGGTGTATACTTCGGCGCAGGCAATCCATTTTGAACACAATAATCTGACCGAGATAAATTTGTCATAAGCTAAGCATAAAAAAGAATACAGAGAGGATCTACCGTCACTCACCATGCAGAAGCTCAATCCAATTCCAGCCTGCAGTTATGACATCTTCTGTTGGCACACCGGGCACCCTCCATTCTGGAAACTGGGATTTTAGGGATTTCAGGGCCACTGAGCATGCTACAGCCTTGGCCTCCATCTGGGAGTTGAAAACATGGTCTCTGACAATCGTTTGACCGTACATGGTCAATTTCACCCCACATTTGTTGTTGTTGCGTTTCGCTTTTCTGGTGGCATAATGAAACCTAGGAAGTAGGAGTGCTTGGATAGCCAACACACCGAAATACCACAGTGTTTGATTGGGTTCTAAGGTTGTTGTATCAAGCGCACCCAGACGAGGAAGGCTTTCCCTGGGCTATACGAAAACACAACATTAGACGAATACGAAGTAAATGGGGAGCTTGAATCCATTCAACAAAACATACCATCACTGAATGAGTTTCTTCTCTGGATGCACTACCCAACTGGAGAGTATGCTTGGGGAAGGCCATCACGCTTGGGACATCAGGTGAAGCTTCTTTGATCCTTCTGTCTACATCAGGACTGGAAGTACCGCCATGTGCTCCTTGGCCCTGGTCTCTCCAAGATACCAGCGAAGGTGCACGAGCGGCACTTTAAGTACCTGCTGAGACTCCCTGACCTGAATACGAATGAAGAGTGCCAGGTCTCTGGGGTAAAGCTGCATCACCTTCCCATTGTGACATGGTCCACAAAGGCTGTCCACCCGCAATGGCCATTGTGTAGGGTATCGGTGCTAGAGTCAGAGCACGGCTGACTGAGGAACTCAAGGTATTTATTTCAGAAGAGGAAGATGCATAGGGTACAGGATCTGTCATCTCATGACCATTTGGTTTCATTTCCTGTGTCCTTCCAGGTTCTGTGCATGGGACCTGGAATGTAAAAGGGAAAGAACCGTGGCCAAAGACTGGTGGGTTAATATTCCAACCACTACTCATTTTCAATCGTCTGCACTGAAATCCCAAAAAGTAGATGGAATGAGATCGAGGACGTTCCTTTCCAGGGCTTGGAGAAAAACCGATGGAGGAAAATGTTGATTCTCAACACAATAGAACGGAAATAGTTGGGGATTTTGAGGGCGGAAATCAGGGAAAGGGAAGGCAAAGAAGGAAGAACAGGAAGGGTAAGGGTGGAGGTTTTCAGACTGTGTGGGTTGTTGTTGACATCCTGCCTAATCTGGAAACCACCTGCAGGGACAGCCAAAAGCATCAATTGATCGTTCAAGAAAGGATTCACTTCGTGGTTTAATGAATAAACAGAAAAGGATACTACAGAGTGAATATAAACAGTATTTTAAAATATTGTCTTTTGGAGAAGACAGCCATCTATGATTTTAATTCTTTTTCTTTTTCTGTGTGGTAGCCATGTCGATTAACCCTATAAAGCTTGATATTGAACAAAACTCCTCCATACTCGATACCATGTGGTATCCATAGAAGTCTATAACGCCTGTCCACAATTAGAAACTGGATAATTGATATGGTAGGAAGGATATATAATCAGTGAGTGTCAGTGAGGTACAATATGAATAGAACTGGTGATCATGAAGCCTGACAAGGTCCCAACTCAAACATTCGAACTTGATCGGTGACAGAAGCAATTCACTCAATATCAACAATTTCAATAGGAGCTCCGCTGGCATGGAGATTTGAATTGAGATATTCATCGAAGCCGGCTTGATGAATGTGATCATCTGTCTCAGCATGTGTGGGTGAAATCGCCACGAAGCCTTCTTTAGAAACGTGTGCGATTTCTCCACCAGCGGAGCCAGTAGATCTATTTCGCTTAGATTCACTCGAGACCTCAACACTTCCACTTGTATGTCTAGCTGTCCTTGTGGGGGTATTGTTGACTTTGTTGTCACTTCCCTTGCGTGGGGTCTCGATAGCACCCTCATTTTCTTTATTGTCAGACATGGCTTCCTTTCTGCCCCTGATGGGTCCACTAGGACTGGAATGAAGCTTGCTCGCTGACGCAGTTTCCACGACTGGATCAGGGGGAATATTAGATCTAGCACTAGACCCAGATACATCCCTAGTACCTGGCTGCGAAATCTCCTTGAGCACAGATCGGCTTCCGGATTTGGAATAGGATGCCGAGCGAGCTTCTGCAGCAGCGGAGAGCTTCCTTCCCATGGGGAGCGTGGCAGATGGGGTATTCGTGGGTGCATGCGTGCCAATAGGCAGCATCTTGGGCGGACTAAGAGCTTCAAGAAATTGGCTGTACTGTTCGTCAGCAAGTGGACCAACGAGACTAGGTTGCTTGCTGTGCTGATAGCTAATTCCAGTCATGCTAGAAAAGGCACGACTGCTGGTCGAACTCGAAAGATAATCCGGCATAGGGATGTCTTCCAAGGATGATCTTGCACCTCGATGGCGCATAGCAGGATCAAGCATGTATGGATCAATGAAATTATCAGGCACGGGTGGCTCTTGGGTTGACCATTTCGGTTCTCTTGGGGTGTTTTGCCTCATCATGACCGGCTGATAGTTTCTATATGCCCAAGCATTGTACAGTGTCGAGTTACTGACCTGACTAGCCCCTGTTGGCATGTGTCGGGATTCGTGTTTGGTTGGCGAATGAGCATGAGCTTCATCTAGTTCTTTGGGCTCGCTAAATGCGCTTCCCGACTGGTATTTGAAGAGGCGTGGTCCTTGAGACCACATTCCAGAATTAGGCCAGGCGATGTTAGAGTACTCAAGGACTTCTGCTTTTTGTCAACGGCGGTTCCACTTTGGATGCTATTCAAAAGAACAAGCTTACGTAGAGGGGCATGCTGGAAAGAGAACGCAACAATATCCTTGACTCGCTCAAAGGGCAAAGTCCTGCTTGGTCGATAAAACCCTTCGGATATCACCACCCGGATTCTACCGTGAAAATCACCTGCATCCCAATGTCTCTGCTCTAGTATCTCCTGGTGAAAAGGCGGAAAACGAAGGTGATCCGGGTTCCCACTCTTATCGACCTCTGAGCTACGTCGTTAGAAAGCCTGTCGGTTGAGAAGGGAGGTGTTTGACATACGGCTACTCAAGCCTGAAGATCCGTTAGTATCTCGTATCCATTGTATGTAGATTGAAAGATATGACTTACCAATAATATGCGGCCAATTAGTTCTGTCCCTAAAGGCAGTACCCCTATTTGGAAGTAGAAATGCCTGTTCAGTCTCTGTATGTTCCGACCTAAACAAGGCAACTCACGAGACACAAACCCCATCAACGAAAACCCGAGCCTCAAAGCTGAGCTGATCTTCAGGCTGTAGTAGATTGTCCATCAACCGGCTAGGCTGGGGCTTTTCCCAACTATGAATAGACACCCGGAAAGAGGCATTGTGAGGCAAACTTGGGACGAACGTAGTGAGAACGGGTATCTGGCCCAAGTTCCCTTGAGGTATGTGGTAAGCAGCAGGGCCGACAATGCCCGGATTTTGGAGAAAAGGCGAATCTAAAGCACACCGTTATCAATCTACTGCCCGTAACTGATCGAGGTAAGAGATGAAACCAACCTCTATCCGGAGTCACGAAGCATTGTGTCTTGAACTCCTGGATGGGAATCTTGGAATTCTCCGGGAAAAGAAGCACATCCCAAGACTCGTAGCGCATCCTGAATTTATGCGGTTCCCTCTTCGGGATAAGATGAAAAACGAAATCTGAATCTGGTAGAGAGCTAGAGAATAACAAAGTAACGACACCGGAACCACGTCCTTGGAAAGAAAAGGAACAAGCCACAAAGACTGCAAGGCTCAATGGGACGAAGAGGATGGCGGGGGTAAGGATGGATATCTCACGAGGGGCAAGCCATGGGAAGGGAGTTGTTGCCCCCAAGAAAGGCAGCCGTAGGTGTGATTTTATTAAAAGGGAAGGCGTGAATGACGAGCCCCAACGGTCAAGACTCGTGACTAGATAGCAACGGGCCCGGTAGGTTCAAGGGAACTACGATTGTAAAAAAATAATTTGGAAAAAAAAAAAAAAAAAAAAAGGCAATCGTGCGCTTGGTTCAACTTTTGGACGCCTAAGGTGGCAACAGTACACATAATTTGGCAGGGAGCATGATGTTCATGGTTTCGCTATCTCAACCTGAAAAAGTGGACGATGCCAGAATCGCAAGCAAGAGCAGAAAAGGAAACGCGAGAGTGCACTGCGTAGCGAAGGGGGAATCATCCGTAAGAAAGATACAAAGGACAATGGGAACATGAAGCATTGAGGATCATCCGAGAAACACCAGGACCTCTTGAAAGGGGCCAACGAAACAACCAGATTTACGATAGCGGCAGTTGAACGCCTGGGAATTGGCACAAACTTCATAACAAGCCACCCTCCCAAACTTCAAGAGAAAACTTGGTATGCAGAGAAGCCTTGAACCGAAACTCCAAATGGGGCTTTGAAAATGGCAAGAAATCTACCGCCCCCAGTAGCTACAAAGAACGCAGTCCCAGCAGGAAATAAATCAAGTCCATACCACAGCACCCGTTCCGTACGTAGCAGGACAGAATGATCAAAGAATCAAGTCTGACCCACCTGAGGTCGAATGCATAACCACAAAGAAAAGGCATTGAATGTGTGAGAAGAAAACTGTGCTCCATAACGAAGAAACTGAATTCGAAAAATCGAAGACGAAGGAAAACAGTGTGTTGTACAGGCCGTCAATCTAGCATAAAGCATGACGTAACATTCTCAAAGGAAACATGATTCAATTTGACTGCTTCATGAGAAATGAACTTTTCGCAGAATGCCTGCCCAAGGTGTATAGGAGGGGAAAAACGCATCAAAGACAAATTCATTTTCCGTCACACGCAAAGACGAGAAGATCCATGGCCAGAAACATGAAAGGAACAGGGGAATTGAGATGAGAGAAGAAAAAGAAACATAAGAGGGAGAAAAAATAGTTTGAAATAAGAGAGAACAAAAAACACATAAGCTGGGGTAAGAGCTCATATCTTGCTAAAAATGAAAGCGCTCACATGTGAAGAAATACGTAGCGCAGGAGAAAATGCCCATCAAGAGCTGTAAAGGGGAGCTTTCGCAGAAATAAATAGCAGACTTGTTATGACACAAAAGACCCATCATTGAAATGACGCAAAACTCCTGCTGGTGCTTTCAAAAAAAGGAACGCTTTTTTTACTAAACGTAATCGTTAACAAGGGTTTCATCAAAAGATGCGGGAGCTGGCGCAGTATTCTGATGGCTACCAACCTTCATAGGAGCGAATCCACCATACTGATGTGCCGGGGGCATGCCCATGGAAGGGTACATGGGGGGAGGTGGGGGAGCGGGGCGGTAGGGGCTGCCGGCAGGGCCGGAGTTGTTCTGGGAGCGACCCCAGCTCAGACGAACGCGAGAGTTGCCGATCGGGTAACCTTGCATCTGGTTGATGGCCATCTCAGCGGCATGGCGCTGGACGAACTGAACAAAGCCACAGCCCTTTCCAGGGGGGATCTTGACGTAGGTGATCTCGCCGAAGCCCTGGAAGAAAGAGCGGAGTTCGTCCTCGGTAACATATCCGGAAAGACCGCCAACGAAGACTGTCGTGTTGTTGGGGTCAGTGAACTGGTTCATGGGCTGAGGAGCACCGTAGAAGCCCATGGGAGGGGCACCCATCGGAGGGTACATGCCTGCAGGACCGGGCATGCCCATGGCGCCTGGGATGATTCCAGGGCCCTTGTTCTTAGGAGTGGCGGTGGAAATGCGCATCGGGCGGTTTCCGCAGTAGACGCCCTGCATCTCGCTCAAGGCGCGCTGCTGGTCGTTTTCGTCGGAGAAGCGAACGAAACCGTAGCCACGAGACATGCCGCTGATGGGGTCGGTCATGATCTTGGCGGACTTGCAAGAGGGGAATCGGCTTTGGAAGAGCGAGACAAGGACGTATTCGTTAACCTCGGGGCCAAGGTCACCAACGAAGATGGAGAACTCGGGGCCACGGTCGTCACGGCTAATTCAATTCAAGTTAGCATCCTATCAAATCACTTCAAACCGTGGAAATGTACTTACCTTCGGTCAGCGAGACCACCGCCAGTAGCCCAGTTCAGCTTGAAGACACGGTTGGTGTTAGGCATGGGGGTGCCGTTGAGAGACAGGGCCTTGGCAGCAGCGGCGGCGGAGGTGAAATCAACGAAACAGTAGCCAGCATTGCTCCTACTACCATCATTAGGATCGCCTTCATCAATTATATGGGACTAATGTACTCACCCAGAAAACTTGTCACGGATCATCTTGACGTTGACCTGCTCGCCCATCTGGAACCACAGGTTGCGGATGAAGTTCTCATCGATCCAAGGCTCGAGCTCACCCATCCTATGAAAAAAGGTCAGACATAAATTTACAGAACATGCACATCATATTTATGCATACCAGAGAGTGGTCTTGCCGTCGGCACCCTGCTGAGGAACAGGGGCAGCTGTGGGCTCGCCAGCAGGGCCCTGGAAGGGAGCAGTAGCAGGGTCGGCCTGGCCGGTCATAGTGGTGTCCGCAGTGGCGGGAGCGCCGGAGGCGGCAGCGGCGGCGTCAGCCGCTGGGTGCTGGTTCTGGAAAGAATCGAAGTTCTGGAAAGACATTTTGACGTAAATCGAACCCGAAATGTGGGAATGGACGTAAAGATAAGGAACTAAGACAACGGTATCTGTAGAGCTCAGTAAGTCGTGGTTTCTCATGTTGAACTCAATTCCAGCGAGCTAGCTCATTGAAATTCGCAGTGCCAAAGCGCCAGATTCGTATACGCATACCTTGAAGCTGAGTAAAGCAAGGAAGATCAGAAACCCAAACAAGAAAACTTTTCTATCCCGAAAACGGCCCGTGCGATTGAGACTTCGTTGGAGTCGTTAAAAGGAGAGAACGTGTGATCGTTGAGTATGAAAGGGTATTTCAATCCCTGAAACCCGAATCGCTGTTAGTGGGGGGATCTTTAGTGCTCCAAAGTGAGAGCAAAGCAACAGAAGACAAAATTGTGAATGAGTGCAACGAAATGCCTTAAAAGGCGCGATAGGGCACGGAACAATTGACGCAGCGGAGATGAATTGAGCCTGAGGCGACGAACAACCGAAAAAACCAAGGCCAAAGAATCGGTCAAAGGATTGATGAAGGTTGAAGCGAAACGAAGCTACCAGCCGTCGACTCGATTTCGCACTTGATACCAGGACCAGAATTCGACTAGACTCGCCAGATAGAACGGGATAAACGAGAGATGAACACCTCAGAAGCAGTCGAAGGAGGTAGGATGGTGAGATGCGCAAGCGAAAGAGAACATAGAGGTGCTTTCAAATCATTCACCCAACCACTGCTGTTTTCGTCGATGACCCTCCCAGTCTCCTCCGATTGCGACCGGCCGAATGGGTAAACCCAGCCATTAGTTCACCCGCCGAGCCAAGCAATGTAACAACGACGTCGTATGCTCGATGATGACCTTAAGAAACCGGAGATTATCGTCGTAGGTCTTTTGGTGAGCGACCGTTGAAAGCCTGGTACGAGTTTTTGTTCCGATGGATACTGGTCAAGGCGAGAGCGACGGCTGGCTGGCGCAAGGTAACAGGCAAAGTCCATCACCGTAGCGAAAGCAATTGTCCCAGAGAATGCGTATCCACGTGAAGATGAGAGGGAAGTGAGAGCAGCAGAGATGCGCATGAGGAGGAATTGGCAGAGTATATTTGAGGCCACCCGTGGGGGTGACCGTATGCGATGAAGGGATGGATGAGGCTCTCGATATGAAACTCTCCCCGCGCCAGATTGGAAAAGAAAAAACAAAAACAGAATAGAAAAGAGAAGAAAAGAACATACCAGGAAGAATATCAAATCAAGGCGACCTTGTTAATTACTTTTCGCAAAGGAAAAAGAAATAAAAAGGATATGCGTTGAATAGCCGTGGCGCAGAAAGTACCCGTAAAACAAGGACGTGAGACGAGACACCAAGAACTGGAGAAGCAAGAGAACTCCCGCAAAAGGTAGGAAAATAGGAAAAAAAAAGGATGGAAGGAAAAAAAGGCACAAGATCCGCAAACCGACACCGTCTTTTCCGTTGAAGAAGGAGAGGGGATGAGAACAAGACAAAAGAGACGAAGGAAAAAGAAGAGGGGTAAGAAGGAGGAAGATAGGCTTTTGGCGATGGAGGAGGGGAGGAAGAAAAAGGGAAAAAAAGAGAAAAATAGGGCAGCGGAAGAATAGACGAACGAACAAACGAAATACACAGCGAGCGTCTTTTGGAGAGCGAAAGAGAAGAACAAGAGAAACGATGAGGGGCGAAAGAGTTGGTGGGACGAAAGTTTGCCGACAGAAGGTTTTTTTGTGACCAGCGATCCTCATTTTTGTTACGGCAGATTGCAATTTGAGGTATTTAATACATGCACCTACCCCTACACCAATCTATATTATTGATATCAATATTCCATCTTCAATATTCAATTCAAGTATCCTTTAATAAACATCTTCTAATACATCGTAATCTCTGTGGATAGATCGATCTCGGCAGCGCTCGGATTCGATGGAGGTCACCTCTCTCATATCCAACTGAACACGAGTCGGAGTATAAATGGATACTGCACAAATTGCACATGCATGGCATCAACTGACCTTTTCGGATAGCTTGTTGCTATGATCTCTACCTACTTGCCTATACCAATACAAGGGGAACTGCATCGATCTGCAAGGACATGAAGCCCTGAATCGGTGCACATGCAAAAACAAACCAAGAGCTGCCACCCCTGCCTCGTGACTCGTCCAGTTCCAGCCACACACACCATAAGCATCAGACCCTTATCATCATCAGCATGTCGTATTCTCCGATGGTGGGCAAAGACCATGAGGTAATTTGTAGATCGATTTCCTAGACAAGTTTTTGTATTTGGTATTCTTGGATGAAATGGACAAAGAGTCAGAGTCAGAGGGCAGCCAAACCCCCCACTGGAACCATGGATGGAGAGTCTTCTGTCATGCTAGTGCATACATCCATAGTGTGATAGCACCTTCGAGAAGCAAGGTTTTATTTATTCTTTCTTTCTTTTTCTCTCTCTTTATTTCTTTCTTTATTCATCCGTAATATTATGACTGAAACCTCTTTGTTCCATGTAAGGATGCTGATTCGATAGATGGACGAATTGTACTATTTCCATCTAACCACCAGATCAGCCGATCTTTCTTACAATTGCTCAATTCGACGTCACCAATTCTTAGTCTTACAGACTTGCACTCGGGCGACATTTTCCTTTTCTTTCTTCTTTTTCACTCTTTTCTTCTCATTTGATTTTTTTTAACACCGACTAGACAAACTCCACCAGTGCCAGAACCATGGAAATCAGGGTTCTGACAATCTCATTGGCCAGGATCCCAAAACCGGCGTGGTTCGTAACTTCGTATCTGATACTAGCATCAGGTAAAGGTATTCTCCTTTGTTCCGTTAGACAGACAGGTTTATAAATATACAATATTTATCTTTGATTGAGATCGAATGTGATGGAATTATCTGGCTTATCCTCATCTACAAATGGAGGTAGAATAACCCCGGAGCATCATGCCTAGTTTGGACTAGAAGAGGTTGATGGAATCAGCTGAAATTACTTCATGCACTCCGCACGGCTTGGCTCAATGGTACGCGTACGCGACGCGATCAAGCTATTAATGAGAATTACCCTGATGCTCTCATCAATTAAACAGCTGGTATGAGCAAGGGATGCTCCAACTGCTGGTTATCAAAACAAGAATCGAATCCTGGAAAGATAAAGGTGGAATCAGCTCATCCTCACTTCCTGCAAAGGTTTGCGGGGTTTCATCCAATCTGCCCTTGCGTATCTAATTATCTACACCTTGCAGAGCAATAACAATATTAAATACATCCATATTAATTCCAATACAGAATGCAATGCAAAAAAAAGCAGAGCAAAACAGGTTAAAATAACAGCTCGAACCATGGATCCCACTTCTTCCGTCCTGCCCAACAACACCCAACAATAAAAGCCCGAGATTGGACGAGTTAATACCTAAATACTGGTAACAATCATGTCATGTTGCGAATATCACAGCTAAAAAGTGAAAAAGCAAAAAAAAAAAAAAAAAAAAAAAACGGTAGCCTTGTCGATATATATAGCCATCCCTGCGATAGCCATCAACTCCTTCAGGCGTGGGATTGGATGAACAGCCAAATTAACCATCGAGGCTGGGCAATGCCGATCCACTCGGAAACAGTCAGGCTTGTAGTGTGAGCAGGTAAATTAATACTAGCGTTGATTTCTACTCATAAAGCACGTTTCTAAATTGTGTGTTTTGCTCCACCAAAGCCCTGGATTCATTGCTTTTGTAGACTGACATGGCGCGTTTATTAGCTGTCTCATCAGTCTGCAGAGAACTTTCTAGATCGTGGCCTTTTAGCCCTTTTGGTCTTTATACAGCTTACCTATCAGATCTGGGGTATGTCTTCATCTAATACAAACCATACATGGCATTTTTAGGCCTGTGCTTCAAGGCAATATCAATTATATATCTCATATGTAGTATACCAAACTTCAACCTATGGCAAACACCCCTCTCCAGTAGAAATACTAGGATCATAAAATTCCCCTTGCTGGCCCAACTCATCCCCCAACAACTGAATAGTTCTCTCATACACCCTACCAGCTTCCATCTCCCACCTGTCAGGAGTCTCCTCAAAACCTCCCGTACCAAATGCATCAGCCATATCATCGTCGTCAGTAAAGTCATCATCTTCATCATCGTCGTCTTCAGCACCCGTTGCGTCTTCCTGTTCCCTTGCTTCCACGACTGTAACGCGACATGTCTCTGCAATACTCTTGATCCTAACCTTCTCTGTCATGGAGACGACATTACTTTTATTCTCAAATCCAGAGAGAGGAGCCCCAGACTCCACATCCTCGCCGAGTAATAAAGATGCAAAGACGGAATCCAACTTTCGAATCAGACGAAAGGTAGTCCCCGATGTGAAGGGGTAATCAGGAAGATATGAATTCACCAAAACAGCAAGAGAAATCATATACGGTATTTGAAGTGATGCTGCTAAATCGTTAGAAATATATCACATCAAAGAAGGAGGCACAGATATCAACATACGCGTCCCACTAACCCACAAAACATCAACAAGCGCCTCGATATCCTTGGCGACTTCATTGAAACTCTCATAGCCTCTCTCAGACGCCTGTTGGTTTTGGTCTTCATAAGAGCTGCTGAATTTCTTCGCATGTCGCCGGTTGATGGAGAGAATGTTTTTGTCAATATGGTTGATCACTGTTGTTTCTTTCATCGAGCCCGCTTTGAGCGGGTGGGTTCTTGGTTTAGGTAAAGTAGATGGAGTCACTGTAGATGCTGATAGTGACGAAGGGGCTGGTGATGGAAGTGGTTGGATGAAGCCTCCTGGGCCTGTTGGGCCATCGTGAGACATCGAAGCCATTGGTAAGATTGAAACGATATATCTTGCAATAAGCTAGATACTATTCAAGTGATTGGGATATAAAAATAATAATCAGTATCGACTAGATGTCTTTTAGTTGCAATAATTGTATCTGATTACGTGCATATATCGGAATCTTGCAGTCATGTTGTTTCTGTCTAGAATCTTGATGGAGTGAAGAAGATGTCATCGCCAAGCCAGGTGGTCTGTGCGACCATTCCCTAATTCGGCCTGTATAGTTACAACACTCAAAAGCCAGCGGAGTTTGATTCTTTGACACGTTGAAAATTACTTAATTTATATATATCATACAAGCTGGCCCAGATAGCTTTGTAGATATTTTGTTACAAATCTTGAGTGAGCTAAAAGCTAAGAGCTAGCATGTCGTGAAGTTCAGGATCTATTCGTTCAAATGTACTGACTTCAATTGATCTGATATTAAGTGTAGAACCATAAGTAAGGAGTCCTATCATAACATCACATTTCTTAATATGCATGGATATATCTAATGGCCGAAACCGTAGAAACACTACCTAAAATCCGTACCTGAAGCGAGGACCAACGAACGTTAGCAAATATTCAAAGTAAAACGCAGACGGTCATCAATCGAGAAAACAAGATATTTCAGTGGTGAGAAGATTTTAATAGTTATCGCTGGTGCTTGAAGACATGGCATGACATCGAATATGGAGTCTTGCTACTATGGCCCCAGCGGGCTCATCATAGGACTTTGGAAAAAAGGAGATGAAAACACGAGTTGTAGCACTTACAATCACTCAAAAGACACTGAATCTTATACCCCTGAAGAAAGGAACTTTTTTTGGGCCCAGAACCCCCGGAACGCCTCGCTAAACCAAATCCTCACTGGACATTATGTTTGACACATTTATTCAGGCTGATATAGCATTAGCATTGGCCATATAAGCTGTCAAGGATGAAAACTTACCCTGATCTTTCCCTTGCGTCTCTTCATGTCTTCAAGCTTCTTCTTATCCTCGCCAAACCTCTTCAGCAGTTGATTCTGTCTCTCCTTTCTCTTCTCGCGCGACTGGAATCGGTAGAAGTCTTCCAGACCCTCTTCCTTCTTCTTCTGCTTCTCCATCAATTCTTTAAGTTCATCCTCGCGTGAAACAGAGTTGAGCTTCGGCCCACTGGTAACAGTAACGAAACCATCCTCGTCGGGCTCCTGCGCCTTGCGTGCCTCTTCGCGCTTGCGAGCTTCCGCGACCTGCGCAAAGACAGTCATGAAGTCGTTCACAGAGTTAAGCAGTGCAGCCCGATCCGGATAGCGGAAGCGCTCATGGGCAAGATACCGCGAGTATCCCAATGAAGGCAGTCGGTCTTCAATCCCTTCGCCCCAGACAATCTTGGTGCCCTTTCTAGCTGCCTTGGTCGCGGCCTTCAGACTAGCCTCCATGCTGGGCTTATCGGCGAACACCACGACGGCATGTGAGCCACTCGTATGCAATTTTCTATCCCAGGTAGATGGTGGGCCGGCATTGTCCAGTTGGTCCTGTAGCTCGTCCACGGTCACCCTCTTCCGCTTCTTGCTCTTCGAGAGGTTTCCTTGGGTGTTCGCTGCGATGGCATTTTTCTTTGTCGGGACGTCCTCGAAATGAACCTTTTCAACCCGGCCAGCGGATAGTTGTGTACCAAATAAGTGTCGCAAGTGTAGCTCAGTGGTGTCTATGGGAACATTGACGACGAAAAGGGAGCGAGGGGAATCGGGGTCTGGAATGCGAGGTTCGTGAGGGCGGAGGTAGAGAAAATGCGTTGCAGGCTTTTCAAACGCAGGGGTTTCGGGAAGCTGCAAAGGCAGGATGGCATAGCCTGCTATTTCAGGAGCATCCTTCTTCATCTTGACGTGATCACTGAAAAAAATAGTTGATCACTGCTGTAAGACGGAATTTTTGCGCGGCGAAGAAATTATATTTCTTTTTGCAGCTTGACAAGTTTTGTTCAGCGGGAAATTTTACACGAGCGTCGGAGGGCGGAGACCGGCTAGTCCTGCCTCGCCGTAGATCCTCCATACATTAAAACACATACATCGACAACATTTAGACAACATTAACATAGGAAAGCATTTTTGGAATGAAAATGACAAGATAACTTTGAGCCAAATATCGACTTTTTCAAATCTCATTATCTAATTACCACATTATCCCTCCCTGTTTGTACTGATACCTCATGATCATCTTCGATTAAACCTTGTCAGGATCGTTGATTCCACCGTTGGTGATGATATAGGTCGCCTCACGCTCCGGACAGTCTACGATGGTCAGTAGGAATGTTCAAATACGCCTTGAGCTGACAAACCTGGCGAATCCTGAATTTTTGCCACACGTTCTTCTCCACGCCCCTTCCGAAGAAGGACTCGAGTTGTAGACGCATGCGCGAGAACATGCCCACCGACAGGTTTACGACCGTCTGCTCCAGCGAAAAGAGCACTGGCACCAGGGTCGCTCTGGACTTGATTCGTCTATAGTTTGTGAGATATGTATTTGTGGGAAAGAGGATGGATTATCACCATGAGAACGCAGACGTTGAACTCTAAAAGACAGACCAGTTACTTACCATCTATGCCATACAGAAAAGGAGCAGCTTCATACCTTCAGCCATATGTGCGAGTTTCATCAAAAACTGATTGAGCTTTTGCTGGCGGTCTGCAAGTTCTCCACGTCCACAGTAGTCGACACGGAAACAGTTCATAATACTGTCGATGATCAACAGTCTGTAATCACCTGCAGCAAACTCCTTGCTCAGAGTGTTGAGCAATTCCAACTGATGCTCGCTGTTAAGAGCTCTGGCATAAGAAATGTTCTCCTGAGCAGAATCTGGATCGACCCCAAAGCGCTCTGCGATCTGGGCGATACGCTCTGGTCGAAATGTTCCCTCAGTATCAATGTACGCAACCTTACCATCTGCACCGCCCATCTCCTTGGGAAGCTGTGCCATGACTGACATTGTGTGTGAAAGCTGTGTTTTACCACACCGGAACTCGCCGAAGACTTCACTGATACTCATGCTCTGGAACCCACTAGTATATGGTCAGAGATATTCACAGCATTAAAATGCAGAGACTCACCCTCCAAGAATGGAGTCAAACTGCTTGCTCCCGGTTGAGATCCGAACCACTCTCTTCCGTTGATGGCATAACTCCATAGCTGTGATGAACCCGGAAGCAGAGGGCTGTATTGTGTCAGTAATGAAAGTATCTAATAACTTTCGTATTGATAGGCTAGGCTTTAATACCTGAAATTTCTGAATAGCCTCTTTAACCTTTTCAACCTTGACTTCACTGAATCCCTTAATCTTCAAAAGAGTCTTTCGCGTGGCGCCATGGACAGACTAAAAGCATGTAGAGTGAGCATGAAAATTAAAATAGAAATTATCTTGGCAGTAATTACGGCAACAGTGTAAAATCCATTCGCTTTGAGCTTCGTGATATCTGCGGCACTGATGCCTTTTGTCCAGGTTAGTCCAAGGCATTTAGAAGAGGGCAATCGGAAAAGTAGATACCATGGGCTTGAATGCCATCGATGTCGACAATGAAATCCTATTCAAGAGCCAAACGTGTTAGACTGACAAAGAATTACCACGTAGACACCAAAGGCCAAAGGTGTGCGTCCCAGAGGCTGTGAGGAAAGCAAAGCTGGGAAACTCTACATCTTCAAACTCATCACCAGACACAGATTCAGGCATCCTGTCTCAAAGGGTATCGATATTAACCTAGTCGAATGACTGATAAATAAATAATGACGAGGCAATGATAATGACGATGGAAGAGATAGAGATGACAAGGTGAGTGCTGGTGTTGTAGGTGTTCTAGGCAGAGGAAATACTGGAAGACTGTCTAATATAGGAAATAGGGCAGGGTCACGGGGTCCAGGCCAGAACAAGGAACGATCGAGAGACACAGCATCTAGGTAGGTATGATTGAATACCCAGGATCCAAATTCCAATTTAACGACAGATCTACTAAATATGAGATAGCCAGTACTTTCCCATCACACATTAGACAAATTCCAACGAGATTGAATAGAATAGACTGAGGTGCATAGACAGACATAATCATGAGCCAAACTTCGAAACAAAAAAGAAATGTAAGTGAAAATTCTTGTTCGAATTGAAATTGACGCTTTTTCTTTGTTTTTTTTTTTTTTTTTTTTTTGCTCTTTTTTTGCTTCCCATTTGACGAGTATAAGAGGAATATAGTAGAAAAAATAGAGGTAGCCACCGCGTCAGGTACCTTTTTTTTTCTTCTCTTTTTCTTAAAATCCATCCTTCAGCAATAACAGCAACCCCATCCGTACTATCTTGAAGCCTTCTCCATACATATCAACGCACTTGCTTCGGTTCACCAATGTCTCTCCCGCGCTCAACTAAGCCCTTCGCCTTGTCTCGTCTTCATCTTTTCTGGCCGCACCTATAATTCAAATGAGAAGATACCCATACCCTTGAGAGAACAATAGACGCCAATCGTGAGGCTTGGACCCTCCATGGAAACCAAGCCTTTGAAAACCAGGGACTTCGTGAAACTTTTGTGTTGGTCGTATACATAATAAAGAGAAAAAAGAAAGCCGGTGCCGAGAACCTGAAACAGGGGCGTAATATATGCAAAGGAAGAAATGTGGTGAAAAAAAAAAAGGAAAGAAGATGAGTGATAGGCCGAATTTTGGCAACCCTAATACAAAAAAGGAAGAATGGAAACAGGCTCCCTTGAAGTGGGATTAATATATCAAGTAAGGAACATTGTTCCTTTATGCGACGGCAGTCGTAGGGGCAGCAGCGACGGGAGCAGCTTCGGTGCTGGCTTCGGCGGCAGCGGTAGCGGCAGCGGGGGCAGCAGGGGCGGCGTTAGCAGTCGCATCAACAGGCTGCTGAGGAGCGGCCTCGTTGTTTGGGCAATCCCGAGAAATGTGGCCAGCTTGGGCACATTTGTAGCAGACCTTACCGGCAGAGCTCAATGGGCCGCCATTGGGAGCAGTGCAGTCGCGAGAGATGTGGCCCTGGATCAAAGTATGAGACAGAATATCCAGACATGAATTTCTGAAAATAGACACTCACAAGCTTTCCACAGGCGTAGCACTTCATAGCCTGGGCCTGGCAGTCACGAGCAAAGTGGTTGGGACCACCACACTTGTAGCAAGTGGCAGCGCGAGGGTAACCCCCATATCCTCCACGGAAGCCACCGTTGAAACCACCGCGAGGAGCACCAGCACCACGACCAGCACCGGAAGCAGGGGCGGTGCAGTTGCGCTGAGAAAGAGATCGGGTTAGGTTTCATTCGAGCGAGTATCGAAAAGAGAGCCAATGGGCTTACAGCAAGATGGCCGGGCTGGCTGCAGTTGTAGCAACGGCCGTTAGCGCCACCGTTGAGACGCAACGTAGGACAGTCGGCCTGAACGTGGCCCAGCCCCTGGCAGTTGTAGCATTGCTTGGCTAAGAGAACAAACGTATTAACACCCCTGAACTTCTCTACTAAGTGGAAAGGAGGATCCTTACTCTCGGTGGTACGAGGACGCGGGCAGCTGCTGGACTCGTGTCCTGTCGAGGGATTAAACAGGGAATCGCGTTAGGTGTTGCACATGGTACATACCAGGCTGCTTGCCTATAGGAACACATAAACACATCAGCAAACTGTCTCAGGAAAAGAGTACGATATATCAAGAGGGGCCACTCACAGTTGTAGCAGAGACGCTCAGACGAAGAGCAGACCTCTGCGTCAGTCAGCACGTTTCTCATCAGTCGTTCCCATTTCATGAACTAGGTACTGACCAGCATAGTGGCCAATGTTGCCACACTTGTAGCACGCACGTCGAGACAACAACATCTTGGCGGTATATTAAGCTAGACAAAGGTGTTTCGAGTCAGCTCCAAGTACTCGGCCTTGTTGAAATGTCGCATTGTCCGCGCATCGATTTCCCCCGCATTTCCTCTGAATGAAACAGAACAGCCATTTCTAGCCTTTCCCAGTGAAAGAAAAGATGCAATGGATCGTTCCTCCGTTTTACAATATGAAAACAGCCAGAAAACAGGTCAAAGGCCATAAGAGAATCAAAGGATCGGAGAGTGGGAAGAGAAAAAACCGAACCCGCGATGCGCCGCCCACCACCAACCAACGCCCACCAGATCGAAAGCAAATCACGAGGGAGTCACGGCAAACACTCACTCTTCCAAGAACCAACAACGGATTTCAGAGCTTCCTTGTCAATAAGTCTGTTTGAGGTGTCAGCTTGAGAACCTTGGAGAAAAAGCAGCTCTTTCAACAGCCCACTGGACAGACTCGAAAAAAAGTGGGCTGACAAAGAAAAGAAAAAAGTTGAAGCGCACAGAAGCACAAGGAGAGCAACTCACAACGCAGCACACCAGACTAAACCACAGCACTCCAATCCCTCCGGACCACGAGCAGAAAATTTCCTTGAAATTCCCGGAATCCACAAAATATAAACTGGAATAAGGTGATGATAGTAAGCAAGAGAGAAAGAAGAGACACTTGGAGGGCCTCTGTCAGGGCAAATTTTGCAAAACTTTAGCTCCCGGGCTTTCCCGCATTGCGTAAGGTTGCGGCTGTTGACCCCCAGATTGACAGAAACAGCCTGAGGCACACGTTCCATCCCTACCTTAGTTACATGCATACTTTCGACAGGCGTCAACCACGATGACTTGCAGAATGCAGACGATGATCACTTGCCAGCTCAAGGAATTCCAAATAATCTTCGGAAGCGGAATAGTAAAAATATAAATCTCAATTTTGTCTGGCAGTTTCATACTCGTTAATGATTCTAACTACATGCAACGACAGACCTCGCCTGCTTGCCTACAGTGTTTCTGTAGGTGGTATTTCATGTGCATTACTCGTGTACCACAAATTATACTCGATCATCAATATAGTCGCCTTGCCCCTTACTCTTCCTTCTCAATGATTGCTGGTGCCTTGATTTCGCGACCTTTGAGGAACTCGAGTCCTTCACCTCCCTATAGATAGACGTTAGTTTAGAATTACGGGAGTTAAAGCGAGAAAGTAAAAAAAAAAAAAAAAAAAAAAAAACTTACGTAGCTGATCAACGGAGACACTTCAACGCCGACTTTCTCATCCTCACTGACCACAACACCACCCGCCTTCTCAATCCAGCGCTGTCCTTGCTTCATGATATCGCGCTTGCTGGTGTCCTGGTCATCTTCACCAGTGCCCTTGGCATTCTTCAGCGGTGAGAACTCGTCCTCACGTCGGACTTCAATGGAGGCGAACTTCTCCAGAGGGGTCAATGGGAAGACATCAAAAACAAACTGCTCCAACTTGATACCGTTGGGCTTCTCTGGCTTGAAGACCTCTCCAGTCTCGGGCTTGATGCAGGGGATCTTCTTCTTGGCAACGTGGTGAGGCAATTTGTGAGCCCATGTCTCAATAGACTCGAAGAAACGGAAGGAGTAATAGTGGTTGACGATGTTCGCCGCGCGGAACTTAAGGACGTCAGGCTGCTTAGGATCCTTGGCCTCGGCGGTTTCCTTGTCAATCTCGGAGTACTCAACCACATCGGGCTTGCCGTTCTTCTGCAGAATCAAACCAACCGATTCGGTGGCATTACGCTTCCGCACCACCTTGGTGGCGATATCGACATACTTGGAAGCAGCGAAGCCGATGAAGACAGGGTCAGCAACCTTGACAAGGCAGTTGTCAACGCAGTAAGTGTGAATGTGCTCGATTCCACGGCTACGCATGTCATCCCGCACTCCCGATGTCAGAAGGGCCTGGTAAATACCACCATTTCCGTCAGGTGCAACGGCAACCTATACTCCATAGTTAGATAACCAGCCTAGATTTTGGATTATATAGTTCGGGGAAATAGTACCTTGCCCTTGCTCTCCATCAGGATCTTGCCCTCGTTAGAAATGCATGGCAAAACGCCCTGCTCAAAGATAACCACATTGCTCTTGCTCAGACCAAAGTAGTTGTGCTTCTGGAAGAACTCCTCGGTAGGCTTGCGAGTGGGGCCACTGGTCATGACATACCAAGGAATCACAGCCTCCTTACCAGAAACCTTCTGAGCGAGGATCTGGAGCCTGGCAATCCGCTCGGCCTGGATCTGGAAGAGCGACTTGTGACTAGGGAGCTCAATATCAAAGCAACCCTTAGGGGCAGAGCTACCCAGTCGGGTTCCCTGTCCTCCAGCCATCAAAACCACCGCAACCTTGTTACCTGCCACGAAGTTCAATCCCTCATCGTACCACTGCTGGATTTCCTTAGGGTCTGAGTCAAGAATCGAAGCGGTAGCCACATCGGGTAGGGGCTCGAGAGAGACAGGCTCATCACTCTGGGTTTGGGGAGGGTTCAAGACCTTGTCGGCCAGTTCGTTGATACGGGTGGGGTCGAAGTTGGAAAGTTGATGGAAAAGCTGGGTCTTCTCGGTCTGCTTCAATTCGTCGACGAAGGCAAGCACTTGTCCTTGTCCAGCGTCGTCGTACTTCTTCTTAAGTTGCTGGAACTCTTCAACAGAGGGCTCACGAAGAGCATCCTGTGAGGAGATATGGAGCTTGTCCACGAGGTTAGAGACTGTCTCCTTGATTGCAGAAGCCATTATGTTATTGTGGGTGGGGTTCAGAAGGATGGAAGAAAAGAAAGGATGAGAAAGGCAAGGGGGGAGGGGGATGGAGGGGTTGATGAACTGTTTACAGCGCGGGGTGAAGCTCCCTTAAGAAGATTCTCACTGACCGCCAGGACAACAAACAGTAGGTAAGTACCTACCGTAGTAACGTACCTACCGTACCTTGATGGATCGAATTTTATTTTTAGTTTCCTATTAATACTGGGTACTACTATGTACCAAATAAAATAAATAGCTCGTAACGCTATAAAATACCACTGAGACCCTCGTTTTACATAGCAGCATGTGACTGGCCAATCCGGAATGGAATCGAGGGGAAATCCTGTGTTAGCCCCTCTCGGCGGGGCACGCCGTCAATAGCTGAACATAAAGTCGACAGTCCGGTTTCACCGACAAGTGGCCTTTACCATGGTGCATTCAGAGGACATGCATGCTAGAGGTACATAAAATGGGATACCTCAATGCCCAACTTTTCAACTGTGTTGGATAATAGTAGTATTTACAAATTCGACAGCTCATACCCCTCCCTGTCAAGATTGATGTGTCATATACATGGAAAGGTATGGACAGGCTATGCGAAAAACAACTTTATGATACAATATTAGCGGTGCCGTCTTTCTCGATATCGGTCATCATCCCGGCGGTCACGTCCTGAGCGTCGATCGCCATCATAGGCCCTGCCTCGATTTCTATCGTGATAGGATTCTCCCCGTGTAGGGCTTCGGCTGAAAGATCTATCACGGTATCGGTCCCGGTAGGAATTTCCTCGTCTCGGGCTTCGACTAACCCTTCGGTCAGGACGCGAGCCTCTTTTTGGGCTCCGGCTGGGAGACCGCTCACGCGGAGCACGTCGTTGTTTTGGGGCGCCTTTGTCGAACAGCATTCCATAGTCATCATCGTCATCATTTCTGCGAGCGTTATCGGATGCTCTGTACTGGCGCTTCTTTTCAAGGTTGGCTACACCACCAAAGCCACCTCGTTGACTGCTCCGCTTGGTGATAGTGGCATTACGCCAGCTCTCCGACAACTTCGAGACCTATATAGCCGTTTAGAAGAGAGGATAAGAGTCATAGGGTAGGGTGAAATTATTAACTTACACTCTGAGAGAAATCTACATGGATCCGGTGATCGTCAATAAGTACTCCCTGCATCTTGAAATATGCCTGTTCGCAATCCTTTTGGTTCTCAAACTCTATGAATGCGTATTGCAGACTGTCGCCAGTCCGCTTGTCCCTAATGACCTCGCAAGATAGAATTTGTCCGAAACGACTGAAGATCAAATGGAGATCCTCATCTAAGGTTGCCATTAGAGTGTATCAATGGGGTATGGAACAATGGAGTTCGCACCTTGGGTGACAGGATTCAATTTGCAGACGAACAGAACATTTTCTGGTGGCTTGACCTCTGCAAACGGGAGGTCACCAACCATTTCCAGGGTCAGCGCTTGTGCTCTTGCCTCGCGTTCCCGCCGAAGCCTCTCCAATGAATCTTCGTCCATGTCTTCATCGAGATCCTCATCATCGGCAATCCTGACTGTCGACAGCTGTGCCTTTGATGGCAAAGGACTCTCTGGTGGCTCTACCAGACCTGGGGGATCGTTGAATGGGTCATCAAGAATGACAGTGTGACGGATACGAATATCTTTTAGCGGTCGACCGCGGTCATCAATGAAGGATTCATTGACCTTCTCAAGGACGTCAAACCCTTCCACGACCTTTCCAAAAACCACCGCCTTCCCATCCAAGTAGTCAAGGTTATCTCCAAGCGTAATGATAAACTGGCTGGCAGCGATACGTAGGTCCTCGTCATGTGGTGAAGGAACCGTCGCCATGCTCACGGTGCCTCGTTCGTTGTGTTTCAGCTTCGGTGGAAGTTCGAGAGGAAATGCCCTCTTGGACGGGCCTTCCAAAAGACCCCATATTGAAGATCCGCCATCACTCTCCAAGGAGTCGGGTCCGATGGGGTCACCAGTTTGGAAGGTGAAATTTTTCTGGACGCTGTGAACCGGCGAGAAATTGTAGTATTTGACTTTGCACAGCTTCAGGAAGCTACAATGGTAAAATAGGATAACTTAGTTTCTCGTTCAGCCACTCGACAAAGACACAAACAGAAATTGAACATATACTCACTTCTCACACGCTTTGGGCGACTCATCGACCAGAAGGTCCATGACAATGTCGCCAAGCGACGTCTCCAAAAGTACACTCATGACGTCCTGCCCGCGCGGCTGCGGTTGTTGCTGCGAGGATCGACGGCGCGTAACACGATCACGGTGAGAGGGAAAAAAGATCAAGGAAGAGAAGAAGAAGTAAATTAAGCGGCAAGGATCTGAGCAAAGATATCAATCAAGAGCACACGCAGCTAGTAGCATCACCAAGCTTGCCTCTTGTCGGTGTGCGATGATGATGTGAAGAGCTGGGATTGCAGGGCGCCCGGAATGGGAACAAGTTCCACCGGCGATCCATGCGGAGAGACCGCCCTGGTAAGCAAGTCTAAATCGATCGACCTGCCAACCACCGGGGAAAAGATCATTGCAGCCCGGGATTTTTCACCATAAGCCAACCAGGGAAGGTCAAAAGGATCGTGATACAGGCCCTGACGAGGGACATTTTTCGATCAATAACAAATTGTCGATGATTTCGAGGAGTGCAGGGCCTACGGAGGGCCGATCCGGCGCCTCTCGTGTAACGGCCTTCTCAACTCAACGGCATATCCTCTGAGAAACCCCGTTGGATGAGAGATGAAAATCATCCCGGGTGGAAGCAAAGAAGAAAAGAAAGCACAGTCATCGAAACAAGCTCACCGATATTTAGGAAAAAGCATCGGGTCGATCGAAATTCAACAGCTCCTTGTTTGTTCCTCCGGTGGCTTCTGGTGGCTTTTAGGCTTCGCACAACCCAGGCCCTGAGATGTGACATCCCTTGAAGAAGTCACTTTTACTGCTTTCGACAGCTCGATACCTGGTACAACCCAATTCCCCATGTACGCCCTTCCCCGGGGATGTAACTCTTCGCCATGGCAAAGGGTTCCAGGTTAATTAACGTCTCCTACTTCCTTCCTAGTTCTGAGCTTTTGCTCTGCAGTTCCACGACAGAGGTGTTGGAAAATAACGGGCGGTCTTCTGCAGTATCATAGATGGCCCAACCGGATTGCACCAGCACAGCAGTATTCTGCTGAGATGATATACTGCACGTGGTGCAGGTTTTCGACAAGCTGAGGCATATTTTTAAAACAGTGACATGATACGGATCTTCCTTTGCCAATCTGTGGCTGGTCTTGTTCCTGACGGCAGCATATCATCCAATCCTCGTTATTAACATTATTCAAGTCAAGTCTTTCAAGAATTATCCCCATGCGCGTTATGCGTGCCCTACAATTTTCATTTTATTTCACTGTATGCCATATTTACTTTTCCCTCTACCCCTCCATCTCTATTTACTTTTCCCTATACCCCTCCATCTCGCTTCGCTTTCTTCAGTATGCTTCATGAAACGTTGTGCCTTGTCAAACCCTCAAGTTGCACGGTGACGAATCTTGTATCCAAGCCCCCTCTAAAATCCCAAATGTTCTCATGCATTTGATTTGAAGATTGCAAAGTCGCGAGAGCCAGACGCTCTGGTACTTGGCCCAGTATGATTTCTCAATGCAACGAATGAAGGAAAAGAAAAGTGAAGGGGAAAAAAAGCAAGCCGTTGTCATGCACTCCGTACTTTTGTCTCATGCCCAGGTCTTTCTATGTGGCAAGACCGCTAGTTTCCCCTCTGTTTTCTGGTTGAGAGACTTGATTGAAATCACTGACGCCCATGGGAGTGAAACAGCCCCAATCGCCATCGTTGGTGATGTGAAAAACCATATTTGTCGGAGTGCAGCCCAAGAAGCCAGGTCCAACAGGGCTTTTGGAGTATCCCTGATCTTCGTGCATACTTACTAGACTTCCCCGGCCCCACGGATCTCCCTTTTTCTGCGTCTAATTAATGACAATATTTGTTATTTTCTTGTCTTATTTTTTAGTCTGTCCATGTTCTTTTCTTTTTGTTTCGCTGCGTTTCGCTCTCTCCATCCAATCTGGTGAACACCACTAGAGGCGAAAACAACTGCCAGCCAATGCACACCCATCCCGGTGACCTGGACACGGTCTTTGTGATGATCCATCTATACCAGGGAGCCTGTCAATCTATTATTGGAAGTTCAGCCTCCTGCACCCTTTGTTAGAACTGGCAAGATATCATGGATTTGGGAGCTCTGAGGTCTTCTATTGAGACATGGAAGCTCAAAGGTCCCGAGACATCAAGATGATTTTTTTGAGACCATCCGTTTGCAAGTGCCCTTCTTGGAGGGGTGCAGCCCAGTCTCCTTTCGCCCAAGTGATCTTTGTGACGAGAGCAATCCTTGCGATCGCAGCCATTATAGTTCATCAGATAGCAGACTGGGTATCAAAAGTACGGACCGAGTTCGGATTGCTAAAAGAAACTTTTGTTTGATGCAAAGAATCGCAGAGGCCAAGCCGATTAGCTCTGCAACTGGTCGACTATTTAGAGGGCAAACATTCTCATTTTCGTTGCTCCAGCCTTGAAAGCAATAGATAGGTACCGGCGCTTGTGAGTTCATGCAAACGTATTCGGCGGCTGCCCGCTACAACAACCGACACCTTCATACTGATTTGGTTTATCGCCTATGTCCTTGTTATTTTCGATGCGAAATCATGCCCTCTCTCCACTAGAGCAAAAAAAAAAAAAAAAAAAAAAAAAATGTGGCAACCATGAAAGAAAAAAAAAGTTACATAGCGGAGCGTTTTCATATCGATTGGCTGAAACAATTCACGGGGAGCTTTAATTTCCCAGTGTAGGTTGATAGACCTCGCTATGGTTACTATCAGGTCCTGTTCGAGCCGTGTGACGTTGCTTTGTGACACCAGGCCTCTAAAACACCGGGATATTCTTACTGTCTGACCTTCCATCAGCGTGCTTTTGGCACTTCCAACCTACATGGCTTTTGAATTGGATGCAACGCGGAAATTTGCATGACCCTCCCTTGGTACGACGACAGGCAAGCCAAGTATCAAACTAACCACCTTATTCGAATAGATTGGTGAATTAGTGACATTTTCCGCTGGCCCTGGAGTCAATTTGGGTGAGGTTATGACGGGTCTAAAAGTCCACGTTCAATACACCAACAGAATATCGAGAGAAGGGGGGAAGGCCATTCACAAACTTAAAAAAATCAAATCAGAAAAGAAAAGAAAAGAAAACAGACAATCAGGAAAATGACGAACAGCACATGGGCTTAAATCTAGCCCTGCTTCCGGATCGAGCCCTTCTAATCCTTCCCTGGTTCCCTTTCCAATGCTTGAGGTCTGATTAAGGCATGGTCATAATCACTCCTGATTCATGAGACCTTTTTATACTCCCAAGCACCCGGTGAACAACTACCTTTTTTATTCCTATACTTGTCTTGACTAATATGTAAATTTCAGAATGAGGAACATCATGCCTCCTTCCGAACTGATTTCTGGAGTAATGACCCATCCGTTCTATCACTCAGAGGAAGAGACCAGTTTCGTTCAACAGTCAAAGATGGATCCTCTTTCGATACCACGTTCGACTCGAAACGATCACCATCAAGAGACCGTGGATAGAAGTTCTAGCTGCGTCAGCCCTTCTGCAGAACCCGAAGGCAAGAGTCGCAACCCAGCAAGGCGTCGAGCTCCAGTTGCAGTAAGTTAGATATCTCGCCTTGGAGCACCCATGCTGATTCCATCAGTGTGTACGATGTCGGAAGAGGAAGATCAAGTGCAGTGGCGACACTGGGGATGGACAAGGCTGTTCGAACTGTCGAAATTCAGGAAACACGAACTGTCTGTTCTTGCGGGTGAGTTGGTTGTCTTTGGTTTTTTGGGCATGCAAATACAGGGTAGAGGGCTAACCTGATACTGCACAGGTCAACTCTCACAATGCATGGCCGTATCCCACGATGAATGCTACACAACCTTCATCTACGAGGCTGGGTATATATCCACCTCATATGGCCTCGAAACCAGGAGATTACTCGGTGAACTCTCCAAACATGCGTGTTGCTTCATTCTCACGATCATCCGACTATGACATGGGGTTGGACTCCCAGCATGCATTCAGTCGACAACCGTTTGGAGTCGACCCAAGTCTGAACTACGAAGAAGACCCATCGACCACTCATTCATCGGCCTACATGGTTCCTACTGGGCATCAAGGAGCTCTGCCCGATTACTATGGGATAGCCTGGAACACCAAAGGATGGAGTCCTGGAATGCCCATCAACAAGGCCTCAAACGGAGCTCTATACCATGACCAAGATGAAAGCTCCCTGACGCAACCGAACTATTCCTACATGTTACCTGGACAAGGGACTCAGGCAACGGATGCCCCATCACTTGGTCCTGCTATGACTCTCGTCTCTGATGGACAGGGTACTGATCGGACACTTCCAACCCCTACAATTCGAAACCAGCTTCAAACCAGTATTTCCACTCTCCCAACATCCCCTGAAGCCATCTCTGGCCTACCTTTCTCACAGGACTTTCGAGTCGGAAATATCTGGGCTCCCAAGAGTGCTCCATCTACCAGCAGCCGTTCCTCGATGCGAGCAATGTCAAACGGGGCATACAGCGCCAGTCTCGTCAGCCGTGAGAAACCCATCCCATCTAGTGCACAAGACATGGTCTTTGGGTTCATTTCAATGACTTCGGCCGGCACGCCATCCCCGCTGATTCCATCGAGTGGAGCATTCACGGGTACTGGTTTGGATACGGTCGATTCAGCCGATGACTTCCGTGCCGCCACGGATGCTCGCTTAACAAGATCTTACTCCCGTGACCATGGCCGCCTGATGTCTCTTACAGATTGCAGTCCAGATGTCTACGGCTACAGCAGCAGCGAGAAGAACAAGAATCGTTCAGACGACACAGGCTCAGCTGCTACCTTAATGAATGGTTTACCATACACGCCTGTGAGGCATTCCGACAACCACGGAGCCTTACCCTTCCACCTCCTCCCCACGGATGCTATGCCGGACTACCGAACATCGACAGAAGTTCACCGGACATCAATTTCGTCTCATAGTAATCCTGGTGGCTTCTATCACCAGCAGGAACTATTGAAGCCAACGTAGCACCGCTCGCCTGTACATCAACGCCATTCAGTGAGAAAAGAAATGGGAGGGGGAGGAGCGAGAAGATCTAAAGGGCAACTAAACAGTCACAAACCTGGCATGTTTGCCTTTAGTCTGTGGCGCAATTAGGTCAGGCTTTTCTCTGTCTTATTTTTTGATCGTCGGTTCATTCGAATACCTTTTGTTGCTTTTACTTTTCTGTACTGCCTTTACTACATAATACGTATCCTTTGACAGGTCAAAAAATGTTACACTAATATTATAACTGGGTAGAAAATATCTCTCATGGGTGGTTTGGTTGGCTTTCATTCATCTTCAACAAGTGTCGTGTGGGTGGCAGATGTCGCAGTGTTTCTTTAGTCGAATGGCGGGGTCTGATTGTCTTAATTGCTTTTTTCGATGTTTTTTTTTTTTTTTTTTTTCTCTCTCTCTATTTTCTTATTTAATTATAGTTTTCTTTGTTCTCATTATGATTATTTGCCTTCCTATTTCTTCTTCTGCTTTTTTGGTCTTTTGTTCAAGTTACTGCAAACTAAGCTGGACCAGCACATGTCATCACCATCACCTACATAAGATGATTTGACCTGAATATACATGTCAAAAACATATTTCCCTTTTTTTTTTTTTTTGTTCTTATATGGAATCGATTTGTAAATTAATGACGATAATCATGATAAAATAAACCACCAACTCTTCATCCTTGTAGCCTTTTTTCTTTTTGCAGGGCGATTGTGTAAGGTAACTTGACTACCACCACGACTACGACAGTACCACGGCAATTCATTCACGTGGATAGCGTTTCTCTCAAGACCTAAACTCATTCCAAGAGTACGGAGCACACAGGTTAAAAAGGATCTAGACCTTTACTGAAAAGGGAGACGGAGGGGAGATGCCTATTGTCTACAGAGTACGGAGTTACTAGGGTGGTAGAAAGCGTTGTCGTACTGTTCCACGCTCATCTGACAGAGCAAGGGACGAAGGGTCAAAGATAGAAACGTTGATTTTCAACATGACACGACTAAAAAAAAGTGAAGAGGGGGAAAGAGAGGGGGTGAAGGTGAGGAGGGAGGGGGAGGGGAAGGCTTGAGATGGATTGTCTTTTTTTGGTTTGGTTTCTTTTTGTCCTTTCTTTCTTTTGTTCTTAACAGTACATCGATGGAGGTCGATGCTGGAGGTATTGAATTGATGAGTAATTGCGGGAGAAAGCTGGTAAGGGCTGATGATGACACTGTTAGACAGTTGGAACGCAAGGGAAAAACAACTAGCGAGGAAAAAAGAGGAAGAAAAGAAAAAGTAGTAGATGATATTTTTTTCCATCCCGGGGAGAAATCAAAAGCCCAAATCTTCATATCTTCCCTGCCATCGTCATGGGCATGATAATGGGCGTAATAGTAGGAACAGGAGGCGCCAACAACAACACCACCGCCGATACCACCGCAATTATCACATCCAGCAGGGTTGATGACCCCCGGCCGCGTCCGTTTCCGTGCGCGAGTCCACCTCCAACCACTCCCTTCACCAGGATCGGTCCATATGCGCTTAGTCCTTGCTCTTCTTGGGGCCCTTGACCTTGGCGATTCCGCGGAACTTCTTGGAGCGGTTCTTCCTTTGCTTGCCTGTTTGTCGAAGAAAAGATACATGTCAGCCCTTGTTCTTGTTCCCATGTTCGTATGATAATATCCGATCTGATGATTCTGGAGGAATGATGATAACGTACGCTGCTGTCGGCTGGCCTTCTCGATCTTGGTAGCGGCACCGATGCGGACCAGGCGGTAGTGAGGCTCGAACTTCTTCAAGGCCTCCTGGGAGTCGTAGACCAGAGCGAAGCCGGTGCTCTTACCACCACCGTATTGCGTACGGAAACCGAAGACGGAGACCTGGTCCTTGTTGGACTTGTACAGGTCGGCGAGCTTCTCGCGGAGCTCATCCTTGGAGACGTTGGCACGGTTGGGGTGGAGGACGTCCCTGATGAAAAATGTCAGATTCGATGGACAACATTAAATTTCCCCTCCAGGTCCCAAAATCATATAATCCAGCATTAAAAAAAAAAAATCAGGCAAAAGCCATCAAAACGAGCGTTTCTCGTTTTTTCTCTTCTTTCTTTCTTTTTTCTTTCTTGTATCCCCATCTCCTCTCCTTTCCCCCCATATGACCGGGACTCTGGAATTCAACGCAGGAAGGGTAATAATCTTACACGACCATCTGCTTTCTGGCGAGCAGCGGGTTGCGGATGAACTTGCGCGTCCGCAGGGTAACGGGAGTGTCGGCCATGATTGCGGTGAGGTTGTTGACGAGAGGGTTGAACCACCACAAGTTGGACGAAGGCTGAAGGTAGGGGGGTTGTCGCTGTCGATTAGCCGGGCTCGAAATGCGATTCAATTTCGTTTTCCCTTTCGTTGTGCAGTTCCAGCTGTGGGCTCGGCTAGGGCAGAGACTAGCCGCTTCGGGTATAGGGCGCACGTGATGGGCTTTCTCAGTAGAACGGCCAAGTTGAAGTCGAAGTTGACAATAATTGCTTGCGATTGTGATTTTTGCGAATAATTGAATGCTAAATGCTGGATGCTGAATGCTGAAATGGATGAAATCAACACCCTCGTCGCCCAGTACTTCCAGCTGGTCGACCCCCACCATCTCAATCTCCCCGATGGCCCAACCATCGTCAAACCCGCCATCCAAACAGCCCTCTACGAACGCATGTTCAACGAGGATACTGTATGGCCTATTCCACCGGTGAATTACCGGTCTCGAGTGTTAAAAATGATCATCTCGAGAATCGAAGAGTCCATCTCGGATCCTGAGGAGGATGTATGACCAACCCTACCATCACCACTATGATAGACGTACGCAATGTGTATACACATATTATGTTTGCTTTTAATATTGAATATTGAATATAATTGTTTACTATGAGACGATAAATATCTAACAAGAAATAGGAGATCATATCCGATCTCATGGAAACCTGGTCCACCCTCATGACCACCCCCAAACCATCCCCTCTCCAACAAGCCCAACAACTCTCCTACATCAAATACACTGCCCCAACCACCACTGCCAGCACAGTCACTACCCCCCGCACAGTCATCACCTCCGAATCAAGAGGCCTCATCCTCTCTGCCGGCACAACCGGTTTCCGAACCTGGGAAGCAGCCCTCCATCTCGGCTCTTTCCTCGCCACGCCCGCCGGCGAAGCCCTCGTCCGCGGGAAACGAGTTATTGAGCTCGGCGCGGGTACGGGGTTTCTGTCTATGTTTGCGGCCAAGTATCTAGGTGTGCAGAGGGTGGTTGTCACGGATCGGGAGGAGGCGTTGTTAGATTCGATTCGGGACTGTGTGGGGAGGAATGAGTTGGATGGGCGCGTGTTGAGGCCGGCGATTTGGGAGTGGGGGAGCCCGTTGGATTTTGAGAAGGGGGATGATGGTGAAGATGGGGTGTTTGATGTTGCGCTCGGGGCTGATTTGGTATGCTTCATTTCAATCTCATTCGCTAACTAGTCCAGTCTGTGAGGCTTACGATGATAGATCTATGATACCGATCTCGTTCCACTCTTGTTATCAACATTAACGACCCTTTTTGATACTTACAAGATCAAGTGCTTTATCATTTCCGCCACCCTCAGAAATCAAGATACTTTCCAGACATTTTTGAACGCTTGTGGTAGGTTCTCTTGAACCAGTGTATCAGACGACGTTTCTAACTCGGTGCAGAATCAACCCATTTCAAAGCAGAGTGCATGGAGTTCCGTTCTCCAGCGGAGGAAACACAGACAGGCTTCTTCCATGCTACTGGGATTCCAATTCGGACTTATAAGATTTCTAAGGTGATAGAATATGCTTCGGATTTGGTTTAAAAAGGATTTTTGGGGTTGGTGGTTGCTAGCCAGCAGTACTTGCCAGTAATATTGATTATGATACACAAAACGAGTGACGATGTAATACATCAGCAACTGATTCATCGTGTTTGACAAAGAGTGAAAACATCCATGAAAATCTATAAAAGTAATCAAAACACCATCTATAGAAAGTAACCATGTATTATGCAATATAAAACACCGAAAGATAGATATATATCACATATAAGATCACATTGAAGAGCCGTCTGCTCGTGGGGTATCGTATTAGAAAGAATAAACATGCAAGTAATACCCGCTATCGATAATGTCCGAAAAAAAAACACAAAAGCCAAAAAGTGCAGATCTGAAATGTTGTATAGCGACAGTAGGCGATGTATTGGATAGATAAACGTTGAATGGTATAATGTAAAGTCATGTAAGATAGTCATATAGTCGTGCTGTAGATATCAAAGGTTGGTTGATACCACAAGTGAAAAAAAGACCAGAACTGGTCTACTCGGCCAAAGACTCTCGCAACAAGTCCTCATCCAACCCTTCTGCGTGAATGGCGCTGGGAGCCCGAGATCGGGGATGAAATCCCTTGATAGGACCGTTTTGATTTACGCCGGGATATCTGAAAACCAAGCCCGATGCCGAATCAGCTTTTGAGTTGTTCTGAGCAGCACCAGCAGAGTGAGGTCTAAAAGAAATTGGGGCGGAAGTTACAGGAGAGTCTGGAGTCTTGGGAACCGGGCTGATCCTCTGTGGCTGAGACTTGGTGTTGTCATCAGGCTCTTCAGAGGATGCGCCCCACCGACCACGCATCCAACTTCCCACACGACGACCAAGCGAAACTTTTCGAGTCGGGGTTGTAGATTCGATGGGCTCGTTCTCGGTGGATGAGGAGTCGGCTTCGGGGTTGGTTCTCACGACAGAAACAGAAGCGAGGTAAGACCGGGGCGAACGCTCAGGGATCTTCTGACCATTTTCCCCATCAGCCATGGCCGTATTGGACGAGAAGACCGGCACGGTGGAAGACATGTCAACACTCGGCGAGGCGATCTTGCGAGGGAATCGTACTGGAATGGTCGGGTGCAGAAGACTCATCCGCGAAGGACGGTTGCTGGGCGTGTGGATGTCCATGCCTGCAACGGAGAAGAGATCGTCGTGAGACGGGGACTTGCGGGCAGAAGAAGCGCTATACGGAGACGCAAAGACATCGTCATTGGCAGCTGGATGAAGGCCACACTCTGGCTCCGCACATTTGGAGGATACTTCCTCACTCTCTTCAGGAATTGCAGGCTGCACAGGAACACCATCACCAAATTCAGCATCGTACTGCTCAGCGAAATGGCTGTAGTCCAGATTGAGCAGCTCATCGTTGGCAGGCTGGTCGAAACCCTCCGGCGCTAGGCCTGGCAGGACAGAAACATCTGATTTCCTGTGTCGATTTCCCAGATAGGGAGACGAGAAGACGGTGCTGTCAGGGCTGGTAGGCCGAGAAGATTCAAATCCCCGGTCAACTCGGTCAAAGATAGACGCTGGCCGGTAGCCCGACTGGGGAGAGCTCGACAGGGAATCGATGGCTGGCGACTGCGAGGACCAACGGCGAGAAGCTGCACCAGTAGGCAGGGGAACCGAGGCTTGAGAGTGAACCGTGGAGTTGGACGAAGCCGAGGGGTTGTGGTTATGCAAGGACTTGCGGGAAAGTGGGGTACCCGATGCAGAGTGCAAGATAATCGGGCTTCCAAGCAAGGAGCGTCTCTTCTTGGAACGACCAAAGACCCGCTCGCGCTTGGAGCCAGCCGAAACGGACGAGCTGTGGTAGTGGTGATGAATGTGGTACTCCTGCGAGATGCGACGTGCCTCGCTGGACTCGAGTTCCTGACTCAGAGTCGTAGACTGGGGAGCTCTTCCTTCTTGGCCTTCGGTGGTATCGAGGGGCTGGTGCGTCAGGACCTGATCCCGCAGGTTCTGTACCTCTAGGTTCGAGCTGTCCAGCATCTCCCGAAGCTCCATAATGCCCATCTGTAGATTGGCGTTGTCTTGCAGAATGTCGCGAACAAAGCGAGACACGACGTTGGTTCCATTGGGGTTCCGACCCAGCTCCTGAGCTGCGGCAGCACCCTTGAGACGGCCAGCAGCACCGTCGAGCTCACGTTCGACGACTCGTCGGCGCTCCATGCGTTGAACCATCTCAGAGTGTCGCTCTTGCTCATCGCGGGTCTCCTTCTCCATCTTCTCGACTTGGTCTTGAAGACTTTGAAGGGTCGACTCGGCCTTCTTCCAGCGCTGCACAGCAGATTTGTTGTCATTTTGTGCAGTCTGCAAGTTATCCTGCAGCTTGGACTGTTCTGTCTCCATTTCCGAGAGTTGAGCCTCAAGATCGGCCGCCCGAGCTGCAGTAGCGGTTACTTTGCGGAGCTCAGCCTCTGTAGTTTCAAGGGTAGCGGTGAGAGATTTGGAGTGAGCATCAGAGTCGGCAATGTTCTTATTAAGGCCTTCGAGTTGTTCGAGAAGGCCACGATTCTCTTCGATGATACGGACATTTTCCTCTTCTACTTGGCGCTTCTGACGTTCCAGCTGGTCGATGTTAGAGTGGAGGCGTTGGCGATCTTCCTCCGCTTCTACCATGTAAGACTCATGGCGGTGTAGTAGGGCCTGAAGAGCAAACGTTAGCGACGACGACCCCATAATGTCGGTGGATGCAGAAGGATCTCGATCTCCTGCAGTGGAGGCCATGACGGACAAAAACACAATTATTCAGGATGGGGGATCGCAATCCCTTAGAATCCATCTGGACTTGTATGGTACGGGCAGACCAGTACCACCAGTGCCACAGGTTCTTATTATTGTGTACGACTTGATCAAAGAAGGGGTGGGGATAGACAAGAGAGCAAAGGCAAAGAATTCCAGAGTGGAATGTACACGAAAGGGGAGAAAAAGGAATATAGAATGTGGGTAGGGTAAGCAGCGGGCAGCAGCGTGTCACTGCGTAGTAGATAAATGTATGTCGTAGCATGTACGCAAGTATGGTATGAGACTGGGACTATGGAGCGACAGAATGGAAATAGATAAACCACCAGCCCAGGCGAGTATGAATCATCGCCAGAGAGGGGTAACCCGGATAAAAAAAGAAAATGAGGCAAGAAGAAGGTGATGATGAAAGGAAAATTAAAAAACGAAGGAACGAAAAAGGAAAAGTAACGAGATAGCGTACCTGACCAAGTCTGGCAGCAGTTTCAAGGTCTTTCTCCAAGCCCTCCAGCGCCTGATGGTTGTGGGCGAGGAATGTACACTCGGGGCGGCCACAACAGCAGCGCAAAGTGGGCGACGAGGCCGACGAGTGGGTGGGAATGCCGGGGAGGTGGCCTGCAGGAACCGGGCTATGCGAATGAGATGCCATGGCTAGCAGAGGCAGAGAGGAGACAGGAGGAGAGAATGTGAGGATGAGTTGGCACCCCCTGGACGCAGTGGACGGCGCGATGAGCTGGAGCGGAGACGAGCCACCATCGAATGACAGTGAACAGGAGGGGGGGTTGAAGTGGATATGCAGCCAAAGACAGGGCGAGGAATAATACGAGTTTGATTTCAGCTGGGCTTCAGCATCCCATCACAGCATGATTATCCTTCTTTTATTCCTGCCAGCTGCGATAAAGGCCGACTTGGACGGTTTGGACACTAGAAAACAAAGGCGGAGAAGGCCCAGTCAGACGGTGACGTTGATTACCATATTGGCGGCCACTGATTGGCTGGTGGGCATAATACGGTTACCGGTAGTACGGTACAGCCACTCCACCCGTCTCCGGTATCAGGGCGGTATTACTCTCTCTTCCCTCTGCTATTTATGCGTAATCTACCTGTATTCTATGTAAATATGCGTACAGCACCAACCACCTCAATTTCGACCCGCCAAGAACCGATCCTACATTGCGAGAAAATGCAGATTCCGATCAGCCAAACTCCATTATCCATCCAGCACAGACAGTCCAGTCAATCCACTCCGAACCATATTAGCTACAGGAGCTCTTGTCCACTTCAGCTCGCCTTTATCTACTTCATAGCCTTTCATGGCCCCGTTTCACAGAATTTTTTTCCACACCAGGCCAGCTCAATGCGCATCCTAATGTCCCTTTCAATTCATGCGGCCCAACCATCTGGCAGTCTGGCGCTGGTCCAATGCAGCAAGTCCCACTGCTCTGATGCCGTCGGGCATAGGACAACACACAACCATCGTGACTCACTTCTTTCATGCTGTCAAAGGGGAAAAAAATTCGTGCTTTAGTCTGTTCCTATGGGGTCCGTCATATTCGTAACTGTTCTCAAAGCATTTAGATGCATGTCCTACTGCCATTTGCCATGTGAAACCCATATACATAGTGAGGCATACATAATAATACGTAATTGATCACCAGAGGGGCTCATCGCGCAATTGCACAAAAGAGATAGAAAACGAAGAATGGAGAAAAATAATGAATCGAGTAGTCCCAGTCTTCAAATGCACTTAGAGTAACTTAAAAATATTCAGACGCTCCAGTGGTCAAATCAAATCAAGAAATCATTCCGCACATTGATAAACGCCCCAGCGCCGCCTTCCTCACTAATCTCATTCACCAGTACTTCCGTCTGTTGGTATAGTCGCTCCAATGCGGCCGATGACGATTTGCCGAGAGATACTGCGCCTGTCAGCTCTTATCCGCAGATATGAAAAGCGGGCTGAAACATGAACTTACCTAAAATGGCCGAATTCAACTCCTCTGCCACAATTGCCCGCCCTCTGGTGTCCAGATAGTGACCATGCATCGACCGTTTCGGATGAGAGTATGCTACTAGCGAGAAGATGCCATCCAGCATCTTTTTGTTACCGCCTCGTTCGTCTGTCGGATAGTCTATCCGCAGTTGTTGTCCATACTGCACAGCTTCGGTCAGGAGCTCGTAGAATCGGGCCATCGTCTCAGGCTCCTCGGTATCCATCCCATCGGCCTCCCAGCCATCTCCTTCCTGCATCTGCTCGTCCAGCTCCATTTCCTGGTCGAACACGGCACCGCCATCCGACAGCCCGTTGGATGTCTTGCCTCGTTTTGGTGCCGCCAGCGACACTTCATTGCATCGTCGTATCATCTCCAAAAACTTGCGACATCGTAGTTTGAAGTGGATGTGAGGATAATCGTGTAAAACATTCGCGTAGTACGCATTGGTGTACTTCAATGCTTTGTCAATATCGCCATCGAGAATCGCCGCTCGAATCTCTGCGGTCGCAGTTAGCGAGGATCAGGAAGGGGATGGATGAATCTCTTACTCTGTCGATTAATCGCTTCCACGTCCTCTTCCACCTCGTATTTCTTGAGCGACTTTTCACGATCACTCTGCAGCGCTCCCGATTCTGCAACAACTTCTCCGGCAAAGGCCCGGGCTGTTTCTACATAGCCATCATGAGCCAATAACTGTGCAACCAGCTCCTGGAGCAGTGTACTCTCATCCAACGGTGGTTGTAAGTTCGCCGTGCTCGTTGCGTTGATCTCTGAATGGATAGAAAACTTTTCTTTCTGCAGGGCATCAGGTTAGCATTTAATACCCGATCAAATCTATCGAACAGCACACACCTTGACCATGCCATCAATGTCGAATATGAATGGCAGCTGCCCGAAGTTCGCAGCCAGGTGCACAGGCGGTTGCTTCTTCATTCCCACAGATGGGTACAGCTTCACATTTCTCAGTTCCCGGAAGGCATTACCTAGATGGATATTGTCAGCGTCCGCTTGTAGAAAGCTATCCCATAGTAGCACCATACCCAGGAAATCACCATTCTTGGTAAAAAAGGCACAGCCCGTAGAAAAGTTCACACCACATCCCACTGTGTCGCCCGCTCCAAAAGTCGGACCATACGGTCGCCCTTGGCCTTGACTTTCTCCAAAAAATGACTTGCCATCATCGCCGTGATAGGCCCAGGATTCCTGCTCCCACCCGGGAAGTCTTTCCACAGACGCTTTATTGCTAGAGAATCCGATTCCGATCATTCTACTATAGTCAGCATTTATTACAATCCTACTAAAGAAAGTCCAAAACATACCCCTCCTTCGGTTTCGAATGGATGGTAATTTCAAAATAGTAGATTCCACATTGTGGCGGCATGGGGTTATCAGCACGGACAGCGGCCGCTTCATGATCATGCTTATTGATCGGGCCTGTATACCGAACCTCAAGACCCCCACCAGTAAGCTCGAGTCCGGAATACTTATCCGCATCATTCCATCGAGCCGGGAGGGGCTGGAGGTTTTCGTCGTCGGTTTTGGGGGGTTCTCTTTCGATGATATCATACGTCATTCCGCGGTGGGATGGGGCCATGCGGTGGAGATTTACATGGCTCGAGGAAGCAGAGAGGGGATTCGAAGCGGCAGAGGAAGAGGCGACAGCGTCATGCTGGGCGGCGAGCTTTGCTCGATGGGCGGCATCAAGGCGGGAGATGTATCGGGAGTCGCGGAGGTATGATGGGGTGAAGAAGGGAGGGGACGAGGAAGCTTCGGGGTAGCTGGAGCCAGGGCCGTGGAGGAAGGTATCGTAGCGGGGGAAGCTGTTGAACTTGCGGGAATACAGAGGAAGCGAATCGCCCGGTCCTGGCGTCGACCTCCAGGCGGAATTCATCTGCATATCTGCATCCACGGCGGCGGATGAGAGCGTCTGTTGGCGGCCGTCGGGTGGGAAGGGCGCGGGGGGTAGATAGGATGAAGTGGAGTGGTGGGCGGAAGAGGGAAACAGGTGCGAAAAGGGACTGTTGCTAGAGCTTTGTGGAGAGAGTGCGGTCCCGGACAGGACCGAGGCGTAGGAAGAACGGCGTGGGATCGAGGAAATGCTGGGACTGGGATATGAGGTTGTTAATGTTGGAGGAGCTCCTCCTCGAGCTCCACCGGATGGGGGGAAAGGAGCATTGGTCATGCTGTCGTCGTTGGGCGGATCCAACAAGCAGCCGCCAGACGAGCACTCTCACACGAGCTGGAAAAGCCACCCACGGTTGGCTGTCTTGATGCTCTATCAAGACGAGGCTAATAAGTTTATTCTGAAAGCCACAGTCGTCTTCCTTTCTTTCGTCCGGTTCTTCGGTTGATGTCGTCTGTTGGAGAAATGGCGTCAATATTAGATGCCCTTTCCGTAAACGGACGACGACAACCGGAAGCAGCAACAACTTTTTATCTTCTTTCAGAAGATGAAGATGGTGATGATGAGTAGATGTTAATCCATTAAATCAAGGATCCGTAAATCAATCAAGAAGCCAACAGACAGACAGACAAGCAAGCACCCGACCGTGTACGATGGATGTCCTCATGTACGACGGTTGCAGAGTATGATAGAGAACAGAACGAGGGAAAGACTGAAACCCCTCGAATCCATGATGGCTGGTTAGAATGGGACACTACTCCTCTTCTTCTACACTACGACAGGCATGTTATTATAGCAGTGCCCGTAGGGAGTACACTGACATTACACTGCGGGGGAAGACGCTGGGGCCTGTCATGATCAGAAGACATCTAAAGACAAATAAGGAATGGATGATTAGATTAAGAATTCGTTAGGTAGGTGTTTAGTATTGATCTTGATGGTAATTCTTAAACATCTCAGGCAATCGATTCTCTGTAGATGGATGAATATATAGACATACCAGATACATATCCTATCCTGCATATTCCTCAACACCCCCTCCTTGTCTGACATGATTTCATCTTGGCCAGAAAACAGGTGATCACACCATCTCAGCTCCCCTGCCAGAATCATCATGCTCGGATAGTATCGAAATCAAGCTTACAGGTTCATATACAGCTCCATGGTATATCAAAAACGGAATAATGGCCGACACGCGACACCATGACAGCATATAAACTTAATATATACCAGACGTTGCATCCAGAGCAACAATGTTCAAGGATACCCTATCGGTAGCCTTGAAGCTGACATTAAACATCTTCAAATACTACAATGAACCGATGGTAAAACAATGCTAATAATTGAATACGTTAACAACCATAATCCTTTTATCTCTGCAGCTTTTCGCTTCGAGACCAATAATACAATGCCCATAAATTCCTGCATGGCTGACATGCGGCCAGAAAGATACCCCCAATAAAAATCAAAACCCAATTCCTCCGTAAAAAACCCCTAGTGGTACACATAGAAGATAAGCCAGCGGTTGGTAACAAGTAGAACAGAAACAAAGAAGATAATGTAGCAGCCAGACCAGTGTAGACATAAATAGAGAGCTCTATCCATCCATGCCTGAAGATAACAAATTAGAATAGTGGTTGATGAAACAACTCTTCAAACCGACGCCGAAACCAGGAACAAAAAGCCGACAAACGCTGAAACCCGTCCAAAAGATAAGAAAAAAAGCAAAAGAAAAAAATATTTTACAAGAATGTTGATATGCGAGATGATCGAGTGGATCAATAGTGGTGCTGTTGGGGCATAGAAGCCTAGGCGGTCATTGCAATAGCGGGAGAAGAAGCCTCGACCATTGGCTGAGGAACTGGCGTGAGACCCCCATCTCCAGAGTTGCTTTTCTCGCTGGGGACACCACTGGCACTCTGGTTGGCCTTGCTGTCGCTGTCACCCGTCTCAAGAACAGTCGCGTTGACTTCGCCGTTCTGCTCGGGGTTCTGGGACTTGGGCAAGCTCCAGGTGGAAAGCTGCCATTGAATGCCGGTAAAGCTCTTGAGTTGTAGAGGCTTGCGCTGCCACTTGCGACACGGAGCACCCGAGCGATCCAAAGCACGCAGACCAGCATTAATGGCACCAGTGTTGGCCTTGGGGCCTAGCTTGTGACCAGGTGGAAGGGGTTTGGCTGCGTCGAGGTTTCCATCATCACTATAAAAATTAATGTTAGTGATCATGCGAACAGACTAGAAAAATAGACAAGGGCAAAGGAAACATACAGTCTAGGCTTCTTTTTCGGCCCAGGCTTCCCTCGCGCCTTGGGAACCGCTTCACCCGTCTGGTTGAGACCTCTCTTGCTTCCAGGCTTAGGACCAGGCACACCCTTCCGACGAGGAGTTTCTGCAGACGCAGCACCTGTAGCGGGAGTTGAGGCAGCATCTGAGGCATTATCGACGGACGAAGGGGGAATCGGTGGGTCCGCGAAAGACGAGGCAGGAGAGGATTCCTTCATATCCTTTGTTTCCTTCTTGATGGGAGAGCTGAGAAGGTCGGTGCTGTTGATCTTGCTTTTAACGTCGGCAGGACTGGCAAAACGACTCAGTAGGTCAGAGGACAGCTTGAGGACGACCGTGCCTTTGGAAGTTCCAGTCCGGCTGGAGCGACCGTTGGCGGTAGACGTAGCAGAGCTAGACGACGGCATTGTTCTGAAGTGAGGTTGTATGGAAATATTGTTTCCTTTTTCTTTTCTTTTTCCCTTTTGGTCGTGTGTTAATTTTTTTTTCTTTCTTCAGTCAAAGAAAAAAAGGGGAAAGAAATAAACAAGCCGACAAAGCCGGAATAGGGAGTTTTCGCAAACAGAAAAGTAGGTAGGTTGGGGGGGAGTGGTGAGAAGAATGAAGTATTTCAAAAGGCGATTGTGACGTGGGAGAAAGAAGTCAACCGCCTCACGTCAGGATGGCTGGAGAGTTGGGCTGAGAAAGTGGTTTTGTTTGGTTTTGGTTCCAGCAGGTCAAAAGCGGCGGCGAGACACGACGAGGCGAGGCAAAAGTCTGTACGCAGGGCTGATGGAGGATGATGACATAGTCTGCCTTGGGAAGTGGTGATGGTGAAGATGGATGGGGGATGGGGGGGAGGGAAGAAGAAAAAGAGGGAGAAGGAGAAGAAAGGGATGGGGATGGAGGTTTCATTGTGGTGTGGTTTTGGTTTGTGGTTTTCGGGTTGGTGTGGTTCGTCTAGTAGACTTCTGTGCGGTCAGGGAGAGAATTTAGTAGGAGAGAAGAAGAAGCCGGAGAGGAGTTGAGGTTGTAGTCTCCGCGTTTCGTACGGTACGCGTATAGACACCTAGGTGCCTAGGTATAGATAGGCATAGATGGGTAATAGTATATTATAATGTTTCTTCATTATTATTTACTATATATTCTATTCTATTTGATTGATGATTCTATCTTTCCTGCTCTTGAATGAGTGCTCATTCTCTAGTATGGATCGCCAGTCCCGCCGGCAAATGTTGGTCAACCAGTCGTTAGACTTTGGACAACTTCCCCTTCCACAGCTTCCGACGCAGCGCTCTAGATGAGCAGATCTTGGATAGATCATAAGACGAGTACAAGCCGAGAATAACTAATCCCATGGCCATCTCACCTTCTCCTCCTCCGGCAAGCTCAGTGTCGAGGCCAATCATCTGATCCTATCACCAGAACAACAGTAAGTTCCTCGTTAGTTGCTCCTGTACGCAACCAAGAATTCCAAACCCGGTCGGGTCGCCACATTCGGAATCGGAGCACAAACACCAGAATTGGATGAAACGAAACGAAAATAAAAAGGAAATGAGGGGGAACAAAGAGTTAGAAAAAAAAAAAGAAACCATGGCTGAACTGACCCGTTCATCCCGTCATCCGTCGCTGCTCCGATCATCCATCATCATGTATTCACCCCTACTGCATCAACTAGCCGTCCCATGACGCAGTGTTTGGTATTATTGCTCGACCGCTTGTCTTGGAATTGAGACCAGAACAGTAATCATACAAAATACTACTAAAAGGTACCTACTATCATTATTTGCACCGCCTCTCCTCCAGACAGTGTAACAAGATAACCATCCTATAATATAATAAACTATGCCTAGACACTTGCGTAGGCACTGCCATCCACATCATCTAAGCGCCAACAAAATAGCATCCAACCAGGCCGAATTGATCCACTGCCAATGCAACACTACTTCTTTTCATTTCAATAATGCCTCACCACTCACCAACGTGAGATATTCACCCCCATTCAACGATGGACAAAATTTCTTCGATAAAAGTCTTCGTAAAGGAGTTGACGAATATATTCAATGGTATCAATAAATGTTACAATTATTTAAATCTAATACACATTTCAATCTGCCTTCTTTTCCTCGTTTTTCCTTTGGATAACTTGAGCAACAGCTTGCTGCACTTCTGGACTTCGCCTCACACTGCTCAACACCAATCCCTCCTTCATTCCCTTGCGCAAGGTAGCCACGCCCTCTCGATCCCCACGGAACGGAGCAAAGCCCAGTTGTAACAGTCGAGTGGCTTCGGAATCAGTTGCACCTGAAAGCTGCATCACCTGTCCCAGGCGCTGGAGAAGTTGCGGGTTTATTCGCTCAGCTGCGGGGACAGATGACGACTTGGTTGCTTCTGGCGGGGTGAGCTGGGAGATGAAGATATGCAGCGTAACAGAGGCCCGTCGGGCGAGCGTCAAAATTTGGAACGGAAGAAGATAGAAAGTCGAATGGGTGGAGATTCCTAGTATACTTTGCAGAGCTGGAGGAAGATATGATGCGGGCATGAATAGCGCCAGGGGGTGAGTAGTCAAGGCAAGTTCGAGTGTAATCAGAGCAGCGAAGGTGAAGAAGCGCCACTATAAACAGCCATGTTAGATAGATTTAAACAATTACAGGGACACCACTCACGTAACGGCCCCAGTTAGACCACCAGGTGAAATTTAGAAAAATGACCGTCGTAAATCCTGCCAGGTACTGCGGAATGATCGACTGGAACGCCGCAAAGAAGAAATCTTGCATCGTCTTCTTATTATTCCAAGTCAAAATCTCTGGCCCGAATCGATCGTATGCAAACCGTTTGGCCGGGTCCAGCAACGTATCCTGCGCCAGCTTTAGGTATACAAAGTAGTTTTCCGACCCCGCGTATGGGACCCCATTGCCCGAGACCACTTTGTCCGGATGATGCTGGGCTGCCAGCCGTCGGAATCGCGACTTGATCACCTTGTCATCAGCCAGTGGGGAGACGCCCAGAACACGGTAGAAGTCGCCTGCGACTCGGACCTGATAGAATGTTTCGTAGAGCGTATACAGGAGGTAGCTCGTTACGACAAAGATGAAGATGCGACGGCGATGTTTCGCATACCGTGGAGATGGGGGCTGAGGCCGGGGATCTCCTGCGCGAATTGTGATTCCATAATAGATGTTCTGGAGGATAGAGGTTGCATACTGGGGAGATTCTTTGTTAACCACGACCGTTTATATCGCGGTTGGGATAATGCACTTACATTAGGGAGAAATGCCCAACCAGCAAAGGACAGGAGGGACGACATGACAGCGCCAAATCCTCAACTCTCCATGAAATAATGTAGACACCCAAAACTAATACCTGTATATCACAATATGACTTGCATAAGTGATGATAATCAACACGACTGGCCATGATTGACACTTGTCTTGCTGCCCCAGCATCCCACCGCCCTACATACCGCCTTCCCGATCCTCCCCGCAAGCCAACGAAAAAAAAAAAAAGTTCTCGACTCTAAAGAAAAAAAAAACCTCATTATCGCCAATTGATATTTAGATATAGCTCTGCGGGGCACATTTTGTCCACCATGGCAATTGATGCGATGGATATCGATACTAGTCCTCCGCAGACCGGAGTGATAGAACCCGAGCGCAAACGCAAGCATAAGAATAAGGATCAGCACTCGTCGCCATTGAAGAAGAAGAAGCGGAGGCACGAGATCGCAGATGAGGCCGCAACATCGGAAAAAAAGAGCAAAAAATCCAAGGCCAAGGCGAAAAGCAAATCGGAAACGGCATCATCGAGCATTCCCGACTCTCCTTATACGCTGACTACCGCATCACTCTATCTTCCTCTGTCGCCCATTTCCATCTCCCCGACGCACGCTCTCGCTTCGCTTTTGGCTGAGCATCTTTCGCCTCTCCTTCTCACGTACTACCCGCCCCTGAAGGGTATTGTGCTGGCCTACTCCAATGCCTCGATATCTAGTACCCCGCCCTCTGCGTCATCCGCCTCCAACCCCAACGATCCAAACCCACAGCCCTTGACCCTCGCGACCACGGCAAACGAGTACGGTGTTTTGTACGTCTACTTGACAGCAACCTTCTTGGTATTCCGCCCGCAGCGCGGTCAAATCCTCGAGGGATGGGTGAATGTCCAGTCGGAAGGTTTCTTGGGAGCCGTGGTCCTCAACCTTTTCTCCGTAGGCATTGAGCGGAAAAGACTCCCCACGAGCTGGAAGTGGGTTCCTCCAGGCGAGGAGGGAGAGAGCGGTGCCACTGATGACAGTGGAGACAAGCAAAAGAATTCCGAGGACGACGAGGACTCTGAAGCCTCCCCCTTCTTCAACCCGGAAAAGGAACACTTCAAGCCCGTTGCTCTGGCGTCGGATGCGAACCCACTCTCCGAGACTATCGACCAGGAACTCGCCGGTGGAGAGGACGACGACGCAGCCGCAGAAGGCTACTTCCAGTCTGTATCTGGCCATCGGGTGCGCGGTACGGTTAAATTCCGCGTCGTCGACATCGACGTTATCCCGGGCACTGAGCGGGAGCGTGGCTTTATGAGCATCGAGGGTACCATGCTCACCCCCGAGGAAGAAGCCAAGGTCATCGAAGACGAGCGCAATGGCAATTTTTCGGCTGCCATGACGCCCCACAGACCTACCATGTCCGGAGCGTTACCATTTAGAGGAACTTCTGCCCAGGCTGAACAGCAAGACGCCGCAGAGGCCGAGCCTTTAGAATCACCAGTCAAGAAGAAGGAGCCCAAGGCGGAAAAGGAAAAGAAGACGAAGACCAAGTCGAAGAAGAAAGAGAAATAAATGATATCCTCGAGTTGAGTTGAGGTGGTTTATTCTTGTCATTTAACTACAATGTATGCACGCTTGTCATTCTCATGTCATATATTCGATTTCATGGTTGGCGTTAGAAAGGACAGCAATCAAAATTCATTATCTTGTTAAAGCCGATGGTCGTAATGGACATATATTGTTACTTTGCTATTATAGTGTCCCCATTAATAAAGATGAAATCTCAATTTAGATATTCATCGTCTTTGGCACCCCAACAGCCAATACATCCACACCACTCTCAATCTCCGCCTTGGTAGGCATATTCCCCCTCCGCATCAACTCTGCACTCTTAGCCATGATAGGGTCCATCCCCATCGTAGCGACAGCAACCACCGTGTTACCTTTTGTGTAATACGCAACGAACTTCGCATTCTCGGGCTCACCACGAAGAATCAACCCATCCCATCCATTGGGAGTATTACCGCAATACCGCAACTGAGCGCCCAACGCAGACCAGAAAATAGGAATGAACACCTTGGGCTTGAGAGACTGCAGCGAGGACGAGAAACTGTGCACGATGGATCGGGCAACGCCTCGGCCGGCATTCTGCGCAACGTTCCAGTGCTCGATTCTTGTGTATGTGCCCTTTTCTGGGTCGGTGCCTGGTCCGTGGTAGGGGTATGTTGCAATATCTCCGATGGCGTAGACGTCATTGTTGAGACCTGGTACGGCGAAATGTTCGTCTGTTTTGATGGAGCCGTCTTGCTCGAGCTGGATGGAGGGGTTTTCGCGCAGGAAATCTGTAGCCGGACGAACGCCAACGCCTAGAATGACTAAATCGGCTGGGAGCTGTGTGCCGTCTTTCAGGTGCACAGCACCGACACTCTTGGGGTAAGAATCGGATGCAATTGCTTTGGCGACGGATGTGGCTAGTTTGAATTTGACGCCGGCCTTTTCGAGGTTATTCTGGAAGATCCGGCCAACTTTCTCGCCCATGACGGTTTCCATGGGGGCATTTTCCATGCCCACGATGGTCACGTCGTTTTCCTTGGCGAGGGCATTGCCCACCTCCATTCCGATGAAGGAACTTCCGATGACCACAATCTTCTTGTTCTTATCCCCCACTGCTGTGAGGATATCCTGCACGTCGGTGACGGTGCGAAGCAGGAAGATATTGCTCAAGGTCTTGAACCCTTCCATTGGAAGAGAACGTGGCATACCACCCGTAGCAAGAACCAGCTTGGTGTACGGGTATGCTTTGCCGGATTTTGTAGTGACAGCCTTGCTATTGAAGTCGACGGAGATCACTTCGTCAAAGACAGTGTTGATAGAGGCGGACTTGTACCATTCCTCAGGGCGCCAGAGGATCTTCTCTACGTCAGGGATTAGAGCCTTGGACAGCTTGGTTCGGTCGATGATCAAATTCGGTTCTTTGGAGATGATGGTGATGGTTCCTTTGTATTTCAATTCGCGAATAGCCTGCACCACTCCAAGGGTTCCGCTTCCACTATAGAGAGATCAGCCTCGTTGAGTTGATATAATCCAGAAGGAAAAAGACGACGACTTACCCTCCAACAATAACGACCCTCTCCGGCTCAGAGGCACTGCACTTCAGAACAGGATCCCTCTGTCCAAATCTAATCGCCGACTCCTCACCCTTGATATAAACCGCTCCATTCTTCTCCACGACCTCGAACTTATTCAAAGCATTAGGAGCAGGCGCATCCTCAACGTCTCCACTGCCAATATTAAAGCATGCTACAGCACCATCAGCACCCACATCATTCATACCAAGAAATCCATGGAAAATGAAAATACCCACCTCCATGCCATGGGCACGTAATCCTTCCATCCGGCGAAACAACGCCCAATTTCAACGGTGCCCCGTAATGCGTACACTTTGGACTCATGGCATGTACTTGGCCATTGAATCGGACGACCAATACTTTTCCACCATCGATCCCCTCCACCTCTGATTCTACCTTCTCCATATTCTGCACATCCGTGAGGGACGAGAGGTCCTTGAGTTTATATTCCTGCGCCATATTGAGCGATGGGGTTTTGGATAATGTGGAAGAGGAAGTCGACGAAAACAAACGACGGGTTGGGGCCCAGCGGGGATGTTTTGAAAATGTGGAGGAGGAACCAAGGCTCGTGGTTTGAGCTTGATTCAAGGATGACGACAATGGTGATGGGTGGATGCAGCACGAGCAGGAGCAGGTGTTGGAATTACGGCAGCTGCAACGACAGCGGGGAAGAGGGGACCTCGAAACACCCTCGGAGGGCAACACAGATATAGAGGATAAGCACGCAACGCTTTCGAATGAGCTGGAGATACGTGGTCCAGAGCGGGGGAGGGGTCGGTGCATGGGATCAATCAATTCTCTGGAATGTTTCTAGGATGAGGGTGATAGGTAGCTAGGGAGGGTGTTGGATAGGGTTGAGTAACGCAACGCTGGGGTAATTGTCGAGAAATCCAGAACCAGAAAGGCTCCGAGTAGGCTAGGTTTCACTCGATGGCATGATTTATATTTCGCCTTTCTGGTCCTCTGCCTTCGTATCTTGCTGTCATGCTTTTCGAGTGCTTGACTCTTCATGACGTCGCTGTGAATACGTGCAGGAATGCCCTCCGCCAATCAGGGCCGAGTGATTGCTCACCAACCGGTTTTCTAATGGACTTTTGTATATCGATGATGATGGAAAGAATCAGTAAAAAACAAAAACAAAATTAGAGTCGATTAGCAGACCAGCCTGGAGTAAACATCATAACCATATTCCAGCAATGATTTTGTACAGGATATCGTTGATAATATACACACAACAGCACAAGTATTCATAGCAATTCCGCTGCGCCCCGACATAACAAACCAAATTAACCCCGTACATGGCTAGGAAAAAATAAAAATAAAAATAAAAATAAACCGTAAGATTCAGCAAACCTCATAACACGTGTCTATATATCTCAACCTCTTCTATCGCCGCGATTTCCTTCTCCGACTCGGTGGTGGAGTGATGCTCGACTCATGTAGCGTCTGGACCCTTGGTGTCGTCGATGACCTCGTTCGCCTGCGCGTGCTAGGCAGGGTCTTTTGCACCCATCCCGGCCCTTGTGATAGTCTTTGAGATCTGGCAAAATCCTCGTCGCTCCCATCTGGGGAGACGGGTGGACTGGATTGGGTCAGGTCTACTATATCGGACATCTGGGATGCCTCGGGTGGCTGTGAGGCAGGCTCTCCCTTGGGTTGCAAGTTGGTTTCCGGGATCGAACTGATAGGTGACAAATGCGGCAGCGTGACTGACTGTTTGCTCTGCGGTTGTGCACTGGTCGGTAATTCGTGCGCAGCCGGGGAAGCCACGCAGCTCTCCTCAAGAGACATTGGTTCCATGGTGTTGTCTATGTCTTCGTTGACAGTTTTGTCCTGTGTCTTCTCGGAGTTGCGTTGTTGGCGCTCTTCTTGGGCCTTGTCGATTTTATAGAACGGATTCGGAACTGTCGAAGACACGGAGGAGCGAGATAGCGGCCGGGCTGGGTTCTGACTCAATTCTTCTTTTTTGGGCTCTGGTGAAAAGCGAAAGGGAGGCGGGTTTTTTCCCTCACAGAAGGCTTCCAGATAACGGTCGAAGTTTTCAAATATTTCGGGGATGCTAATAATCTCCAAGTCGTCGTCCATATTAACCGCCGGGTAAATAGTATCAGAAAAATCGGGAGGAAGAGGCGAGTGCGGTGCTGGCTGCGGATCCGTTTTTTCTGCTTTAATTTCTGGTAGACCAACGTCGGATTCTTTATCATCGCCTGAATTTTTTGCAGCTTTGACGGGCCTAGTGTTGCGGGCTTCACGCTTCGGGCTGCTTTTGATATCAGCCTCGAGGTGCGAGGAAGGTTCAAACCCGGTAAATTCTGGTGACTTGACAGGAGGGCTTACACTCCGCTTCCCAGGAGTATCTTTCGCCTGGAGTCCTTTAACGGGATATTTGATGCCGTCAAGGGTTTCGCTTTCTGGTACCTCTGACTCCTGGACTTGCGAGCCATGACCTTTGTTCGGTGGTGAATGGTCTTTTTTGGTGGACGCAATGCCGGCCTCGTCTGTTGCCGGATCAGAGATCGGGACAGGCTCCTCTGCTGCAGGGAAACTTTGTCGGGTAAGCGAATGAACGCCGGACAATTCCAGGAGTAAAAGAGGATTAATTTACTGACAGGCTGGGTTTGGTAGCTTCCCGGCTGGCAGCTTTAGCAGCCCGGAGAAGCTTTGGTTCCATGAGATCTGCAAATGATACCTCTCGAAATCCATCATCTTCCGCCTCATCGTCTTCAAATCCCGGCATTTCGAATCCGCTGTATTGGCGAGGGCCGTTCTCTTCCTCTTCACCACCATCTTCTTCCTTTTGTCTTCGATCCCGTTGGGCAAGTCTTATATTGAGTATACCGCCGTCGTACACATGATGTATTTCAGCTACTAGATATTCCGATATCCGGGGCTGCCAGTTCGTGGCCTTAGACATGTCGAGTTGCTTGAAAGCAATGGTCGATCCTTTTTTCGCCTCGCTTTCGACCAGGTCACTGACTGAACCCAGATCGTTGGGAAGGAGAGGAAGATCACCGGGTGTGTCTTCGGGCACCTCATTTGAACCTTGTTCTATTCCGTCCATGTTGTCTGGGATATCGCCATTCGGTTGCTCCGGTTCATCGTACTCGAGCTCCGCGGGTCCCTGTTCATCATATTCAAGCTCCATGTCACCATTGATGTAACTTTCATCACCGTTCTCGTAGTACTCCTCTTCAGGTTCTTCGTAGACCTGGACCCTCCGTCTCCTTCTCCGTTTCTTTCCCCAGCCCTTGCGTTGCCCTATAATTTCATGGGCCTCAACATCCCATCGCTGCTCAAATGGGAAAGGTGGGGCGCTCAGAACTATGTCGTCGAAAATACACTCAGTAGCTTTGACCACAAGCTTATCTTCCCAGTTCACCTCAGAGTCGTCTTCGATTTCGTCAAGATCCTCCTTAAGCGCGTCCTGAGGTTGAAAGTTGTTTTTCTTCCCTGCGAGCTTTTCCCGAGTCGCCTCTTCATCTTCCTTGGACCGTGGCGTCCTGACTCCCAAAGATCCGAACAACATACGTCTGGTGCTTGAAACATCCAGCTTGGGCTTTTTGGCGGGTTCCGCAGCTATTTCATCCGGTGACTGGCGTTCGGCATCGACTACAATCACGCTGTCTTCTCTGATATGCTGTTGATCTTTGTCCTTGCCTGGCGGGACATTTTCCTTTTCAGAAATAGCTTCAATATCGATTCCACCGGACGCGAGATCTTGCAACAACTTCTGCCTTTTTGCCTCAAACTCTGATAGTTCTTGTTCCTTGGTCTGGCGCTTCTGTCCGACAACAGGGTTGTCTTCGATTGGTGGATGCCAGTTTGGATTTTGCTCTTCCCACTCCCGAAGTGTAGCAAAGTCTGCCTGTGAAGATAAGACACCGATTTCCTTGAGCTTTGAAAGCCTGCGGCGCAGCTTGTTACGCTGGTTGCTTTTCTTGGTCCTTTGAGAACCTTGGCCAGGTGGGTTGATCTTGGCGACAGGCTTTGCCTCGGAGACCGAGGTAGACACTGAATCGTCCGAATCCGACGATGATGTAGAATCGCCATCTGAATCAGAGCTGGAAGAATCGGAGCTGGAGTCATCCGAGTCTGAATCTGAATCTGAATCCGAATCCGAATTTGAATCCGAATCCGACGAGGAACTCGAGGTCTGATCCGAAGACGACTCACTAGAGTCGCTTGCACTTGCGCGGCTCGAAGCAGGTTCTTCTATATTTGAGACTTCAGCGACATCGGGCTTTTCTGATTTTGAAGGGACTGGTGACTCCTTGGCAGCTTGTCTCTGAAACCTGACAGACTTTCTGCGGGGGGTGTCCTCCCCAACGGATCCGTCAACGTTGATGACGCTCGGAGCAAAGTTGTCATCTGGGGCCGTCTGCTTAGGGCTAGGTTTTACTTTGGGGAGCTGCTCTGGTTCTTCGGTCTGTTCATAATCCGCCCCGCCGGTTTCAGGAAAACCGGAGGATTCCAGATCTTCTTTCAAACCCTTCAGCTCATCGGCCAGTTCCCCCACCTCAAATTCGGACAATTCAGCATCACTTTCCGAGGCCTGTGCATCTCCAGTCTCGACAGTGTGCCGGATGACCGTCCCATCACCAGCATCCTCCTGGACATCCTGATAAGCATCCTCGTAGGTATCTTCATGGACATCCTGGTGAACATCCTCGTAATCATCCTCCTGGTCATCTTCATAGTCTTCCTCCTCGCGTTCCCCGGAGATGTCCCTTCGAGCATCCAACAATGTAGAGAGTCTCGGCCCTAGATAACCCTGTTCGGCTGGTGCCCACTCTGTGTCCTCTTCTTCGTAGTCTTCGCCACGTCCCCAGCTCGAGAAGACAGTGCGTCTTTTCTTCCGAGGAGGAATAGTAATCGCCGGCCGCGAAGAAGTAGGTCGTTTCAAGTAAGGTTTGCCAAAGGGAACTCCATCGATGAGATGCTTTCCATCCCCCGAAATTTGATGACGGCCGGATAATCGCCTAGCCCTGAGATCTGATATCTGAAGAGCCCGAATTCTAACATAAAGCCAAAGTCAGATGTTACAACCTTTCACAAAACCATGGGAAGAAAGGTAGAACTTACACAACCTCATCCCCATCCCTAAGCAAACCCTCCACCTCCATAAAATGCAAACATTCCGACCCCTCGACTTCAACCGCATAATCTTCCAGTCCCCATTGTCCACTAGCCTCCTGATCAAACAGTCCAGCCTCTGTCTCCAACGGTACAACTTCATTCAGATCCTCCAGAAGTTGCGCGATCGTGTATCCGCCATTTGCGTACGAGGCGTTGGGTGCGCGCGTCGAAGCAATCGCTGTTGAGGTAGATGGAATTCCATGTGATGAGCTCGATGCTACTCCATGTCCGAGGAGAGACGGTGCTGTGGTTGTCCAGAGAATGCGCGTTACGGGGAGACCGTGGCGTTGGATGATAAGGTGAAGACGCATGGTGTTATGTCTTTAACCCCCCTGTTCGCCCCAGTTCTATCGTTGGTAATTGTTCACTAGATATTAGAGGGGTATCATCGAGGAAGGAAAACCACGGCTGTATGGTGTGGTTGAGGCGTAACGGTCTTCAAAAAATAATAGGGAAGTCGCGTCAGAGGGCAGCCGCGAAAAATTGCGATAGTCGGGAAGAAGAGATGAGAGCTCAAGATGACCACCTAGATATGACGAATTAGAATGGCATCCATGTGGCGGCTATGCACATGTTGCCAAGGCTAAAAAGCACAAAAAGAGGTAGTGAAGAATGTGATGAGGATATATGATGATGTTCGTGTTTAGCAAACAGTTCGAGACGGAGCTCTTTCCCAGCCATTTTTGCCGCTAATCCCGTTTAAAACCGCGGCATCTCGACACCTAAGGCACCAACTATATCGAGGTATTCATATGATAGTTTGAAGATAGTATTATTACAGTAAAGATATAGGTGGGTTATAAGCTCAAATGGTATTAAATTTGATTAATATGCCTAGAAATTTTGCCTATTAGGGCTCATTAAAATGTCATTTTGAATGGTCCGCATCCTGGATCGCAAATGCGGCTAGTATATGCCCACGAGACTAAGAAATGCATTGTTGACGTTGGTGATGTGACAATGCGCATTTTCCAATCCTCAATGGCTGTGACAATGAGAAGTATTCGATGTGAGTATCCAAAAGTCTCATCAGGCCTCTGATTATGACCATGTTCCATCCTCGACAATTCAGGATGACTAATAGCACATTGCTACTGGTATCATCCATTGATAGCGAGTCCTAGAGCTAATATCCGATAATCCCTATGACATAGGGATGCAAAAAGAGCCAGGGTACGCATCGTATATAAATGCTTCACGGAAAATAAGCATGTCGAGATCGCAAAATCAGCTCCTGGAGCTGGGGCTGCGTGGCACCGGCTTTCTGTTGGGAACTCCCAGATTCATGGCGCGGAATTCAGCTCTGGGCGGTCTTTGAATACTCGTGTTTTGGGGTGCCTGATATTGACCCTGTGCTACCGAATACCGTGGCGGGAGATCCTCTGGCGGGGCCGTCCTTGTAGTCTTGAGTATACTCTGTTGGCGAGCGACGGGAGATGTAGGAGGGGAGCCGGATTGGGATTCAGGAGGGGTCGAGGGAAGCATGTCGAATGACTCCACGGATGTATTCGCTTCGTGATTGCTGTAGGGCGTTGACGGCTCAGACTCCTTTCCCGGTTGGACTGGAGACTTCACGTCAGCTCCAGTTTCAACGGTTGTCCGAGCAGAAGAGGCATCTGGTGGGTTATACTCGCGACGAGGACCATCAACAGGACTCAGATTCTCCGCCATAGCGTCCTCGTAGCTTGGCGGAGCTTCTTCGTAGGGGTCTTCCAAATTGGCTGGCATGGGTGGAGCTGCGGGCCTGGGAGGTATCGGAGGACGATCACTTGTCTCTGCAGATTGATCAGGACGCGATGAATTATCTGTGGGTTTTGCTTGTCCAGGAAGATTCATTGCGTCCAAAAGTGCCTGGGGTGGAGTAATTCCAGAGTAAACCTTGACCGGCATTCTCAAGGGAAGTACGATAAGTTGAGGCTTTTTATAGTCAGTTTGCGAGTACAATAATGACCAAATCATTCTAGGGCATACCTTGACGTTTCCAACGCTTCCGTGGCTCAGTCCAACTCGAATCTCTATCTCATAAGTTCTTGAAATATTGCATGTCTCAAAGGATGGCGCTACTGAATTAGGCAAGGGCGTGCGATTCCACATGCTGGGATCTACCGTCCACTCGGATTCGACAGGATCGCTCCCTCGTCCAAGAGGAATCCCCATGTTACTGCGGCTCATGATGACCCAACTGCCGCTTTCTGTCCGTTTCAAATCATGGGCAATGATGTGGGTATATGCGACTAACTCAATTTGCAGCATCTGCAAGAAGATTGTTTCCGATGACTCTGACAGCTTTTTGACCAAAACACGCAGTGGAATGGGTTCATTGCACGTCAGGATGGACGGGTTTGGGAGTCTTGCATCTGCTGACAAGCGAGGAGGCTCACTGGCAAGGTCGCGGAGCGAAGCATTAGAAACCTTCTGGAAGAGACTCTTCGTCTTGGACGTGTTGGAGGTTTTTGAGAATTGATGTTGACGCCTCGCATACGTCTCTTCACTGGGATTTCCGGTCCTCGGTGGCTCAATTGGAAGGAAATTCAGGGGAGCAATCTAAAGCAAAATCAGCATCAGATTGAACCAATATCAAATGAAACTTCACACACGTACCCCTCGGATGTTTTCCTTGTAGAACTGAGGCCGGACAACGGTTGCTTTGACATAATATTTGATGTCGGCCATTCCCGGAAAGCCGCTCAACGACGGGGGAAGGGTTTTCTTGACATGGCGGTGGGTGTCTCGAGCGACCTCGACTTTGAGCCCAGAGATATTCAAATTGGTGAGCATGCTATTCTGCATGCTGCATGCATTGTTAAATGGGAACTGGGTCAAATGTTAATTCGGCCGAACATGTCACAAATAAGCCGATACGCACCTTGAAATGAAAGGGATATTCATATTTTCCAGCAGCAAAAGTGTATGAAGTACCCGGAGATGAAGCCTGAAAAACAGCCGGTGTTGGAAAAACAGATACGACCTTATACAGAATCTGCGCGAGCTGGTTAACAATGCCTGCCCAAGGGAAAGGAGAAGGGAGACAGTCGCACCTTGTGAACCTCCGATTCCGCCCGTCTCTTGTCCGACTCGTGATGGGGATGTCGAGGCCCTGAAAGACGCGTTCGACTTTCTCCCTCCAATTTCACTTGGATTCCTCCTACTGCAGCCTCAGAAGGGAGGTGGAGGACGACCTTGCCTGAGAGAAAGTCGAGATTGGTGAAATGCGTGTGAGGTTTGTCCAGATGTACGGTTACCGACATGGCGATCAAAAGCCCAATTGGGCCTGGCTACGGAAGCCGCTCTTGGTCTAGGTAGAAATTTGTAATGGAGATGGAGATGAAGATGGTGACGATAAGGTAATTATCAATACGCGGTGGGATGAACCGAATGCCGCACTGTTCGTCGGGACAGCAGGTTGATCCAGTGGGATAAGGCTGAGCGGGGAAGAAGAGTCAATTCCCAACCTGCAGCTTTCTACTGTCTTGGATAAATAGTTGGCGATTCAACTATGGATGGAATCGATGGAAGAATAGAAAAGAAAGAGAAGAATCCACACGGAAGCCGGCATCCAAATCAGGTCCAGAAAGAGGGTTCTGTTCGTCTAGACTGAGATACGAGAGGGGCGGGAATGACGTTTTGGGCTGTCTTATTTTTTCTCCCTTCACTAACAAGGCGTGGGGCAGGAGAATCAACAGTCCGGAGTTACATTCGGTATTTCTTTCAGCTGGAATATGGATAAGATTTAACATGACCGTTTGACTATTTCTTATTTTCTCGTCTATCATACGATTTTATTTATTCTTCCTGATTCTTTTTGTTCGTGAATGTGGTTCTATTTTGGTCTGGGCGTTTGCAAAGCCACCCTCGGGTTCATCTAGCAGGCACCGCCACTGTCAACAACCGGGATAATAGTCTTCTAACCAAGGATATTGCGCAGTTAATACAACGGCTCTTCTCCATCGCCGTCTGGAGATGTCATCATCACTTTTCTCTTATTGGGTATCACGGAGTCATTAATATCAATAGTAGATTCTCTCTTCCAGCGTCGTCTCTAGGCATCAAGATTCTTCGGTCCGGTTGCTGCGCAAATTCAAAGACCTTCCTTGGCCAGCATATCTATACACAATGATCAGTTAGACATGCATATTAATCTGGAATAGGGGAAGTTTATACCCGCAATGTCAAGGTAGAATGCAATAGCGTTGAACCTGCGACACATTAGCTAGCTGAGCTAAAAGATTGAAGACAAGGCGCACTTTTGCCTGTTGCCTGTGATCTCCCCAGCCAGCCTCTTCAATCGATTACTCCAATTGATGAGATCTAAGTGGCTCACTCCGACTAATGTGCCCTTGTAGCCTTGTTCTCCTCCCCATCGACTGCTGGCAACGCTGACCAGCCCATCGTTGTACCCTTCGGTTTCTTGGAGGATTCGATGAGATAGGCGGAAGACAGACCAGAAGCTCGGCTGCATTGCTGCTCCATATGAATAGTAACTCTTTTACTTAGCTGTCGGTCTTTATTAAGAGCATAGAAGTACATACCGCACATCTTTAACATCTGGGGTTGTCGGGTTAAATGTGTTCACCATATACTTGCGTGTCAACTGTGAAAAGCCTGCAGTCTCAACCTTGAGTCGCTCGAGGGCATAGTATATCTGAGGCAGACGTTCAGCTATGAGTAGAATATCAGCCCTTGCATTCAGATCGATTGACAGTCATGTACAAACCTCCAATCTGCTCAAAGGCATAATCGGCAACTGCAGAACCTATGTCAACTCAGCAACATTCTTCCGTCATCCCCTTTGTACCTACCTCTGTGGGGAGTTGCAATGGTAGTCAGCGACAAGACCTTGAAATCTGTTGGTCGTAAATGGCTAACCATATATCTCGAGTCAAGTCCACTTTCATAAGTCAGTATCGACCGCGATGTTAACCAATATCGCCTTGAATTCCTCACCCCTAAATGGCATCTGTAAACGTGGTTCTTCCTCACGTGTTGACAATAAGTCTTACCATGCTATGACTGTAAAAATGTCAGATCATAATCTCCTTGAGTATACAGAAACAAGCAGAGATGACATACGCAACAATGTTAACACTTTTCCCACGCGCCCCGATAGCGATATCTTTTGCCAATTCCTCTGCGCGCGCTTCAATGGATCCGGACGGGGGCACTGTCGCCGTAATGACTTCAATACCCTTCATCGACAATGCTTCTTTGATTCCCCGCCAGTACTGCACCCCGGGAAGATATGGGCCAGCCAGACGCAGCTCGTCAAATCCCAGCAGGCCATGCGCAAGAACAACGGGATGTTTTGGGGTTTCTGGTTCTGTTTAGCTTTCTCTTCTCCCTTCTAAACGAGAGTGCTTACCGTAAGTGTCACGTATCACCTCATATTCATCCCTAATAACACTTCCCAGATCCTCTAGGCGAGGATCGAGAACGTGTGCATCTGGATGTTTATGTGGACTGCCTCTATGTGGGAAGCGATGCAAGCCTCGGGTCGAACAGCGATTGAAATGAACGAAATGGTAGTTAACAAGCCTGCTTCTCCTTGTCACATTAATAATAGTGGAAGCATACCCCATATTCCCAATGCAATTGTTTTATACACGGTTTTGAACAAAATTATACAATGTTGGATGTTGGTCAGATCATCACTACATGGCCAATTCCGTCGCGAGATGTGCCGCTTTAGATCATGTGACTCGATGGCATCACATACGGACCCTGTCCATGCATGCATTTTTGATACTAAAAGAAGCTGAGATGGTGGGGTCAAGTAGCTCAGTTATATGCAAGTTAAGTAGATATTCATAATGTGTCATTTCGGTCAGAAGTCAAGCTGGCCCTCATCCTCACCAACGCCCCCCAAACTGAACAAGCTCGAATCAATCATGTAGAGATAGACATTGTTGCAATCGAATTCAAACAATAGAACAGACTATGTCCATGACCCTAACAGCAGCCTGGGTTCTCTAGGATATGCACGCGGAGAAAACAAATAGTCGAAACGCCTTCAGCTTATGTCTTGATCACAATCTTGGCCGACGGCTCAGGCTTCACATCGACCAGCGCATGGAGGAGACCATCAACAACCTTGTCACCCTGCTTGTTACCGGCATCCTTGATCTCCTCGAGCTTCACCTCGGCTTCCTTGTTTGCGTCTTCTTCGGCCTTCTTGTATCCGCTCGAGTGCTAATGGTGATGTTAGCTCGAATTCCCCGTGATGTACCTGTGCCACCGCATATCCATCCAGCAGCACTTTGTACGGCGAGATCTCACCTCAGCCTCGAACTTCTTGAATTCCTCCTCTTTTTGGCTTTTGTATTCCTCTATTTCCTTTTGCGCCTCAGACTTGGCATCCCTTATCCGCTTCGTACGGTCTGATCGAACCAGCTTTTAGATATCATCCTGTATACATCGGAGGAGAGATGGGTATCATACATTCTCTGGCTAAATAGATGCGATGCGTAAGTAAACCTATTCAACACTTTGGAATGGCCCAAATTTTCAGTCTCGAAACTCACCTTGTTGAACAATCTTCTGAGCCTCTCTCTCGGCCTATCAATAGCACAGTCAGTTCGTACGATGTCCTTCATAGGCGACATGTCCAGTGTGACCTACATCGAGGAGGGTCTGGATTCCTGCGGAGTTCTGGGCCGACTATGATGCGGGAGTTAGTTCAGTCGCAACATCCAAGGAAAGATAGTCACAAGCTCTCACCATGTTTCCTGGCGGTCCCTATAGATAATATCTGCGTGAATTTGTTTCAAAATCAAGAATGTCCAAGACCGATCGACTAAGGGACAGATAAAGGCGGAGTCGTGGAGCTTGTGATGTCGCTCCGGCGGGCCACGAATGGACACTCTAGGCGGTCAGTAGTTCTGCCGCATTTCACCGCCTGTCGTGATAACCACCGACTGCTCCGAAGCGGCTTTTTTTAAGGTGAGACGAATTGCTGGGGTTATTTTTTTTTTCAAATCTGTTACTTCCTGGTCTTCTACTTGTGTGTATATTTATTGGGGTACGTGATCAGAATGTCTCGAGCCTCAAAATTGACATTCGCTGCTACCGGTCTCGGAACCGCGGGGATTGTCTACTTTGTCCACTGGTCACAAGAACAAGAGAAAGCGGTACGCCTTTGTCGCATCCTACATTCCTGGTATAATTGAATGCTGACTTCTATCCCAGGCGATGCACAAAGGCGTGGAACGTGATATGGAAAAGCAACGCATTCGACAAGAACGACGGGCCGACTTTGAGATTCAAAAGAAACTAGAGGAGGAATACCGAAAGCTGCAGAACGTTCCCAACAGCTTAGGGGAGTCAAGTGGAGGGAATAAGAATGGGCAAGGGTCATGACATGAGTAGCTGAGTGTTGCCTTGGCTGATGTTTCCCCTGGAAGATTTGCCCCAAACTTGTATTCGGTGAGTCGGATATGTGGCAGAGGTGGGATATACTTTTGGCTGATGATATATTTAGGTTGATATTGTGTATCACATGGTTGTAAAATATACCCAATATGTACAATATAGAGAAATAGAACCTTCTCGACTTAAGGATCACGGCATTTGTCAATCGACCAAACGAAGGGTCCTAGCTCCATGAAGTGACATCAAATGTAACCTGATGTGAGTCGACATATCCACTACGTATGGCTGTACATCTGTGTCTTCACTCAATTGGACAAAAACTAGAAGGATAATAAAGATCGACAAGATATCAGTAATAAACCCCAGTTCCCCATTTGCCGAGTCCTGCATGTTAGACACGCGACCATCTCCATGCAGTACCCCTCATCGGAATGGATCCGGTTACATTTGGTACAAACGTTGAAAGTAAGGTATAAATTATTTATACCATAGGAGGCAGTCGTGATGGATTCCAAGCTTCTTTCTTCAACTAAATTGATTGAAAATGTCGACTACTTTCGAATCTCTCCCAATTGTGGACTTGAGTGTCCTCCAGAATTCAACCAAGCTAAGAGATGCCGAATTCAAAAACCTCAGTGATCGATTGTATGAAGTGTTTTCCACCACTGGATTTGCGTATCTCGTCAATACACCCTTGAGCTTCAACCATGGCGAGGTGTTTGGCATGACTCGGGAATTTTTCCAATTGCCCATTGAAGCGAAAATGAAGATGGCAAAGAAGACATTTTGCAAGGAAAACCGCAATACCTATCGAGGGTTAGTTAAATGTTTATATTTTCTCTGCTTGCCCAATACTAATGCTTATCAGGTACTTTCCAACCCAGCCTACAGAGGCATCTGACAATCTGAAAGAGGGCTTTGAGATTGGCCCTAGGAATCCCGCATCTTCCGTTTCTCACACCTCCAAATCTTCCAAATTTAACCTATCTGAGCCGAATGTATGGCCGGATGACCCGGAGTTCTCAGCTAGACCTCGGTTGGAACGTCTCTACGAGGAACTCCAAGCATTTGCATCGACGTTGCTCTCTTTACTTGCCATGTCCCTTGGCAAAGACGTGCATTTTTTCGATAACTACCTTGAGGATTCGCTGAGCACTCTTCGTCTTCTTCACTATCCCGCTGTTGGCAGCTCAGACTCTGATGCATCCAGTGCAGCATCATCATTCGACTCACTCCAGGAGGCGAAGCTGAGCTGTACACCGCATACTGATAGTGGCATTCTGACTCTTCTCCACCAAGATGCAACTGGCGGCTTGCAAGTCCGCAATGCATCTGGGAAGTGGGTACCAGCCCCATATATACCCGAGTCGCTGGTAGTTAATATTGGGGATTTGATGGCCAAGGTTTCTGGGGGTCAGTTTGTTGCGACGATGCATAGAGTTGCTGCACCAAAAGCTGCGTCTACAGATGGTGGCCAGGGTGTTCCCGGATGTAATGGCCGGCTGAGCGTTCCGTTTTTCTTTGAGCCAGGCGAAAACTGTATTGTAAAGTCGGTTGATGAGAAGGATGAGGGTATTGTTTATGGGGATCACATGAGGTCGAAGATGAAAACATGGGTTGAATACCAGGATGGCAGCTAGAACTAGCTTAGATACCGTAAACTATTTTGATCTATGCAATAGCTTGAATATATTGAATTCCAGCATTACAAAAGCTGCATACAGCAGTCTATCCTCTTTGGTAGGTAATCGACCTGTACTATCATGATATCATCCCCTATCTACACGCTGTCTGTATAAAACAAGGCCGGCTATTATCGGAGGCCGGCTCAATTCCGGCCTTGAGCGACTAAAAAAGCCTATCCGGGGCCCACCCTGGCTTATCTGGTCAATCAGATAATGTACCGCGCTCCTTGGGTCTTGGCGCTTGGTGAGGAATAAAGCAGGAGATGAAGGCGAATACTTCATTTTGACGGCAGCTTGCTTATAAACTGGGGTTATCTGGGTGGTACAATAGATCAGGGATATAATAGGGCCCAAGGGTTAGTATACTGCTTATTTATTCCATGTTTCAGCGGATCTGAAGGCGAAATACCCGCCAGGACCCTCTCCATATACTACTGTATTAGGAATAGCGTGTCCCCGTGATCCAGACGTGCCCTTCTTTGCCAAGTCTTTGTATAGAGCTGTTGATCTCGATTCTGATACCCAAAAACGATACAAGAGGGCGTGGTGGTGACGGGATATGGGGGGAGAACCTCAATATTCATCATGGAGAAGACCATCCCTTGTGATACTACGGTGGCATGCATTGTAACGGCCGTCTCCACGTTCTTTTCTTATCTCTTTCGTAATGGCGCCTCTGAGGCCGGAATTGATACCGGCCTCTGAGTATTATAAGAATCGCGCTGTTTCCCGCCCATTCTCGCTCTCTTTCCTTCTCCCTTCCAAGTCCTCGAGAGGCCGCACTTCCTGACCTGTTCGAAACCCCCTTTTCCTTACCTTTTTTCTCCGTTTCTCTTTGCCTCGAGCATTTCTCTTCTTGCCTTCTTCATCCCTTTTGCCTCATATCTCTATACACGTTGTCTTTTCTTAGATAGACACCCTCTTCCTCTTCATCATGACACAGACCAAGGTCCCCCCAACCTCATCTACCACTCTTCAACGCTTCCCTCATGTCCATGATGACCCTTCCACCCTTCCCAAGTCCTTGGACCCCTTCACCATCACCACTTCTACGGGCTTCCTACCCTTCATCCATGCCCCTACTACCCTCCCCGATGCCTTCAAGCCCTTGATGGAGCTCATGGATCGTCTGCCTGTCCTCAAGCTTGATGGCACTCCTGGTCTGCTGGCAACCTACGAGTTGGGTCCTGCCGTGGGTGACCTGCCCGACCTGACTGCAGAGGTTGACAAGCTCGTCACAGCCGATGGCTCTCCCGATCTCGTCACCGTCGCTGCTGTCTTTCGGGATTACTCTTTCTTGGCTTCATCGTACCTCCTTGAGCCTTGCTGGGAGAACTGGTCCAAGAACCCTGACAATGGGTATGGCCTGGGGAGAGACTTGTTGCCTAGGAGTGTGGCTTGTCCTATGTATCGATGCGCCCAGCTGTATGTTCCTTCCTCACCATCTTCCTATCTTCTATCCTTTCAATAATACCTATGTTATGATGATATGATACTAACATACCCAGCCTGGACATTCCTCCCTTCATGTCCTATGCTGCCGCCTACTCTCTCTTCAACTACACCCTAGCCGACTCCTCCAAGGGCCTGGTCTATGACAACCTTCGTCTGGTCCGTGCCTTTGAGAGAGGCCTTGACCCCAAGAGCTCCGAAGCAGGTTTCATTCTCACCCATGTCGACATGGTCAAATGGTCGGGTGGTCTGATCGGCGGAGCTCTCAAGGTTATCGATACCATCGAGCAATCTGGTCCTCGGTCTCAGGTTAACGATGGATTCCGGGAGATTCTGACTGCTATGGAGAAGATTGAAGCTGCTATGGAGGGTATGTTACCTGATTAATACCAATTTATCTCATATTCCTCGTAGCAAACGTGCTGATTGATCATAGACATGTGGGGTAACTCAAAGCCCTCCGAATACCTCTCCTTCCGCGTCTTCATCTTTGGCATCACTTCCCAGTCCATGTTCCCCAATGGTGTCATATACGATGGTGTCCTTGACAACAAACCCCTCTATTTCCGTGGTGAAAGTGGTGCCAACGACAGCATGGTACGCCTTACTCTCCTCCATTCCCTTCTTCTTCTGAGCTAATATAAATAGATCCCCCTCCTTGACCATCTGCTCCAAATCCCCATGCCATCCACCCCTCTCACTAAAATTCTCCACGAATTCCGTGCCTACCGACCTCTCCCCCACCGTGAGTTCCTCGCATATGTCAACTCCAAAGCCGGGGAGGTCGGAGTTCGTGAATTTGCCGTCCAGGATGGTGAGACTGCTGTTCTGATGCTCAAGACTCTGAACCATGTGCGCAGCTTCCGTTGGCGTCACTGGCTGTTTGCCCGCGAATATATCATTCGCAGAACACCGCACCCTACTGCTACCGGTGGCAGTCCGATTGTGACAGTACGTGATGTCATTTTATAAAAATTGCGAATCAAAGCTAATGAGTGTATAGTGGCTTCCGAACCAGTTGTCTGCCGTTATGGATTTGATGATTTCTGTCTATGACACTTACCTTGCCCCGAAGGAATTGAATGGCCATCAGAACGGTCACGAAAATGGCGACCAAGCGTACTATCGCAAGCAGGTTGAGCCGATGATGGAGCTCGTCCGCGACCAGAGGGATAAACTGGCCAAGGAGGTTGAGAAGTGGTGCCAGGAGAGAGGTGTCTGATTCCAAGATTCATCGACTCCTTTTTAAACGGCCTTGGCCCAAAATGTTTTGTTGTCTTGCATTGTGTTCGTTCGTATAATAATTACCTTCTGTATATAGATACGTGGTATGATATGACCTGTTGGGTGAATTGCAAGATATTAGATAAGACTTCCAAAAATTAATTCTACATCATGACGTTCTCCCTGTAGAGAGTTCAACTATCCCAACAGGTTTCAGTCGTTGCACGAACTGTCCGCATGATTTCAAGTGGGCAATAAGAGCGGCCATTGGTTCCAAGATATGAATGTATGTATACCCTTGCAGCCGAATATCTGGCGTCGATATGGTCAAATGACGTAAATAGCCTGCAAAAAAGCAACCGCCAAAACTAAAAATCAAGTAAAGATATCGATACCCTTGGCTCTCGCGTAAGAAACTGCATCCGACGAGAGTTCTTCACAGCCCTTGGCAAATATGCGGTCGACCTTGGCTATATTCTCCTCCGAGGAGCGAGCATCCGCAAGCATCTTGACTGTACAGCCGGTTATAGCAGTGTATGACAGGTTGAGGACCTTCAAGCCTGACATCTTACTGGTAAGACGGGCAATCAATCTATCGTCAAGGGCACTGATGTGTGAAACGTTGAGTTCCACCAAGGCATTGAAGTTGCTGCTTCCGGTTAGCATTTCGAGCTGAGTGCCTCTAATATTAAAACAGCTGTCTATATGTAAAATGCGTATGGGGGCCTCGAGCTCGACAAAAAAGACCTGTAGGGTGCCGATAGTAACCCAAGAGATATCGCTTAGAACAAGCGTCTTGAGATTGGGAAGTTCAATGGGGCGGTCGATTGAGAAAGGAAATTCTCCTACACCGGTGCCCCTGCGGATGAGGATAGATTCTATGCTGGATGGCAGTCCAAAGTTTCCGTCAAAACGGACACCACTAAGGTTCAAACGACGCAGTCGTGAGCATCCCACTGGATCCATCTTAAGAGGGTAGTGCTGTAGTACTGGTGGGTCCCAGTCAAGCTTCAACTCTTCGAGGTTGGGAAGTGAATGTGGATCTGAGGGCTGCGAGTATTGTCAGCAAACGCAGCGTGGATCAGCAAAACAGGGCTGGAGGTACATGTAACAGTCCAGGTATATCAAGCGCAGGAGTAAAGTGAGCCGAAGGCATTTGTTCTTGAGAACCGAGTGTCACAACCTTCAAATTTGGAAGTTTCATCGGCCAATTTACACTTGGTGGGGAGGACGCTTTCGTGCTATGGAACTCGACCCGTTCGAGAAGAGGTAAGCCCGTAAGAAGCTTGGTTATATGTTCTTGTGGCATAGTAATATGTGCAGACACGACGAGTGTTTTCAGCTTCCTAGAACCTTTGAACAGGTCGTAAAATGCATTGTGGTTGAAAGGACACCAGACTTCCAGATATTCAAGCTTTGGACACCGGCTCAGCAGCTCTAGGCTTTTTTGAACAGAAGGTGTCGCTAAGTTTTTGATAGTTGCATGGGTGAGCAGGCCTTTGGATCGGCGAATATAAGCCCGGACAGAGGTCCAGTTCATTTTCCCACGACCACCAGAGAGATCGACATGCATCCATAGATTTCTCATTGAAGTGAGAAATTGTTCCCATTTGCGCGAGACACGCAGGATAGCCCTAAGATCACAGTCAGAGCAGCATTTCATTTTTTGAAGGCAACTGAGCTTACACAATCTGCTTGAAGTCAAAGTGTTGCAAGACCATAACGGCCATTTCCAACGGCAAGACAGTGAAGGGATCCAGACACTTTTCAGTCATCTTATCCTGGAGCTTGTCATGAAGTTGCTGCACAAGCTATAATGGGTTAGCAGAAGTACAGTTATAATTGAATAATTCAAGCTCACCTTGCGACGCGGATGATTACTAGGCAAAGTCTTTAGCCCATAGGCATAGACTTCAAGTGCTTTACTGGGCTTTCCATCCAACAAAAGCGCCTTGGCGCAACGTAGATACCCCTGCTCTAAGATCAGTTTGGTTATCTGCCAATGGTCATTGTAAGTGGCTTACTCGTTCATCATGTTTATCTTTCTTAACCATATGCCTGGCATCTCGCAGTGCCTGGTCATACTGGGACAATTTGGTATAAGTGGCAGCTCGAACATCAAGCACACCAACTGCATCGACATCTTTAACTTTTAGGGCCTGGAACAATTCTTGTTATTAGACCAACTCTAGTAATTCAGCCATGGTGAAGTACCTCAGTAAACGCCTCTACGGCGGCTTTGAAGTTGCCCTGCTGGTATAGTCTCTGGCCATGCTGCTGCAACGCCGCCGCTTCACCACGCGACAAACCTAAGAAACAATAGCGCCGTCAGCCATGGCAACGCCTTTCTGAACAGACGAACCCATTGGACCCATCACACTTACCCGAAGAAACCATCCTGTTGCTGTGGTCCCATGGTCTGATGATCCATGTGATGATCCTCCAGAAACGGCCACAATAGTCTAATGGCGGTGATGACGCTGCAGGATCGGCGGGGCAACGGTTCGTCGAGGCGTTCAGCGTGCCGCAGGGGCTGCGCAGCTGGTGTCTGCCGCCACCCGGAGTCCACTAGTGTTTACTTTCTTCCCCTTTTGGTATGTCAATTTGTCTTCAGCCAAAACCTTCAGCGACGGTCGGCCTTTGAGCTGTCGACCTTTTTGACTCACCCGTTAATACTAATCCCACAGGTATCTTCAGGGCTCTCTGTTTAGGAGACCCATCACAGCTTGCAGGCAAGCCATGGAACCGCACAACCTGGAGGCGGCGTCAACGTACATCAACAATGTTCTTCTGGCCCGGGGTCTGCTGAAAGGTGGCACCCCGATTGATTTCGCGCACCCGGAATGTGACGAGGGAGGAGCTGATGCTACTATGGCGAGAATCATAAACTTGATGAATGATTTGGTCTTGAGAAGAGATGTATGTGCCGAAATGGTGTGTTTCGTTGTCAGAGTTTGACCAAAATAAACAGCGCGAAGCGGACCATCGAGAGAGCCTGGCCACCACAATCCGGACACTCCGTGGCAATGAATCCCAGCAGACGCTTGAAATAGTACGTTGAGAGAAAATTGGGACTTGCGGGTTGCGATTTTTGGGAGGCTAACAGTTTGTCCAGGCCAGACTGAGGACAAAGACCTCCGAATTGACGCGATCGGTTGCTCTGGCCGAGGCTCAGGATCGCGCCTCGAAAACCAATCTATCGAACGCAGAGGGTACAATCAGGGGACTGAAGGAACAGGTGCAGCGCATGAAGACCAACATCCAGCAGATCCGAGGACAATGCGCCAACGACATCCGCAAGCGTGACTTGGAAATGCAAAAGTTGAAATCGCATCTGGCTGAGCGCCAGCGAGGAAAACGGGAAGGCCTAGGTGTGACCACCATCAACATTAATCCGGCAACCGACCGAGGATACAAAACCAGATCTCTAGCAGGTGGCGAGGGCGTTCATCATCCGGGATATAGTCTGAAGGAGGAAACCAATGACTTTTTGACGGAATTATGCCAGAACCTTAGCGACGAGAACGACACGCTGATCGTGCTGGCGCGCAACACTGTCCAGATGCTGAAGGATCTACAGGGAATCACCCAGGTAGAGGAGGATGGGGAAGAAGTCGTGAACGGCGTGGCAAGTTTTGGAACACATAAATCATCGCGTGGGCCTGTCACTACGCTTCCTACATCCTGCGAAGACTTATCTGGCCAGATGGACATGGTTTTGGATCATCTACGAACATTGCTCACCAACCCATCGTTTGTGCCCCTCGAAGAGGTCGAAGTGCGTGATGACGAAATCAAGAGGCTTCGTGAGGGCTGGGAGAAGATGGAGGCTCGATGGAGACAGGCGGTTACGATGATGGATGGCTGGCATAAGCGTATCGCCGACGGAGGGGACTCGATCCATATTGAGGAACTGAAAATGGGAATGGGGCTTGATTCCAGCACTGGCGCCGACAGAGATGCTGAAACAGACGGTGAAGTCGGGACCAGCATGGACCAACCTATCTTTGAAGACCGAGAAGCGGAGGAAGAAGAGGAGCAGCAACAGCAGGAAGAGAAGGTGACGGAGCGAGAATCAAGAAGCCGCCCTGAACCAGAAACCGCTTCGAATGACCCCCCGCAACGTACCAGTGAGCGGACAACACGAAGGCCTCCCAGCCGAGCACTCAAAGAGCGAAGTGACAATATCAGACCCACCAGTCGGTTGTCACGAAAGGTCTCCTTTACACCTGGTCTGCAGGGCTCTCCTTGCGAACCCAGCGGTGAGGATGACACTACTTTGCAGGCCAAAGCACACGCATCCCAGGCTATGACTCGAAGACCACTGAGGAGAAGACTAGAGTCCAAGGCATCTCAACCGGTAAGTACCTAGCAGTATAGTAGATAAAGGCTTAGACTAACTCGTGTATCAGGGTTCCAACGGCCGGCTGAGTGTTTCTGAAAAACTGGCAGCTGCAGAGACTGAGGCTCGAGCAGCAGAGCAAGCACGGAAAGAAAGTGAGACCCGGAAGAGAAGTCGAGGCGGCGCGAAAGGCCCATCCTCCAACCGAGGCACTAGGCGACGAAGCACATTGACCCATGGCGAGCTCGATGAGCTGATGGGGATGTCACCGCGCTGATTTTGCTCAATGAATACGAATATGTTTAGGATACGACTCTGTTTGATACCCTCTAATCAATCATCAATCCATGTTGTTGTACATACCTAGTTACTTGAAGAGACGTGATCATCGTGATATAGCATGTACATACTCTTTCCACAGCGGTTTATCGACGAGGCGCATGTATCGTTAATAATGACTCTATCCATCGTTACGAATAATTTGATTTTCCTGGTCTCTCTTATTGGCAACACGCGTGAAGAGCTTCAAATGCGGATTTGTGCAACCTCGGCAATTACCGGATTTGGATTTTGGACAGCATCGAAATCTCCGCATTTCTTGTGAGACTTTCTCTTCAACTACGTTACATCCATTCTTCACCTCAATTATCCTCGATCTATTCCAAATTCATATACTGAGCCCTTTTACCGTGGCATCTGAAGCGTACATCTGTTCAAATTTCATCATCCAAGCCACATAATGTCCTCAACACTAGCAGAGACCTTCAAAGGATGGGTCGCACACGACGCAACCAATCCTTTAACCTTCACTACCTTTGAACCCAAGCCCTTCACCGACACAGACATTGAGATCAAAGTATCCCACTGTGGCATCTGCGGGACAGATGTCCACACCCTGCGATCTGGCTGGGGACCAGCAGACTATCCCTGCGTCGTTGGCCATGAAATCATCGGCACAGTCGTTCGTGTCGGCTCTGGCGTCGCCAATCTTGCATCTTCGCCCGCATCGCGAGATATCAAACTCGGGGATCGTGTCGGTGTTGGCGCACAGAGCATGTCCTGTCTGCGACCCGACTGTGACGCCTGTGCCGACGGACAGGAGAATTACTGCTCGCGTATGACGCCCACATACAATGGGCGCTACGCCGACAAGAAAAGCAAATCGTACGGTGGATTTGCGACTCTCTGGCGTGGCCCAGCGCATTTCGTCTTCAAAATCCCAGACTCTCTGCCGTCGGCGGAGGCAGCTCCATTGCTGTGCGGTGGTGTCACTGTTTTCGCACCTCTGCTGAAACACGGCGCCGGGCCGGGTAAATCTGTTGGCATTGTCGGAATCGGGGGTCTAGGACATCTCGGGATCTTGTTCGCCAAAGCATTAAACTGCGATCGGGTGGTGGCTATCTCTCGTTCGTCAAGCAAACGTAAGGACGCGATCGAGGGGTTGGGCGCAGACGCATTCATCGCCACGGGCGAAGAGAAAAATTGGGCTCGTACGCATTCAAGATCTCTCGATGTGATCATTAGCACCGTTTCATCGCCCGATATGCCTTTGACGCAGTACCTGCGTCTGCTCAAGTTGGATGGGACATTTGTGCAAGTCGGGGCACCGGAGGAGCCGCTCCCACGACTCCCAGCTTGGTCGTTAATCTCGAAGGGGGTCAAGGTGACTGGGTCAAATATAGGGTCCCCTGAAGATATCAGGAAGATGCTTCAGTTGGCTGGTGAGAAGCGGGTTCTGCCATGGATCCAGCAACGGCCTATGGATGATGTGAATGCCGCCTTGGCGGATATGCACGATGGAAAGGCGAGATATCGATATGTCTTGGTCAATGACGCGAAGCAGGCGAAGCTGTGAATGTGATGATTTTGTATGTAGTTTTCATGAGTGTGCCGAATGAAGATCAAAGAGAAATCAATATTCAACCGAAGATCAAAGAAAAGGTCACTGATCCTCCAGATCCAATCATAGATAACCTATACAGTCCGAGTACGAAGAACGAGATACGCAGCAGGACCTCACATATCAGACAAAACGCTAACCCAAAAAAGGATGATAATACGAAAAAAACCCCAGCCATTCGGCATCCAGCCAAGAACCAAGCAATATTAATAGCCCTGTTCCCACGGAAAATATCCGATCTATTACCCTTAGAATAGTGGGTCGAAAAGGCGTTCAATCGTAAACCCATGTGTCTAAATTTGCGTTGGTGGAGGCTTCCAAAGGTGGATTTCTGCTTGGCGCAGAAAGAAGCTTATTTCCTTACCGGATTAGGAAATGGGTACGAGATATACGAAGGTCGGGTTTGGATATCTTCAAAGTGGGTTTTAAGGGAGTTGCATTTAGAAAAAGTTTGATGCAGGGGTAATATATAAGGCCGGGCATTTTCTGGAGTGGTTCTTCTGTTATTTATGTTCATTAAAGACCTTGTACAGAGAGTGTTTGGGTTTGACTGCCTACCGTCCAGAGTACCTGTGTATAACGACCTTTCTCTCTTTTCTTACTTCGTCCATTATACTCAGCACAATGTCATCTTCGCATGCAGGCTGGAAAGCCTATGAATATTACCCTTCCATAGCAGCGGCTATTGTCTTCATCATCCTTTTTCTGCTCGTCACTCTCCTCCACACCTATCAGCTCATTCGAACCCGAACATGGTTCTTCATTCCTCTTGTGATAGGAGGCTACTGTAAGTCTTCCGCAGCCTAGAAGCTTATGCATCCTAGCTAACAATAATAGTCGAGGTCGTTGGGTATATAGGACGTGCCATGTCCGCTAACGAATCGCCAAATTGGACCATCGGCCCATATGTGATGCAGAGCACGCTGCTGCTTGTCGCTCCGGCTTTCTTTGCCGCCAGTATCTATATGCAGTTGGGTCGGATCATTATCTTGATCAAAGGAGAGCAACGTGCTTTGATCCGGGTCAATTGGATGACGAAAATATTCGTTGCGGGTGATGTGCTCAGCTTCTTGATGCAGGCATCAGGTGTTTCTCCTTTTCGTAGTATTTGAATTTCTGGCGATCTCGAATACTAATCCATTTTTTTTCATAGGAGCCGGAATCATGGTCAACGGATCTAAAAGCACAGGCGAAAATGTCATCATCGGTGGCCTCATCGTCCAAATCGTCTTTTTCGGTTTCTTCCTCGTGAGCGCAACCATCTTTCACCGACGTATCAGAAACCATCCCACTCCGGAGTCTGTCGCCGATTACATCCCCTGGCAGAAGCATATGACCGCGCTGTATGTGTCGAGTACTCTGATCCTCATCCGGTCGATCTTCCGTGTGGTCGAGTATGCCCAGGGTTCGGATGGTACTCTTTTGAAGAGCGAGGTATTCATATACATCTTTGATGCACTCTTAATGTGGGCGATGATGGCTGCCTTTTTGGTCGTTCACCCGAGTGAGGTCAATTGCCTTTTGGGCCGAGGAAAAGTCATGGCAGCCAAAGGTGGTTTCATGGTCAGTGAACTTTCGATGGCTGTTTAGTGTAATGAAAAGGGGTGTCTGGCGTAGGAATGGTTTTATTTGCCTTTCATGTTGTTTTATATCTTCCATCTTCCTGTATATCATTTGTTTGGCGCATTGTTTTCAACAGATTCAACTTGCCTTCTTATCAGCGAGAATAGAATACAACGCAATTCGCGGTTTCATCAAAGTGGCACGCTGTATGTAGAGAGAATATTAAGGAAATGGTATATATGAGAAGCCAGAATCAGCTCATCTCCACATCAAATGTAAAATCCCGCCCATGAATCTCCATCATGGCCCATTGAGCCAATGGCCTCCACTGGTCGTCCAGCATGAACCAAATGGCTTTGGAGACCCTGACACCCCACTCGTCAAGACACCAATTATGCCGCAGAAAATGCAAAGCCAGGCAATAGTGTACCAGAATAACCAGCGCCAAGGGCCTGTGTTCTCTCAACAAATCCACGTATGCAGATTCCACTCTAATTGCCCACCGGCAGACAACAGTCATCGAGTTCATGCCCCCATGCATCGCACTCATCATCTGTTCAAGTTTTTCAATGGTGTCATGGTAAAGGTCTGTTTCGTGGGTAGCATCATGGGCACCGTAGGCTTCGTTCGCTTCTTGTAATCGTTCCAAGGCTGACCTGATGTTTTCTGGTAAATACGACTCGTAGTCATCTAATCGTAGAAGTGGGCCGAAACTGCTGTCTCGTACGGAGGTTGAAGATGCACTAAGTACTTGCTGTACACCACGACACAAGACGAGTACCTGGAGCAGATCATCAACACAGGTCCATGGGTCTTTCCAGCCTGGGGTTTGAGGAAATCCAAATGAGTAGACGACCACGATACCAGCGAAAGCAAACATGGCCTTCGCGTTTGAAGAATTGACATCACCCAGAAACTCGCGAAAGAGGGCGAGTGCTTGATTCTGGTGTGCAACGGCTGTGCTGATGTATTCCGGCCGACGATGGTTATCCTTTGTTCGAGCCAGATGCAGTGCGGATAGTGACATTATCCCATGCATGAGGAGGGGCTGTGATAATGCCTCCTCGGGAACCAGAGAGCGCCAGACGGGATCTGTCCGCCCATTTCGGGACAGAGAATGGTACGTCGAGTTGCACCATTGCATCATCAACTCCAGATTGCTGAAATTCAGACTGACGGGAGAAGCAGCAGTGCCCTCACCTACGCTGAGTTTTCCCAGGATGTCAAAGGAGCTGTCTGTCGCTAGTGTTGGTTCTGCTTGTTGGGACCCTTCAGGGCTGGGTTGGTTTGAGGACTGATGACGAGGTCGCGGACTCTCGTTTGTCCATCTTATGGAGCTGGTAGATTCATATTCACATTCCGACTGGCGTTTAGAGCAATTGGAACATATTGGCCGAGCTTCATCACACTGTATGGTATCAGAATTCAAACCTTAAAAGACAAAAAAAGCCTGATACGTGAGGGGGGGGAGGCACCTTGACTCGTCTCCGTTTGCACTCCGCACAGCCGTGACGTGACTTCCGATGAGTTCGTCGGAGCGCCATTACACGCTGACTAGTACTCTGTCATATTCATATACACTGATAGAATGTGGACTGCGGTATACCGATCAATAGAGATAATTTCGAGGGTGATAAACGCAGGAACCGTTTCTAGGCAACTGCTTGGGGTTGAGTTGCATTTTAAACGGTGGAGAGCCAAGTGGGTTATGTAATGCACGCCAGAAAGTTTCCTCGACAGTCGAAATCAAGGGACAAAGGCCAACTTTTACGTTGGATATTGTTAATTTATCGTGATTTTACTAAGATCTGATATTGAAGTCTCGAAGTAGTAGAATAATTCTGTTTTCATTGTAGAATGTAACACTGGGTCGTCGAAAAGTAGGTAGCATGCTGTGGTATCTCAGGATTTGTATAAAGAAAAGTCATCAGAAATCATCAAGCATCAAGCATCAAATATCGTTAAAATCATCGCAAATTCCTGTTTCTCATGGCCTTTTAGGCCCCCCCACCTCCACCACCGCCCCCACTGCTGCTGTTGCTGCGCCGTCTCTGGCTTTCGAATAAACAAAGAGCAGTCGTGAGGACCATCAGATCGAATCCCTGGCCGTAGTCGGCACAAACTTCGAGTTTTCCAGCCTTCTTGTAGCTATACGAGCTTTGGGTGAAGATTGCAGCGATCTTCCCCGACTCATCCACCAATTTGTAGTTGCGATTGCCCAGCAGGGACGGAGTTGAGCCCGCAACTCCTACTGAACTAGTTTTCTTCCAAACAAAAGACCGTCTAGTGGCGCCTTTGTTGCTCCTGGTCGTTACTTGTATGGTGTGTTTGACATGCGCGAAACCCTGGCAGACCAAATCTTCCCATACGACAGTGTTGGGATGCTGAGGGTTTCCTAGGCCGATTTTGAAGTGCCTTGAGAAATGGAGAAATTTACCAACTGACACGACCGGTGCTTGAGTGGTTGTGCCAGCATGGAATGTGAGATCAGGCTTCTTTGGTGTTAACGAGGAGTTGTCCACGTGGAAGAGCTGTCTTTTATCGCTGTCCATGACGTGGTAATCATAGTGGAATATGGTGTGGTAAATGTGATAGAGACGGTCAAAGCCAGCAGGCTGGTGAGGATATGATGGATTTTCCATGGTGTCTGCAAAAGATAGAGTGGGGTTGATAGTAATAAGAGATAGTAGTCGTAGCGCGTATAAGTAAGAAATTAGATGATCGAGACGATCTGATCCTCTTATATCTTCTTCCAGCCCTTTGAAAAGCTTACATTTTTGGAAATTGGTCAGTCACAGATCTCTGCAAGGCTTAGCAGCTGTGCCCCAGGCAAATGAAGATCGTCGATTTCTGACACGCTCATATTGGACGTTGACGTCGATATCGAAAAATCCCCGGGCAGTGCAAGTTGGGCGTTTTGTGCCCGTTTTAGAGTAGCCCAATCAGCAGACAGAATGGGAAGACAGATCACATGAGACATGACTAAGACAACTAGGTCACATGATATCACATGACACATAGCTCGGCGCCAAGACCAAAGCGCGTCGAGCGAAAGTGACGAGCAGAAGAGGAAGACGAAAGAAAAGCACAGGAGAGGACGACGATGATGATTCTTTGATGATACAGACTTTGACTGCTCTTTCTATTCTTCACTCCCTTATCGCGCATATCCTCTTGTTCCCGCGCAAGTTTTCTGCGGATTGTCCCCCCGGAGCTGGGGTCGCAGCTTGAATCCCGAAGATTTATTTAGGTCTTCCATGCTGTTTACTGTTGTCTTTTGAATCGCCATCTCCCCCAAATCAACACATTGATCGACTACCACACCATCTTCAAGATGTCCTTCCAGGTCCCTTCGAGTCCTTCGACTCCCGACAAATCTCGCAGCTTCCTCAGCAATGTTTCGACAACTCCTGCCGGTGCCCCGTCGGCGACCAACTCCTTCACACCGCATGGTTTTCCTGGGTCCACTGTCTATGGGAGCTCCCAGATTGGTGGTGGCTCGCAGTTCAGCGAATCCTCTCAGTCCCTCTTCACTAAATCCGGAAGAATCAACCCCAATGACAGCATCTTTGGTTCCTCGATTGCTTCGAACGATTTTGCCGCGCCGCCTCGGGCGAAATCCAAGGGCCTCTCGGAGAAACCGTTTGCTGCATCGCAGTCAATGTTCAGCATGACGAATGGCAGTAGATTTGGTGAATCAAGCAACTTTGGGGAATCCACCGGGTTTGGTTCTTCGCAGATGAGTGAGGATATTGAGGAGGACATGGAAGAGGAGATGGAACCGGAGGAAGAGACGGAGGAAGAGGATGCCGATGGCGACGAGGACATTCAACAGCCATCTAAACCATCTGTCCCTCGCTTCAGCTTTCTGGACTCTCACATTGGAAATCCCCTTCCTCCTCCATCCGCCGCGGCGGCGCAGCGAAAGGCGATATACTCAAACCCAACTAACGCCAAACGACCCAAGCTCGATGAGCGGTGGGCAAACCAGTCGCCCTTGCGTAAAACGAAGCTGTCGCCCAAAAAGGTCTCCGCAATGCCTTCTATCGTCCGCAACTTTGCTTCTCGATCGCGAACTGCCCCGGTCGATGAGCCGAGTAATGTTATACTCGGTACGGAGGACGAAATCTGTCGAATGTATGATGAAGCAAGGAACTCGGAGCGTGACACGGACTTTGAAGTCACCCTATCAGAGGTTGTAAATCGACTTGCGGCTACGTGGAAGGAATCTACGCAACCAAAGGGAATATCTCGGGGAGCTGGCATTGGTCCTGGAGAAAACGCCCCTAATGTCGCCAAAGCCAGCTTCATCGCCTCACTTCTGCTCCAACTACATCACCCACCTCCGGCCAATACAAAGTCAGGAAGCTTTTCTAATCCTTTCGGGCGCGCACTGCCCCGAAGTCTTGTGCTAGCTGGCCCCAGAGCAGATAAGCCTACACCCATTCCTAAGGTTCTTTTAGACTGGCTCGAAGCCAATGGTGCACCCCAGTCGACTGGCTTGCTGGAACTTAAAGAGGTTGAACCCAACCCTACCGCATCTTCAAACTTTTGGGAAATCGTCAATGCTGCGGTGCTCCATGGGCGCCTCGAAGACGCGGCGGGAATCCTACGATCTGCCGACTTTAACTATGCCAGATCAGCCTTGGAGGACGGGTTACCGCAGCCTGGTTACCGTGGGACACAACTGCAAAATGTCCAGAGATGTGTGAACAAAGCCCTCCAGATCCTTGACTCATGCCCTGGTTTACAACATGATGACTGGGATATCAAGGGCACTGAATGGTCACTCTACAGAAAACGCGTGCTTAGTGTTGTCGCTGATTTGGAGGAATTCGCCGAGGGAGACGAGGAACAGCTGCCACCCCAACCACCTTTGATGGACGCCCGGTTCCAGGCAGTCAACTTTGGATTGACGTCGAACGGTGGCCCAGAACCATTTTCCTTTGCGCAGTCTGCGCGCATGGCAGAAAGCCGTGTTCCCTGGACGATCTACCAGAACCTCAGGTCTCTGTACCGCATCCTGCTAGGCGATGCGGCTGCCATCATGAACCACTCCCAGGACTGGATTGAGGCCACCATCGGCCTGACCGTCTGGTGGGATGGTGAGGATGATGCTGAGATTTCTACGCAAGACCTCGGCGCCACTTTTAACTTCCAGCGATCCCGCATGCCTAAGTCGCAAGCCCCACGAGCCGTTGATAGCAACCCAGAGGAGGCCTATCTCCATCGGCTCGACTTGGCCTTGAGCAGCGCTACCAGTGACAAGTCAGACGAGGCTGGTTTCCGCGTCAACTCCCTCAGTAGTCTCGAAGTGGGACTGGCATCTGTCTTTGAGGGCAATGTTGAGGGTGTGATGGAGCTGTTGCAAACATGGTCGCTTAGCATTGCGTCCGCTGTGGCCGAAGTTGCATCTGCCGGTGGTTGGCTGGAGTCTTCTGCTGGCACCAAGCCGTTATCAGGTCTGAGTGATAATGACTTAATGGTGCTCTCATATGGCCAAGACGGCAATGCGCCTACGGGTCGTGTTCGCAAGGACGATGTGCTGAGCGCCTATGCAGCCGGCTTGTTCGAACGACCTTCTATCGAAAACGAGATCGGCACTAGGAGCGGATGGGAACTGGCACTAGAGATCTCGAGCCGGTTAGACGACTCGGACAAGATGCAGAAAAGTGTGTCGGAGTTGTTGGACAAACTACCTCTTGACACCGCAGAACAAATGGATAAGGTAGTGTTGTTATGCTCTGAACTGGGTTTGGACAAGGAGGGAAGAAGAGTTTCCGAGGTAGGCAAATCCTTCCACTACATCTACGTTGAGGAAGTAACGATGCTGACTTCTCTAGCGATACGGTGACATTACTGTCTCCAAATCTGAAGAATATGGACTTGCCCTGGTGTGCTACGCTCGTGCACACAGTCGACGCAAGGTGAAGTCTGTCGTTGACCTGCTCATCTCATACAGTCTTGTCCAATCACGCGCATATCCCGCATCTCCAGACCTTGACGAGCAGCTTCGGACATTGATTCGCGAGCCCAAGACGTGCCTTTCCGCTATTGCGTCTGTAGATGAAGAGGCCGCTAGTATTATTCAGTTCTACTTCAGCGGTTACGCGACATTGCGTCGATTTTACGAGACTCGGGACGAAGCGGTGGGTCTCCAAGAGGGTCAGCGACCTCGGTTCAAGCCTTTGGCCAGGCGACGAGCGGCGGCTCAGGCGTTGGTTGCTGTCATTGGCAGCGCTGCAGACAGTATCTACGGTGGTCTCTATGACCCTGATCGGGACTCAGCAGTGCAGGTGGACGGATTACTGGCGCTCTTGGGTGAGGCATTGGCATTGATTAACCGTAAGTCTTGTTGATATCCTCTGTCGAAAACAAATGCTAATTGTGAACAGAATCTACACCGATCCTTTCCGTCAGCCAACAGTTTACGATCTTGTCTGCGATCGAGGACCTGGAAAGCGTGACTCCCCGTGTTTATGCCCAGTGCGAGGAGTGTTTCCGTTCTACGCTGATCGAGTACCAATCTTCCGAATCGGCCGTGGCTCCTCCTTCGCCGCGCACGCTGCTGAAGAAGTCCGTTTCGTCCCTGACTGCGTCGAGCACATTTTCTTTTATCGGCAATGACATGATTGAGTCAGCTCGCACACGGTCCATGTCTGGGTCCGGATCCGCGGGCAGCTCGGCTGTCCTGGTACCTCGTCCCGGTGGCGGAAAGGCCTTGGTCTATGAAAGAGGCTGGGACTGGCGTTCAGGTTTGCCCGAAGAAGTCAAGGGTGAAGATATCCTGCGGATGTTGAGATCAGGATTAGCGAGAGGATTGTGTTTCGGCGCTCTTGGGTCAATTTAATAGAGTAGGCGGGCAAAAGTTTCGGCGTGTATGTGTATTCTGCAGGATCTGAGCCAGTTAGTTGTGTATTATGCATAATGGGTTAACTATAATTGTCAAATGTCATTTGACTCTGATAAGCAGCGACCAACATAAAAAGTCTTAATTCAGTTAGTATGGTTGACAGGCCCCCAAGTGAGCCAATTCAAACCAGATCAAAAGGCAGTCACTTGGGTATAGAAAGAGAAAAAGAAGAAGAGGGAAAAGCCATGAGATCTGCAATTTGACGATGTCTGTTGCCGTTCAATTCAATAGGAGACAAGTTGTTGCCTCAGGCAGTAAGGCTCCACGTAATGGAGGGAGTCAACACTAACACCAACAAGGGTCAGTATTTCTGCATCATCCATGCGGATTTTCCAGTTCATCAGCACCTAAACTGACCCTACAGAATCTGAATTATGCTTAAAAGTCAAATTGCTACCAACTACCATCTGTGTGCCCGATAAGCTGAGTAAGGCATCTTCCTGTCGATCATCCGGATGCCCCTATTCAAATAGATATCAAGAATTCAAGACGCAAAATACTTCTATTAATAAATGAATCCTTCAATGCCTTGATTGAATAGGTGAATATCCACGAGTTATCAATCACTTGAAATGCAGCATAGCCACTCGCAGGATCGCATGAATCTTCCTGATGCGGAAATTGATGAAGCGTTGGTTGAGCTAAACAGTGGGGGCCTAAAGCCAACAAAATCGGATTTAAACACTAATCTCCCCTGAAGAGAAACAGACAGACCTCATCCTCAAGAAAACCATACATCATGAAATCTATCAGTTTGATCGGTGGCCTCCTTTCCATCGCCAGCATTGCTTATGCCGGCCCTGCAGGCTCTGCAGGCTGCGGGAAACCGTTGCCCAAGGCCCAGGGCAAGGGAGGCGATTATCCAACCAACTTTACCACCTCAGACGGCACTGCACGGAAATATATCATTCATATTCCGTCCAACTATGATCAGGACAAGCCGGTTCCTGTGATTTTCTCTTTCCATGGTCGAACGAAGACGGCCGAGGAACAGCAGGGTCTTTCGCAGTTCAGCAACGAGGATTGGAACCCAGATGCTATTGCGGTTTATCCCCAAGGCTTGGATGTGAGTGTTATCATCTCTTATTACTATGTGAATGTATGGCTGACTATTACCCAAAGAAACAATGGCAAGGAGATCCGAAATCGAAAGGCGTTGACGACATCGCCTTCACCATGGAAATGCTAGACCACTTCGAGGACCGATACTGCGTGGATTCATCTCGCATCTACGCAGCCGGCAAGTCCAACGGTGGTGGCTTCACCAACCTCCTCGCCTGCGATGCCAAGGCCTCCACCCGCATCGCAGCCTTTGCCCCCGTCTCTGGTGCCTATTACCAAGAAGTTCCCGAAGGTGGCTGCAATGCCCAAACCGTCCCAATCGCCTGCAACCCAGGCCGCAAGCCTATCCCCGTCCTCGAATTCCACGGCACTGCCGACAAGACCATCCCTTACGATGGCGGAGACAGACGGGATAGATGCCTTCCCGCCGTGCCGCATTTCGTGCGTGAATGGTCGAAGCGCGATGGGTTCGGACTGCATAATAAGACTACACCTTCGCATGATGGGAATGTGCATGAGTATCAGTATGGCAGCGATGACAGCTTGGGCACGGTGACACATTATCGCATTGAAGGGCTGGGACATGCTTGGCCCAGTACGAAGCCGAATGACGATAACTCGGCTGGGACTTATTTGAATGCGACGCCGATCATTATGGATTTCTTCAAGAGGTGGACTTTGGAGTAAAGCTCTGGTCTTTTAATTTTTTATTTGTGTAACTAACGATATAATTGGTTGTTTATGGTATAAATTGTTCTTCTTAGTTTCATACATGGATTAGACGTTCTACAGATTGGCAGTTTTGGATCTTTTCAAGGTGTCTTTCATTCATTTATATGGGAGGCTTTGTTTCTATAGTCTAGACTATATCACTAGTATGAAGACGTTGCATTAGAGACTGCAGAGACAATCGTCTCGTGGTGGCTATGCAATATTGCATTCAAGAGCTGCACCTATTTAACACCAACGAGCCTTATTGCTTGGATTACGTAGACAGGCACTCATAATGTCTCATCTTTGTATCTACACAAATACTCATACTCATCTCAATATGTTATCACTTAATACCATAGCTCCAAGGTCAACTCTATAGCAGCCATGTCTACTACAGATAGAAACACAAACGATATATAATACAGCCATTAATGCTGTTCCAAATACAGTAAATGAACCATGTCTCCGTATCCCACGATGATCCAACAACCTTGGGGGTTAATATCGGACATTTGCCACCAGAAATAGTTCATCGTAATATCTCCACTGCTATTCCGAATGACCCAACAGGGCAAGGATAGAGTTTGACTGCGAGCAGGATTATTTGAAATCACCAGGCAGGAAAGATATTTCAGTTATCCACCAGGAATCTCCATCTGTCGCCCATAGGGCTGAGGTGGACCTGAAGACTAATGCACCGATGGAACAGACGGAAGTGAGGATATCCAGTGGTGGTGATGAGGGTCTGGCAGTCTGGCGTCCGGTGATGCCTTCTCCCAGCAAGGAGGACAGCTCAGCGGTCGATATTAGAGTTGAGGGTGATACAGATTGACAATGATGTTCATGGTTTTCTACCAAAATAGACCAACCAAGAAACTCCTCTGTATCTTTTCTCCCTTTCCCTGCTTTCTTTTCTTTCTTTTTCCTTGGTCTTTTTTTTTCCCTTCTGAACATCGCAATATCCAATCTAGGCAGAAGAGTTCTCTGATTGGCTGTCCCAATCGGGTATCGTGCGGTAGGGCTGACTGCCCCTCACGGACTTGCCGTCCATTATTACAGTACACTTGTTTTACATACTACACTGTAGTTAAGTATCTATGATATGGATCGCAGTGAGCAATAAAATGAGATCAAACAATATCAACTTAAGCAATGGTCAAGCTGCTATTATTGTCAAGATGTCGTGAATGTCGTGGTGTATTCCCTTTAGGCACTGGGGTGTCTACGCTAGTCCTCTTTTGCCGTAGCCCCGCGCTAACCGCAAGTAGACTAGACAACTGCTTCTCATCCTTCTCTCTCCCTCTGTGTCTCTCTATCGGTTGTTTATCTTCACCCCGGGCCAATACTTCATCAACTACTAATATTCATCAGATACAATACCCCTTTAATAATATCACAATCAAGCACCGAATCCTTAACCCTCGAGCTGAATGAGTTGCGGCTCTGGCTGGCGATCGTCACCCGGACCGTCGGCGCTATTCTCACAACAGCAACGATCGCGCTCGCTACGGCCCTGCAGCCCCAGTCCGACCTCCACCGATACCAGTCCAGCTGAACCTCTGCAAATCATCTGCAGTCTTCTTACTCCTTCCAGGTTCCATGTATCTACAAGCTCTGCACTCAGATTCTGACTGGCTAACTAGTGCTGGGTAGTGTAGGTACGGATGTACTGGACCAGGCCCCCCCGGGCATTTCACAAACGCGTCCTGCCTTATGTGGAATGACGATCGGAGAATACCCCGAGTCCGGCCTTGTCAATTCATGGGTTCGATGAGCAACTCTTCCAAACTAAACAGGCTTGCCTGCCTAATTCTTTGTGCTACACCAGGATTTATCCGGACAGCAGCTTATCTTGTTTCCAGCTCTTCATGGATTAGCAGAGTACATACACCGCTCCAGGTTTCAAGGCCTTCCCACTATATCCCACTATAGTTGCCCGACGCCCCATACGGCCCGTATGGATCCTTCAGAACTAGTCACCGCAATGCATACTTATTTCAAAGTCTGGCCTTAAATAGAAAGAAAGGTGACTCAGGTGAGATCATGTGGGTCATCTTCCACATGGCTCAGCCGACTGCCGCACACTCACAGCCTTGCGAAATGCCAAGCGGGCAAACCCTTGGATAATGCATTCTCGCCCTAGACTCCTGAGACTGACTGGGTGGAATATCCCATCGTACCACTACCACTTTCCAATCCAATCAAACGAGTCTATAGTGCTCTGACTCAACTGTGCTAGCCAAGCTTTATTTGTTGACTACCATGTTGGGTCTGTTTCAACTGGACTGCAAAACCGTTTCATTGCATCCTGGCCGTCCGTCGGTTTAGCCTTCAACTACGGAGTCAATGTCTCCATCGTCGTGCATTCAGCTGAATTCACGGGGCGCTCGCTGGGTTGCCGAGAGCTCTGTTTCTTCTAATTCGTACATTTACCAAAAGAGGAAGAAAGGGAAAGGCCAAATTAAAGTTGGCTACTCCGTACCCTGTATTGATAAATGTGAATGCAGGGAATCACGCTACTGATGTGAAACCATTACTTGATGTATTCAAATCAATACCGGATGATACCGATGATCGCTGAAAAAAGGCATTGGGCAAAGCCAATTTCTCATCAACATCCTAGGAATCAGCTCCGCTTGGGGACTTTCTCTTGGCTTCCAACGGTTCCATCATGGTGGGTAATTTTAGCGACTCGGAGAAGATCAGCTGTCATCTTCGACTTGTAACCTACAGAATACAACCAGACTTGACTTCCCCACCGATTGTTTAGGGGCTCGGTCTTGTCCGCTATCCACTACGCTTGTCCCCCTTATTATCTTGTACTCCCATTAGGCGTGCCAATTGTGCTTGAGTTGTACCAGTGGGATGCTCATCTCGCCCAATAGCTTGGCTTCTGCTATGAACCTTTTCTGGTCTGTGGGCTCAAGGCCGTTGTTTTTTGATGAATGCCCTGTATCCTTTGACGTGCTGCTTCGAGCTGAACGCAAGACTGCAAGTTCATGCATTCCGTGTAAGGTCATTTTTATTTAACGGTCTCTGGCCTGGGCATTGATTTGGATCAAATATAAACCAGTCGGCCCCGTTTAATTTAACGTCTTCGATCTCCATGCCATTCTCTCCACCAGCAACTCTCCATTTCCTTGGTTCCAGTCTTGATTTCTTTCCTTCGCTGTTCATTGTTGGTTTATAATTTCAAGAATTTCTCTTCTTGCCTATCGCACCGTCACGAAGCACAATCATTGTTCCTGCCATCCTGGTATAATTTTTATAATATCTTTCTCCCGTTCACGCCAATCACCATGTGCTACAAAGTGGTCGAGCGATTCTCGGTGTGCAAATGCCTTTACTTCCAACATGCGATTGATCCGTGTGAGGCATACGGCCAGCGCGGCCACACCGTCCAGGAGAAAACGGTCCTGGTTGGATATGCATGCACCCGGCACTCGACAAGACGTGTTGGCTACACAGAGGCTTCGAACTGGCCTGACTCGGGCTATTCGAGTTCCAAGGCGTGGTGAGCCGAGTGGCTTGATGCCCACTATTTGAATCGATATTTCCGAACGATAGACGCTTGAATTATCCAATGGTTCAGATTACCATGCGCTGGGCGCATTCCTCCAAAAGTTCCAACATTATTACAGCCGGACTAGACTTGCGTCACTCCTTTCTTCGACTTGTCTGAACTATGTGGTCTCCTGTGTTATTCACGGATTATATACGATTCGATCTCCCTCCTTACTCAAACCGATATTCGATTACAGATGCGCATTGCAAAACTACAGCTGTTACTTGACCACTGCTCCCGGAGAGCGAGAATGGAAGGATTTTCGATCCTGTCAGATGACCATTCATCATTTCCTTTCTTGTTTTATGTTTTTTTGCTTTTCCCTAGTCCAGGTGTCTAGGGTTTGTCTGGTATATGCATGCAAAGGCTACGTTGATCGTGGAATGATGTGTTATGGATGTATGGATTAGCGTGAGTTTGGAAACTACTGAGCGAGTTGTTTGAGGTATCAGCGATGCATGCATTTACGGAGTTGGTGATCTTTCTCAGCCTATCTAATTGACACATTCATTTGACTTGTCTTTTTATCTGCTCTCTCTGATTAACCACGTCGAATAACCTCCTCTAAGAAGTCGAACCCCTTCCTCTGCAACTCCCAAGTCCTCGACCCAACCTCCATCTTGGCTGCAAAGGTATGCTCCTCCCCAGGAACCTCGGTCATCCCACACTCGATCCCCTTCTCCCTCAACACCCTCAACAAAACCCGACTCAACTCAATCGGCACCATCGTATCCGCCAACCCATGCACGATATACGTCGGCGGAAAATCCCCCTCCACATTCAACACAGGATCAATCAACCCCAAATCCCCACCCGGATAACACTTCTCCAACAAAGTCCCGTTAGCAATCTGCGTAAACGCAAACGCATCCCTGGGCCGACTGAAATTCGGACCCGACGACGTCCCCGTCTCGGACTGCCCCTCGAGAGAAATCGAACTGTTTGTCGGGACCGGATATTCGGCGTAGATCTGTTCCAGGAAGGACTCTGGGATGTTGGGGGGTAGTTTCTGCGCGACGTGGGGGAGCGGTTTCTTCCAGAATGGATGGGCGAAATGCACTGCGCCGTAGAGGGATAGAATCGCCTTTACGGGGCGGGGCACGTTGAATCCCTTTTCTCATAATCAGTATACACCATCATCACTTATGGGGAACCGGGGGAGGAGGGAAGAGTAACAAACCAAACACAAAGCCAGCATGCCCCCACTCGAAGTCCCAAACGCAACCACCCTCTCCAAATCAAGCTCATACCCTCGCCCTCCCTCAGTCGAGGAAAGATAACTCTCCAGACCACCCTCGTACACCCAGTTGAGCAAATCACGACAATCCTGCACAGGACCGTCGAGGATATTCACCTGCGGACAGAGACGGTGGTTGGGGACGACTACGATCCAGCCACGGTTTAGGCAATCGGTTATTTGGGGCATAGAGACCATTCCTGAGTAGCTGAGCATGAATGCGCCGCCATGGATGTTTATCACTGGTGGGTTTTTGTCAGATGGGTGGTGTTTTTGCTGGAGTTTGTGAGGAAGGGGAGAAGTTACTAATTGAGTGTTTTCCGGATGGAAATGGGGGGAGGTATATGTCTGTTGTTATTTCTGTGTTGTTGATTTCTTTGTAGAGGGTTGTTAAAGGTTTGGGTGACATTTTGACTATTGATTATAACGATCTGTAGTGTAATTGAACTTTGTATAAATAATGACTTCGTACAAATTATGAAAGCATGTCTGTGAATGCATGCGGAGAATAATATAAAAGTTTTGGGGAATCAAATATTCTCGGGATATCCGGCATCAATCACGAGACACGGAATAATCCGATCTCATGTCATGTCATCATTCATTTTGAACAAGTCATCTCTATTTAACATGAATATATATCTATCTCCAGTATATTGTTTCCCTGAAGATGAGATGATGATAAATAATATAAAAAAGATGACCTGCTCAGGTCATAACATAACTTCGTTTCCTCCATTCCACACTGGCCCATCCACGACATAACCTAGGGTAAAGTAAGGCAATGGATGGGGTGGGATATTGTCATTTTTGTTCCATGATTCTGATATGTCCTTCTCACAGTCAATATCCACGACGTGAGTCCGGCTCGTGTCGTGGCTATCGGCTGTGAGGCCACGGTCCGGGTTGACCTTATTTTTTTTATATTTTCATAGGGTTTTTTGGTTTGTATTGCAGGATGCCTGCTCAAAGGAGTGATTATAACTGCAAATCGCAGTAAACGGCTCAAGGTGTAATGGACTCAAGGGTCCTTCCTCAACAAGGCCTGGTCAGGATGGTAGAGGGCAAGTGTAGCCTTAGCTTAGCCTCTCAGGGTATGGTGCAAGCAGCATGGCTTGGTTTGAAATGAATGTGTGTGAAAGCAGACGACGAACAAAACACTCGACATCATTCATTTATCTGCGCACAACGATACCCTGGCGACGGACGGCACTGCGGGCCTGGCGGTACTCCTCATCGCTGTCCGAGTCTTCGGAGCAGCTAGCCTCGGAGGACTCGGTGACGTATCCACAGCGGCTACCACCACAGTCGAGCTTGACGCGATCGCCCTTGCGAGTGATTCCGTAGCGCTCGCAGCGGCAGTCAGACATGGGTGGGTCACTCATGGAAGACAGCGAAGAGGGCGAGGTGCTGCCGGAGGAGCGAGACGACAGGGACGAACCGACGGAGCTGGGCGGGCTGTTGGAGTAGGAGTACTCATCGGACATGCGGGAGCCAGCAAAGCGTCTGGTGAGATCGTCCATGGTTGGGGCGAAGTCGACTTCGCGGATCTGGCGCGAGGCATAGGGCTTGGAGGGTTTGGGGTGGTGGATCTTGGACGGGGAGAGGGCACGACCCTTGGCGACGTCGTCGGAGGTGCGTCGAGTCCTGGGGGCGGGAGCGGGGGCCTTGCCACCGGGGACGTCGAGGATGTTGAGCTTGCGGCCAGTGGTGGGTTCGACAGTGTAGTCGACAGCAGGGTCATGAGAAACGTGGTATCCATCCATGATATACTAGAAGGACAAGGGTTAGCCCAGGAGGTCAAGAAATGAAGAGAGGAGAGTAAGACTCACGTAGTACCAGTAACGACCACCCAACTTGAGCATGGAAGTCTGGAAACGGAACTTGCCAACCCATGCGCCAGGCTTTGAAGACTCCCTAGAGAGGGGAATCTGACGAGAGTAGTTGTCCCATGAACCGACCAGGTGAACGGTCTTGACGTTGGAGGAAGTGCGGAGGTTGAACTTGAGCTGAACAGCGGACATTGTTGCGAATGTATCAAAAAAAGACGTTGAAAATAAAAAATTATATTAGAAGCGATATTAAGTCGTGTCAATGGGTTGAACGAGTTTAGAAGAGCTCGAGAAAAGTCGTTGTGAGAGAGTCGAACGAAACAGCTACCAGAGCTAGATCAAACAGGTCTCTTTGTTTGAGTTGGAGAGCTAACGACGAAGCAGTTCAGCCGTAGAATTCTCTTCCTTTGAGGGGATTGACGGGGATCCAGTCCACGACACGAGAGATGAAAATAGAAGCGAGGAACAAAGAACCTTGAATCGACAAGGTCCGAGCAAGTAGTATAGAGCTGAACGGAGAACAAAGAACACGTTGACCGGCAACGCGAAATGCAGACCGTTAGGAGAATATTGAATAATTAAGAAGTATCCAGAGCAAAGTGTAAGGGCAATGATGAGAATATGATGATAGAGAGCACAGCTCGTCTATGATTATGGATTTTTTTGATAATGGGGAAGGGAAGAAATTAGAAAGAATAATATGAAGCCAAAGAAAACAACAAAAACTGGGCAACCAGTGCACCAGGATACCTCCAAACTATGGGCAGCTCAAAGAAGAACAACGCTTGCTGAAGAAAAAAAAGAAGAAGGAAAAACGACGAGGAGCGAAAAAGTTGGAGTTTTTAAAAGAAGGGAAAGTCGCAGTATCACGCTCGCCGTATCAGTACCGTACGGTAATTTATTCTATTCTGGGTGGTGGTGGGAACGGCCCACATTCTGCAGATCCATCACACCAATCATCGCATGTGATGATGTTTCCCCGCTGTCGATGGAGGGTCCCAGAGCCAATGGGCGGGTATTACTCTACACTGATTGGCCGATGGGCAGCCACACCAGCCAATCAGCGAGTGCAATCAACAGCCAACCACTGCGTGTGAATTGACGCCGAAGAACACCCCGACCAGCCTATCAGCGCAAAAATACAGGCAGGAAACGTCCCGATGACGGCAGGAGCAGCAGGGAAGAAGCAAAACAATCCGATTGCAGGATTCGATCAGGTAATTTACATTCGATGAGGGGTTGCGATGGAGATGAGAGGAGACGCAGAAGGCAGAAGAAGAAATATTTTGGAAGACAACAAGATATCAAAAACCGTCCAATTCCAATCCGGTCTGAAAAAGAAACCTCCAAAAGCATCGTAGCAACTACTGCTTCATCCTCCCTATGTGACAGTAATAATAGTAAAATATGAGATAATAATGAAGAAAAAAAACAAGAAAAAAAAAAGGAAACCAATCTTGCATCCGCTGTACGCCGGAAAAATGCCGAATCGATCTTATTCTCTGCCGAGATGAGCTGGCAATAGATATTAAAAAAGAAAAAAGAGAAAGAAGGCCCGTGATGAGACATTTTTCTACATCTGCATCTACCGGACAGACACCCCCGAACGATCGGTAAACATGCGGGCGGCAATGTTCATCGAGGCCAGCTCTTGGAACAGAAGCTTGGCGGCATACGGGATGTGTACCTGCGAGATCCTGTGCTTGTTGTTACACAACCGACACTCGAACAATCCCTTCTTCAGTTTCCTGCCACGCTGTTAGTCCCTGCTCTCTCGTCCTGCATAAATGAGGGGGTTATCAGTCACTTACGCAACTGGCGTCATCAGTCCACAGTCATCGCAGATGTGGACACGGAACGGGTCGGAAACGTCGAACAAACGTTCTTTCAGGAATGAGCTGGCTCCGTGCGCAATCATACAGTCGCGCTCCATCTCTCCGAATCGCAGACCACCATCACGAGCCCTACCTTCCACCGGCTGTCGCGTCAGAATCTGGGTCGGCCCACGGGCACGAGCGTGGATCTTGTCGTCCACCATGTGTCGCAATCGCTGGTAGTATGTTGGTCCCAGGAATACTTGGGCGACCAGCTTGCGTCCAGTATGTCCGTTATACATCACCTCGAATCCACGTGACTGGAATCCATGTTCACGGAGGAGACGCGAGACCGAATCGACCGTCACGTCGGTGAAGGGTGTCGCATCACCTTCGAATCCACGCAGCGCCGACACCTTACTGAGTTGACACTCGATCAAGTGGGCAATGGTCATACGAGATGGAATGGCGTGTGGGTTGATAATCAGATCGGGGGCCACGCCATCCCGAGTGAAAGGCATGTCTTCCTGGCGGTAGGTGATACCGATCGTACCCTTTTGTCCGTGACGGGAAGCAAACTTGTCTCCGATCTGAGGAATCTTGGTGGTCCTCATGCGGACCTTGACGAATTTCAAGTCATCGTTGCTTGTAGACACCAAAACCTGGTCTACAATACCGCTTTCCGTACTTCTGAGAGGAGTAGACACATCGAGCTTGGTGTGCGACTTGGTTCTTTGACCAAGTTCCTCAGCATCAGGAGCCAGAGGAGCCGTCTTACCAATGATGATATCCTCACCCGAGACACGCACACCAGGGGCAATGATACCGTCCTCGTCAAGCTTGTCATATGTTCCCTTTCTCATACCAAGCGTATCCGCCCGCATAGGCTTCTCAAAGCGCTCAACGACCGTCAAACCGACCATCTTCTCAGTATCGGTGTAGGTACGGTAGAACAAACTGCGGAAAAGACCACGGTCGATACTGCTCTGGTTCATAACGACGGAATCTTCCTGGTTGTATCCAGAGTAACAAGCAATGGCGACAATAGCGTTCTGTCCAGCAGGCAGTTCACGGAAGCGCAGGAACTCCATTGATCGTGTAGTGGCCAAAGGCTTCTGCGGGTAGTACAGAATATTTGCCATCGTTTCCATCCGTTGGTCAAAGTTGGTCAGGAAAACACCCATAGCTTGTTTACCCATAGCGGATTGGTAAGTGTTACGAGGCGACTGGTTGTGATCGGGGAATGGAATGATACTGGCGCAAACACCAAGAATCATACTGGGGTGAATCTCGCAGTGCGTCCAGGTGTGTGCCTTCTGGGTAAGGATTGACCGGACACGCTTGTTGGGGTCGTTCATCTCTTCCTCCGGCAGTGCATAGCCGGCCTGAAGCTGTTTGGAGATTTCGAGATCTTCCGGTGTCATCACAATCATAATTGTTTCTTCTTCCTCCGCGTCGACATACTCCACAACTCCAGACTTCACGAGACCGTCCCATCCGAAGTATTGCTCTCTGCGATCTTCCGGATCCATGTCCGCGGGCAGATCCTTGTCTTGTTCTAGCTTGCGGATGTGCTCCTTGTTGAGCACCAGCGATCCGCAATTTTCGCTCTTCGGGTCATTGTCGACAACATATAGTGGTCGACAGACACGACCAGCGTCGGTGAAGATCTTGAACTCACGCTCACGGATATCCCGAATCAAACTGACTTCGTGTGAGATCATGTTCCGGCGGCGCAGAGAGGACATTGTGTTGACAAGATGAGCAGGGTCTCTGTGGATTCCAACCCAGACACCGTTCACGAAAACCTTGGTGGCATTTGGCGTGACTTGAGGCTCGAATTCCTCAAGGACTTCCATGTTACGCTGGATCATGAAGTCGATAATAGGCTCGCTAGGTGTACCAACGGTGATGTAACACATGAGCGCCAAATTCTTGACGAGACCACAAGCTTGACCTTCTGGAGTTTCGGCTGGGCAAACCAATCCCCAGTGGGTGTTGTGAAGTTGACGAGGCTTCGCGATTTTACCGTCACGTCCAATGGGCGTGTTGGTTCGCCGAAGATGTGATAATGTAGAAGCGTAGGTGTAACGACTGAGCACTTGGGACACACCAGCCTTGGCACTAGCTGCCTTCTTCTGTTCTCCCCAGTTACCGGTAGCAAGAGCATATTTCAAACCTCCGGTCAATGTGCTTGCCTTGATACCAATGTTCAAGTAGATTTCTCTGTTGGTTTCAACACATCTCTGCACATATCTTTGAAGGTCACGGGTAACTCTGGTAAAGAGAACCCGGAAAAGGTTCGCAAGAAGAGGACCAGCAAGGTCGAGACGCTTCTTTCCAAAGTGATCACGATCATCAACATCGCGACGACCCAAGGCACACTGCAAGAGCCTGTGCACCATGTAACCCAAGAAAAATGCCTTTCTAGTTTCACTACCCTCGCTCTGGGAAATGTGAGGAAGCAGCTCCTTCTGCATGATGTCTCGTGCGTATCTAACACGTCGCTCATGGTTCATGCTAGACTGGGAAGAGCCACGCTTGGCGATGAAATCCAGGGCAACTTCACGATCTTGGATAACGAAACCTTCTTCAATACAAGGTTTCAACATCTCCAACATGGGGGTATCATTTCGGTCATAGCAAATGTGGTTCAGGATATCTTCGTCAGAAACCACGCCCAGAGCTCTGAAGACAACAACAATTGGAATGTCAGTCTTGACATAAGGCAAAGTAGACCTAATGGTAGGGCCGAATCCACCCTTGGCACTGTCACCCTTGGCGAAGAGCTTAAGAGCCAGTTGGGAGAGAAGTCTTGAACCTTTCTCGACAGCACTGCGGATTTCAGCAACATAAGGGGTCGGGCTGGGCGGTGCCTTTTGGAAGACCTGGACAGTGTTTCCGGCACTCCGCTCCTGTGCGATCAGAACCTTTTCACTACCATTGATAATGAAGTAACCACCGGAATCGTAGGGACATTCGTTCCAGTTGTAGAGAGCCTGTTCGCTCAAATCCTTCAAAATACAATATTTGGACTTGAGCATGATAGGAACTTTTCCGATGAAAACAGTCTCTTCCTTGGCCTGATCAGCTGGGAGTTCCTTTTGTTCCCAGTGAAGATAAGTGCCACGGCTTTTCCGGTCTTCATCATTATCCACAACCTCATCGTCATCCCGGTCGGCGACCAGCCGCTCTCGGCCCTCCATGATTTTCTTCGTGATTCCAAGGTAAAGCGGACTTGCGTATGTAAGGTTCCGCAGACGAGCTTCCTGGGGCAACATGATAGTAGTTGCACCATCACCCTCAGTCACCGAAGGTCTGGACAGCATAACAGTTCCGAATTTGAGCTCGTAACGACGGAGGACAACGGGATCGACTTCATCTTCGGCGGGAGGGAGTGTTTGATCGAGTGTAACTTGTCCTTGTTCCTCCACCAGCTCCTGCATCGTCGATGAGATGAATTCATCGAATGAATCCAGCTGCTGGGACACTAGACCCTTGGTGTCGAAAAAGGATGAGATGACGGTCCAGCAATCCTCCGAGGTAATCCCATCCTCCATGTCATCATAGAATTCCTCCTCGTAGGCGTCATCGTAGTCGGCCATTTTGGCAAATTAAGTCGTAAAAAGTCGAATATGGGCAAGAAATCAGTTGAGCGCAGGAGGGCGCGACGCGCTCAGAGAAAAAGCTCCCACGTCAGGGTCTTCCGGGGGCTGCTACAAGAGCAGTAAGCACGAGCTTAATCGCCGTTCTAAATGTCGCAGAGAAAATAAAGAAAAGTAGCAGGCTGGGAATCTCAGTTGGATCGAAAAGTGAGATATCCCATGCCAACCGTGATGGTGAATGGAGCAGAACTGGACTCTCCGACGCTTGATGGATCTTGAGCAGAGCCGCCACTAGCGCCTCGACCGCCGAGTTAGCGCCAAGCCTACAATGGACGGTCCGTCACGTGATCTAAATAGACTGATGCGACCAAATAATAATTCAGGATATTCTCATAGGGATTTCGATTTGCGATCCAGTGTATATTACATAGATAGTTCATGAATGGGTTCACAAAAATTGCAAGAGTGTTCCAAGCATCTCCTTCTGGTCCTTCTGGCCCGGCTCATCATCCGTAATTCCTTCGATTTGCTCTGCAACAGCAGTTAGTATTTGAAAGCTCGAAAACACCTGAAAGTTGCGAATAAGCAAAACTTGGCTTACCTTGCAGAGTGGCCCGAACAAGGGACAAGTCCTCATCACGGTCTGCCAGAAGAGATACAATCTTCTTCTTGGCTCCGTCGTCTTCGGCCACAAGCCATGCCAATATAACGTCAATTACCTAGAGGAGATTAGAATCTTTCAAGGCTTCTCTTGGGGGTCAGTGTACATACCTGTAACGAAAACAAGCCGGCATCAAAACGTCGCGACAGCCACTCAGCTGCCATGAGCTCTTGTTCTTCCTTATCGAAATCCTTTCGTTCTTTAGCAATGGCTTTTTCGACAGGTGTAACCTTGGAAGCATAGTCTCGTCTCAATTTAACCAGTTTCCCAATCTTCTCATAATCCTTCTCCATGAATTTTGCAAGGGCACGGATACGTGGTGCAGAGCTTCCAGGGAGAAGACGAAGAAGAGAAGCGAAAATTCCCAACAGATGCTCAATTGTTTGAGTTTCTTGCTGCTGGGAGTTAGCGCTTGGATTCTTTAGTATGGATTCTGATTGTACCTTTTTCATAAACATTCCAAACACGGTTTTCAAGCCTGCTGCTTCAACCAATCGTTCACATGCAGGGGCACCTCCGATTCCCCCCAAAGCATGATCTAAGACTCTCAAAGCGCGCTGCTTGCTGAATTTTCCTTCCTTGAGCATGATCTGTGCAAGCTCGATTCCTTCACCTTCCAGGAATTTGTCCTTTCCAGCATCTTCATCGACGAGACAAACTAAACAATCAAACAAGTTCTCCACATACTCCTCTTCGTCCGAGTCTTTTTCAGGATCACGTTTTCGATATTGACTAAGGATCTGAAGCAGGGCATCCACGCCATCAAGGCCAATAAACTTCTCCCTGTTTTTAGAAGAAGACTGTAATAGAATTGCTAGTATTTCTGCTGAATACTGTTTATTTTGACCCACCCGGGCCTCTTTCTGCTGTATACGAGACAAGAGCCAAGGCAGAACTGAGGCGTCTTGCCCAATCTTCTCTGCAATAGCTGTTTGTGAGGCTAAGCTCTCAAATACACCTATTTGAAGGAATCATGTCAGTTCCATTGCGGTTCATGGAAGGTTACTGTGTACTCACTGAGTATATAATAAACGCCTGCCCTGTCAGCTTCAGACGCTTCATCCAGTCGAGACAGATTTTGTACCATTAGTTCAATGACATCGGCATCCAACTAGCATTGCCATTAGTACATAAAATAGCAACATTCCGATTGACATACCATTGTGTTCACCAATGTATCCCACTGTTCTTGCTCAGCCTCGACATCTTCATCTGTTAGTTCGGTGATGATTTGAATTGCATCAATAGCGATATCTGCATTTTCATGAGACAGCAGAGAGATCAAAGACCCTACACAGCCCATCTTTGCAAACTCGCCGTACAATTCCGGGTGTTCTGATAGGATTGATAACCCCTTGATTTCGGCGTCTAGATCAGCCTCAGAAGCCATGAATCTAGAATCGAGTTGGTCAGTACTGGTTCATAATAACGAAGTGCCGACGTGCCACTCACTTCTGTGGATCATTTTCGAATTTTCCTCGCAGTTCAGCATTCTTAGAGATCTTCTTCTCAAAGTTCAGCGCAAACCGTCGCACCCAAGTAGAATCGAATTTCTCGGGCTAGCCTAAAGTAAGCATCAATTTCAATTTAAGGGAGAAATGCCCAGAAACATACCGCAACATCACCTTCCTCCTGTTGATCGATATACTGCATTGCTTCTGCTGTCTTTTGCTCCATCCCTCCACCAAAAAAGCGTCCTTCCTCGTCGTCTGGTACGTCTTCGGAGTCGAAATCAGGAGGGAGTTCGGGACCAGCCATGCCATCATCTTCCTCCTCATCTTCCACCATAGGCGCCTTTCCTTTAGATTTCACATCACCGTTCGATTCCAGCTTGGCAGCTTTGTAGAGCTCATCTTTTCGGAGTCAGTAACCTCATAGGGAGGGCCGTAGGAGGGTCACAGAGCATACTCGGGTCTTGAACTGGTTCGAACTTGCGCTTACCACTTCCTGTGAGTAAGGGTTTCTTTGATAGTCAGTCCATGGTTCCTATATCCCATTGAGTCCCATACCTTGAAAAGGTCATTTGTGTCCGTCATGGCTGCGGCTTGCGCAATTCGCGAGTGTTCTGGATTCACTCAACCACCGACTCAGCCAATCGAATATCAAAAATCAGATAGGATATCTTCCTAGATAACCCCCTATCCAATACTCAATGAGTTTTCGCAAGTTTGCGATGTCAAGCAGCGTCTTGCTTCACTTTTGTCGCGCAGCTGCTCCGGAGAAGATACGGGCGTCGGGGAAAGCTTAAACCGCAATCGCCGGCGCCAAGCAACAGCACGCTTGAAAGATTTCTCGGACATCATCATCTCATTCCGCCGGACTTTCATCGTTATTACAAACACCTTTGATCTACTACATTCCAGGCACGCCATACTAAAGCTTTCTTTTTAGCCTTCTATCACATCTCCGATATCCTTTAATCATGCCTCCCAAGCAGCACGTCGTTGTTTCCGGCCGCCCCCAGAAGAGCTTTTGGAGCGTCGCATACGACGAGTACAAGAACCCCGAGAACGCCACCATTGTCAGAAGTATGGTGGTCTTTGCCGTAAGATATTCTTGCTCTCTTGATTATATTGTTGAATGTTCTAACGAATTGATTTTAGGCCGGTGTCGCTGTCCTCCACAGCAGCCTCGGTGAAATCCTCCTTCCTCCGTAAGTCGAGCACTACGCTTCCCTCATTACATTTCATCTAGCCATCGCCTATAACTGTCGGCCTATTATGCAACTTCGTACTGACTTGGATCAGTATGTAAATGACTATCCGTTAAACCCGTGGTCGGACTCGATATGACCTGAAATCCTTGACACTACTTGGCGGATATCCAAATCGTTGTCGATGAAGAGGCACACGGATACGACCTTCGATATAACCTTTACTCGATTTTGAATTAATGGATACATGTATTATATTTTGTTTGAATGGGCATGTGCGTCTTGGGCGGTCTTGTTGGACGATCATGGTCTAAGTTTATGAAAATCAAATTTCATATGGCGTTTCAATCGGCATTTGTTCGATAGACTAAAGAGTTTTATTTGGAACTTGAATTCTCAGATTAATGATCTTTGGCTTGGGATGTCTGGTTGGATGTCTTCCAAAAGAGCCTGCCTTCTCCTTGAGGCAGCATACTTGACTGGTTTGGCCCTGGCATGCGTTATAAGCCAATGGCTTCTTGATGAGTCCTTAGGGTGATATTCAACAAGAGTGATGGCTAGAGCAACCTATGATTGACTGCTGGGACCGTCAACGTTGAAGCCGATACTGCGAGCCAGCAAATGCCCGTAAGTCGGTAGACATTACAGGGGTAGGTTATGCCAAAAGGGCAATAAAAATAGCCTGTCATATCGAACCAGCCAGGAAATAAAGCCAAAATAAGTTGAATCCAAGGATCTGGGAATATAAAAAGTAGACGGTCAGATGTGCAGGTCATCTGGCGATAATGGCACGAATAACACGTCACCGTCATCGCCACCACTTCCACTCAACACGAAAAGGATTCAACCTCCAGAGTCCAAGCATTTCCCCAGACTCCATCTACCACTCCTCCATCCCGTCCGCAAACCCTGTTCTTTTTGTAGCCACCTCTGCCCGCGGGGAAGCCCGCAAAACCCCCCACACACGTCCCGAACACCGCCTTCTTTAGTGCCGGGGCAAGCGTTATCAAATCATCGAGAACATCTGTATAAGTGTTATGAACCTGGGGTCATCCACCTTTGATGCGTATCCACAATTTGTCCCAGCTGCAATAGCGGCTCATTGAATCGTCTTTGCTGTCTTTACAAGATGATGGCTAGCAAACGCAAGCTGCAGGATTCGGAGGATGATTCTCTACACAAAAGATCCCACAGCTTGGGGTACGACGCCCAGGCACCTTGGCTGCAGGACTGCCGGACATCCCGGGGCTGGCGGACATTGGGGAATCCAGCAGTGCAGCCTTCGATGCCACTGTCGAATCTTGTATCCGCTGTACAAGACCTGATTGATCCCGATTTCGATCCTCTTATCGCCATTTTGGATGACGAACCGCGCTTCCTAAAGCCCCTTCCGTCTCGGATAGCACCAGAAGATCTCGAGTTCCTACGGTTCCGAGGAGCCCTGTCGCTTCCAGAAAGTGGGCTGCGAAATGAATTGTTGCGATGCTATATTCAATGGGTGCATAGCTTTATGCCGGTGCTGAACCTGCAGGATTTCCTACGGTGCATTGCGGAGAATGACCCCGAGGGCAATGTCAGTATCTTGCTCTTCCAGGCTGTCATGTTTGTGGCAACGGCCTTTGTTGATCTCAAGCACCTTCAAGATGCCGGCTATCCAACGAGGAAAAGCGCGCGGAGTGCATTCTATACGCGGTTAAGAGTACGTATATATTCCAAAGTCGTATGATCGTAGCTAACCTCATCATTAGCTTCTCTATTCGCTTGATTGCGAGGAAGATCGAATCGTGATCCTACAAACCCTTCTTCTGATGACATACTGGTCAGACCACATGAACAATCCGCAAAGAGATATCTGGGATTGGATTGGAGTGTGCAACACACAGGCCCATTCAATTGGGTTGAACAGAGACCCTACCACGTCCGATTTGGATCCCAGGATTAAGCGTTTAAGGATACGTCTATGGTGGAGTCTCTATTCTCGGGACCGCTTGATAGCCATGGGGTTGAGACGTCCCACCCAGATCAACGAGGGAACAAGCAGCGTCCCAATGCTGAAGATCGATGACTTTGATCTCGAACCCTTCCATCCATCAGTGATTAGCTTATTTCGCTGCCGTCAGCTGGAGGATATTTCCCATCAGAAACGATTAGCGACTATGTTCATCGAAAAGGCTAAACTTTGCCAATGTATTGGTCGAGTTCTTTTCGCACAATATACCCCCTCTCAATGCCAATTCGGCACAACCACCCGAACGACCATCACTCTGGTTCCGAGGCAGGCTTCTGAATCAGAGCTAGCTCGGTGTAGTCAGAAGCTGGACTCTTGGCTCGGTGGGCTTCCCAGGGATGCACAGTTCATTCCTGCATCGCGAAACAACTTCAAAGATGGAGAGGATGTCCTGCTTCTACACGGAGCTATGTTGAGAATGCTATACCATGCTACCATCAGCGCACTGCATCGTCCATGGGCACTTGGTTTCAACAAAGATCAATCAAAGCCACGATTGGAGTGGGCAAATACTGCACGGGCGAAGATGCATGATGCTGCTACAGGAATCACACATATCATCCAAGGATTGAACCAGCTAAATCTTACCAGATTTCTACCCCAATCTGGCGTCACTGTCATATTACCCGCCGCCGTGGCACATTTGGCAAACACCAATTCGGACAATCCTGCTGTCCGCGAGACAAGCATTCATAACTTCCATAGGTGCATCCAAGTTCTTCACGGACTGACGGATATATACCCTGCCGCAGACATGGAGGTGGCCAATATCGAGGCTGCTGTCAAGGTTCAATCAGACAGCGTCGGCACCTTTCTCAAAATCATGCAATATAATCCCATTGCCATGAACCAGGATGTCCCAACTTCCAATTCATCACCACGAAAACAAAGCGAGTCAAGCTCGCACACCATTCAACCATTAAAAGACACATCAGATCAACGACGACAATCGAATAAACCCGAAGATATCAGCATTCACCCCCAAAACCGAACAGGATCCATATCCTACCAAACCCCTATTGAATCCCATCCCCGCCAACAGAGCGCAGCAACACACGACGGATCACAAAAAATAGAACGCGAACGAAGACCTTCTAATAACGATTTTGACGACCAATTCAACCTCCAATCACCACCCGCAACTAACGGAAGTCCTTTCCTCGCCTCGGATCTCGTTAACCTTGACGTCGACCCCTTTCCCGACTTCTCCCCTCCCGAGCCACATGTTGCCTCCGGATGTCCCGAGTTAGATATAGACTGGACAGATGAGCTTCTTCGAGGTACGGAGTTGAATTCTGACTACCAGCATGATTCGGGAGTTGCGGAGCACAGGGATATATTTTCGTTTCCGTCAAGACAGGAAGGTGACCCAATAGGTCGGGTTAATGGGGATATTACAGGCGACTTGGATAGGGATTTGGGATTGCATGATAGCGATGATATTTTTTGATTTATGGGTCATTATATATTATTTGCTTCTTAAAAAATGAACATAATATTAAATTAGCTTATGGCTAAGTGTATGACGTTGACTCCATAATCGAAGGTACTAATATGAGCAGCGTAATTGAAACGACCATCTAATCGTATCTCTAGTCTATTCAAAAGAGGGTATCGTAGTAGGCATAATGTATATCAACAACAAGGTGTTACAGATACTCCATCAATGCGCATCCAAGGCCAGGTCTTGCGCCCTCATTTAGTCCTTCTTAGCCCATCGGTTGCTTTCGTCGCCTTCTTCCCATTGCTGCTCGATGTATCCTAGCTGCTTCTTGACGTGCTGGACGGTCTCCTTGTCTCCCGTGTTTTTGCCCATGTTATCACTGAGCTTAACAGCGGGGTTTCCGTTGGCCGTAGAGATCTTGATGACAATGTTAAGCGGCTTAGACTTTTCGCCGGTGGATTTGTGTACGAAATCATCTGGTAAAGCGTTAATCCAAGAACGGAGTAGAAGGGGGGAATTGGCTCTTACTGGTGAAGAAGGTGCCGACACCAAATACAGGCTTGAACCCAGCCTCTTCTGCGAGAACCTTGTACTCAAGGCAGTGCTGAATGTTTAACGAGTCCGAAAAGACAATGGTCTTCTGATCCGTAATTCCCTCTCTATCGTAGAAATCGCGCACCATTTTCACAAAGTACGTCGGATCACCAGAATCCTGGCGGATACCGCTATAGACCTGTGCGTAAGTCTTGGATTCATGCTGAGTGCTACCCTCATCAAGAGGAGCGGAGATCGGAGGCTTTGTTTCCGCTTCGCTTTCAGGAATTGTCTGGCTTGTTGTGGACGGTCCGGAGGGTGTGGTGCTGACTGCTCCTACTCCTGCAGTGGTGTGCTTGGGTATTTGTTTGCGAAAAGCATCTAGGAAAGCTGGTGTACCAAAAGTGTCGGTCAATGCGATTCCAAGGACCTATATTCGAGTCAGTTTCCGTCCTTCATAGGCCATTGCTGCTTGGGACATACTCCTTCACCGAAGCAACCCATCCAATAACGTAGAGCCAGTTCGTTTGCGTTCTCGTAATCGCCAGTGATGGCAGCAATTGTCATGTACCACTCGTGGGCGACAGTTCCAACCGGGTCTACCCCATATTTCATTGCAAAGTGAACATTGCTAGTACCGGTGAAGACACCTTTTAGTCCATCCTTTTTACCTGCCTCTGCTGCTCTCATAAGGCCTGTCATAACTAAGTCATGAGTGTGGTAGTCTCGGCGACGTCTTGAGCCAAACTCGGAAAAGATGCAGCCATTCTCAAGCAGCGCGTAACCTTTTCGGAATGCCTTATCCTCTTGACTAGTGTAATCCCAATCCGTGTCACTGAACATGAAGTACGCTTGGCTAGTCAAGGCCAAAAGAGGAATCTCATAGATGATAGTTTCAACCCAGAGACCCTTGATGACGTACTCAACATCACCCTCGTCGTCGTCACTGCCAGTATCCTGCACCGGTGTAAATTTAATATCAATCTGTTCGGAAGGCCTGGGCTTCAAGGTTGTCAAGAATTCAAAGTACGCTTCGTTAAAGTATGGGCATCGCTGCTTGAGAAAGTCGATCTCTTCGGGAGTCACTCGGATATTCGAAAGTCCTGATTGTACGAATATTATGAGTAACCATTTCTTCAAAAGGCTTATCCAGTATAACATACTATCCATCTGTCTCAAAAGCCACTTGTATGCTTCTCTTCGCAGTTTCATTTCTTTCGTGCGATTCGTGAAGCCGTAAGTCACATCTATAAGAATAGCATGTTAGATACAAAGTTATCATTCAATAAATTCTTGACTCACAAACATCGGGAAAGTACTTGAGGATTGCACATTGCATCGTCAATTTGTATAAATCGGTATCCAGAAGGGAGAAGATACCCTCCGGGAGGGGAGGTGACACTTCCTGGCCCATTCTGCAGGTATTCTGGTGCAGATCCTTTCAAAGAACTATCAATTGCGAACTGAATATGTATAGCGCAGAGTTTTGAGAAAGTCCAGAACGATAGTGACACCAAGGTTGCAAGTTCAGCTGAAGAAAACTCCGTCGCCGAGCGCAGTCACCTAATAGCGCGGGGAACCTCTTCAACCGATGGAGGGGAAGCAGACAAAGCGATCTGGTTTGCACTGTTTGCACCAGTCATGCGATATGGAGTTCGTCATTCTTGAGCTTTGCGCAACGTCATCAAACATATTGAAGAATAGACTTAGTGTACATTGATCTCTATGAGTAATTGAATAGTATATTTGCTTATGATTTCGAGAGAGATCGACAAAGGGTCTGAATTATTGTGCAGCAGGATAGTTAGATGATCAAAACAAAAAGTTCGAAGATCTTTCTAGATCAAATCTGGATATCCGCCCCACTTGGAGTTTATGCGAGCAATGTGAATAGAGTATATACATTGGAAAACACCTGTGTTACAATTCTTCTATTCCTATTACTTCGATGAATTTTTCAATGAAGAAATATCAAACACTTGGTTGCTGTCTGACTCCCGAATTCGGCTGCTCCTGTGGCTGTGCGTGTGGCACGGAATATGTGGGGTCTGTGGCTGATAGGCACGTGATTTTAGATATTGTCGCTCCGCATCGTGTCGCTTCCTCCATTTATTATCACCATCACCATTGTCGCCCATCGCAATTTCCAGCTTATTCTATCGAAAATATCCTGAAATATCGCTCTAACCTACACTGGGCACGTTTCCGACCGGGAAAAAAAAAAAAAAAAAAAAAAAGACAACTGCCTCCGCGGCCACAGCGACCAACTCGCGACCCCTTCGTTATTGGTGGTGTATAATCGACTGTTGCACGACTGAAAGTTACAACAAATTTTCGAGACGATAGCGAGGGACATGGCTCACGGTGCTGAGGACTGCGCATCTGTGTTGGAGCAGTTTGTTCACGATGTGGCAAATCTTCCAGCAGAGATCAATCACCTGATGGAAGAGATTCAGGCCAAGGATAAAACCATCCAGGACTGTCGCACAACCATCAACTCCCGGGATAGCAGTTTACAAAAGTTCATCAAGCTTAACGGTAGCTTGGCGCCGAATCCAAAAGAGGAACAATACGGAAAGGCAATTTTACAAAATCTAGATAAGAGTCAGCAACTGCAGGATGAGAAGATTCAACTGAGTGATAAGGCCTGTGTTTTACTTGATCGACAAATCAAGAAGTTAGATATCAAAATCCGCGATTTGCAAAACGACGGTGTTCTTTCTAATGACCCTCCTCTTCCCTCTCTATTCAACAACAAAGACCAATATCGAGATCCTCCGAAAATATTCTTTCCTGATTCCGCCCCGTCCGATTCCACATCCTATTCTCCTCTAAACCCTACATCTGGAAATGCAAATCTTATACTTGGAGCCACACAAAGACTCAATCAGTCTATCCCTCGCTCGGGAAGTGTAGCTGCTTTGGCTTCGCAGAGTGGCGCACGCAGCTCCGCCCCGGCAACTCCTGCCTCCGCCACTGCGCACTTCCAGCAGCGACAACGTGAATCATCAGCCGGTGCGGTTGAAAGCAAGCGTCGGCGTCTCAATGCATCCCTGGGGACTCTTCCAGCAGCATCGTCAAATCTCAGGCAGTCATCATTGGGCCCTGGCACACCCAAAGCCGGCACGCCAGGCTCCAGTCGCGCAGGCAGCGCTGGACCACGCACCGCGGCCATAACCAAAAAGGCTATTACTAAGAAGGTTGCACCTCACCAGCAGATCAAGAAGATCAAGGCATCGGCAAGCAATGGTAAAATATCTAAGCGATCATCCAGCTCAAGCGGTCGCATCAAACTCGGCTCTATGTCGAAAAAGTCCCCGTCAGCTGGTGGGGATGAAGATGAAGATGATTCCATGCTCAGCAGTGCTGACATGTCTGATTCAGAAAATGCAAGTGAACGGCGTGGAGATGATGACATGGACGATGATGACGAGGATGAAGGCAACGAAGATACTAAAGTATATTGTACTTGTCGCAGCGTTAGCCATGGGGACATGGTTGCATGCGACAACGATAATTGCCCCTATGAATGGTTTCATTGGAAGTGTGTAGGCTTAACAAGAGAACCAGTGGGAACATGGTATTGCGATGAATGCCGGAGAACATTGGGGAAGTAGTTATCGATATATTTACCGCTATAGCATAATAGTTCATTGTGCGCGATCGTTGTTCTGTACATATACCCAATTTGTTTTAATCAAGCTTCTCGTTTTGGCCGGTTTGAATACTACGGCAACTGACCTTATACTGTCGTTTCTCTTATATAGCTTAGGTAGGCAACTGTGTACACTTTCCCGCTGCTAATATTATTCCATGTTGCATCGAGCATATATTACAACAAAGCAAATAGATAAACCCTAAGAGTTGGTGAATCTCCTTGAAATGTTTTATATATTTGCCCCTAATTTCTTCCATATCCCTTTTTAAGACTTCGTTAATCGAACATTTTTTAAAACAAAAGACCTCGACGATAGTCAATGCCAATATAAAACGCCATCGCTATGCAAAGAGAGATGATTCGGCGCGAAGGTGGTTAGAATCTCAGTTGCGCCCACACGCGCAGGAATCGAACGAGCATCTAGCTTGATTTACAATGCGCTGGATTAGAATCCAAGGGCCTTCTCCAACCAAGGATCGAAATACTCGCAGCTTTCAGGGCTAACAGCGCCGCCAGGAGCGCAGAGCTTGAAAACGGGGCACTGGCCACAGGGAGCCTCGGTCATGCCATTCTTGACCAGTTTCCTCGCTTCTTCTGCATCGTCGGCACCCTCTGGCTTTCGGGCCTGTCGTGCTTTGACGGCTTCGGGGTTTTTGACGGATTTGTAGAATTCTCCGTTATTCAATGCGATCAACTTGTTATCGTAACAAAGCATCTCGAGGAGCTGTATGATACTCTCTTCGCCCAGTCTGACGGGCGTAATACCACTCTCGTTGACAGCGGCCGTGATCATCGCGACGGTGGGATATCCTTGGTAACCAGAAGGGAACGGCAGGTATTCCTTTTCAGCTGGCTGCTCCTGTTTCACTGACATGCTTCCGCTGGTGGTTTTCATGCGCTTGGTTCGATGTCCGTCTGCGGATGGGACTTCGTACCAACTCTTTCGGCTCACGGTGTATTCGATATAACCAGCGACAGTGTTGATGAAGTTTGCGTCGAGAACTCCATCTGTGAACCAAGCTCCACCTGTAACATCCTCGCTTGGGGCCAGGCCAGCCAGCATGTACATTTTCCGACTTGGAAACTTGACATTGTGAACGCTTTTAATGTAATTCTTGCCTTCTAGCGACTTGAGACAGCGATCAAGAATTGATTTGTGTAAATTCGTGCGAGTGAGAATTGCCCGGACCCAAATTCCGGAGCGACCAGTTGAATGAATGACGTTGTACACCAAGCTCTCATCGGCACTGAGGTTCTGGAATCTATTGAAAGAGGTATACGTGAGCATGCGAAATGATCCCCAAAGCAACAGAGAATCTAAAGCCACTCACTTCTCAGCATCTTCGCGAGATATAAGCTTCCATGCAAGTCGGTCATTTTTGCCTTGAAGAAGACGGAACAATTTCTGATCAACGAGCGATTGGGTGCATTGCAACAGAAGCGCAAGATCATTCTTGGGAACAATACCCAGGCCCAACAGATCTTGCTGGTAGAAAAGATGATCGGGAGAGAAATTGCCTAGACATGCTTCGTAGATTTTGGAGGCGAGCCCAGCAACTGAGGGCCCCGCGGAGGCCATATTCGAGACGATGAGATCAAGTCGTCAGAGGAAAGCAGTCACCGAAAAGGCTTATGAAATATCATATTCAAGGTCCATGCCAATCCAATCCAAGTCTGCGACGATGCGGCAGGAAATGTTCCTGGAAGTCTGAATGGAACAGGAAACAGAAAGAAAAATTCCTCTGACTGTTAAAGGCGGAGATGTTTTTCGGCGGTCGATTACTCTGCGGGCAGAGGGGGAATCTGGCCCAGAAGGGTTTAGCGCGAGAAAGCTCGAATTTCTGCCTGAGGATAGGGCAATTTATGCCTCAGGCATTCAATTTTCTCCCGGAAATTTCGAGAAGCTCCAGCCGGAAGAGCTCATAATCGCGGGCGCAGCTCTCATTCCCGTCATCGTTTTCTCCAACTGCCGTTGACTTCAACGAGACCCTTTTGATTCTCACAGATAAAAGTTGTTGGAAAGTTTTGCAGCATGGCTGACGCTTTGAAGGCAGAGGGCAACAAGGCCTTTTCTGCCAAAGATTACCCTACTGCTATGTATGCTTAGTACCCCGCCTTTTGCCGGCGATAGGAAATTGTCTACGAAGAGTTGTCTACTAACACGTTCGCAGTGAGAAGTTCTCCCAGGCTATTGGACTCGATTCCAGCAACCACATCCTCTACTCCAACCGTTCGGCCGTCTACGCTGCCCAGGGCAATTACCAGGGAGCTCTCGACGATGCTAACAAGGCCACCGAGATCAAGCCGGATTGGTCTAAGGGCTGGGGCCGTAAGGGAGCCGCTTACCGTGGTCTAGGAGACCTTTGTGAGTGATAGGATGGTTGACCATTGATACGACAATCGGTTACTGACTGAAGACCAGTGGCTGCACACGATGCCTACGAAGAGGCCCTCAAGCTGGATGCCGGTAACGAGCAGGCCAAGACTGGTCTGAGCAATGTGAAGAGAGCTATTAACGCTGAAGCCCAGGCTGATGGCGTTACTGGTGACCCTACAGGAGGTCTCGGTGGAATTTTCAATGACCCCCAGCTTTACCAGAAGTTGGCCAACAACCCCAAGACCTCGCCGCTCCTCGCAGACCACGAGTTCATGGAAAAGCTCAAGCGTATTCAACAGAACCCCAACAGCGTTGGAGAGGAGATCAAGGACCCCCGTTTCCTGCAGGTTATGAGTGTGCTTCTGGGAATTGATATGAACTTCGGCGCCCCCGAGGGCTCCGCCGATGAGCCTATGCCCGACGCACGCCCTCCCCCTCAACCCAAGAAGGCGCCTGAGCCCCAGCCCCAGCCCGAGCCCGAGCCTGAAGATGAGGAGACGATTGCCAAGAAGAAGGCCCAAGAAGCTGGTGATGCGGAGAAGAAGGTTGGCAATGAGTTCTACAAGAAGAAGCAATTCGATGAAGCCGTTGAACACTACGAGAAGGCGTGGGAGTTGAACAAGGACGTCACCTACTTGAACAACATTGGTGCCGCCAAGTTTGAGAAGGGTGACCTGCAGGGCGCCATTGAGGTCTGCCAGAAGGCCGTTGAGGAGGGCCGTGAGGTCAGGGCAGACTTTAAGATCATTGCCAAGTAAGGCTATCAACCCTGCATGGCTTTATTAGTGTCGCTAACAATTTCGATAAAGGGCCTTTGCAAGAATTGGTACCGCACACGAGAAGATGGGTGATCTCAAGCAGGCCATCGAGTTTTACCACAAATCGCTCACTGAGCACCGAACCCCTGATGCTCTCACTAAGCTCCGAAATGCGGAGAAGACTCTGGCCAAGGCCGAGAAGGAATCCTACATCAACCCTGAAGAGGCAGAGAAGGCTCGCGAGCTTGGTCAGAAGAAGTTCCAGGAGGGCGACTGGCCTGGTGCTGTCGAAGCATTTACTGAGATGACCAAGCGGGCTCCTCAAGATCCCCGAGGATTCTCTAACCGTGCCGCTGCTCTTGTCAAGCTCCTGGCATTCCCCGGTGCTGTCCAGGATTGCGACGAGGCAATTAGCCGCGACCCCAAGTTCATCCGCGCTTACATGCGTAAGTCGCAGACTTTGGTGGCGATGAAGGAGTACAACCGAGCTCTGGATGTTTGCACAGAGGCCGCTGAGCATGATGACGGCAAGCATGCACGTGAGATTGAGCAGCAACAGCAGAAGTGCTTGGAAGCACAGTTCAGTGCTCGTGCTGGCGAGACTGAGCAGCAGACTGCGGAGAGAATCCAAAACGACCCTGAGGTAAGGAGATACCGCCCTACTTTATAGACTAGGACAGCACTGACATCACATCCACAGATCATGTCCATCCTGCAGGATCCTGTCATGCAGACCATTCTCCAGCAGGCCAAGAGCGACCCTGGCGCCCTGCAAGAGCACATGCAAAACGTCCAGGTCCGGACGAAGATCCAGAAGCTGATGGCTGCTGGTGTCATTCGCATGGGACGGTAAATGTAGATGATTCGAGTCCCGTCGAAAGAGGATATGAATGCGACGAATTTGAAGATGATACTAATCAAGTTTCACAAAAATGGCTATTAAAGGTGGTTCAACGGATGTTGGGTGCCTTTTATGGGAGTGACGATGCATGTTCTTTGTGTTTCACTAGCTATTTACGATGATTTCCCAATACGATTGTTTTCTCTAGTTCAACTAGCTGCAACAAGTAGGTACTACCCAACAACCTGGACGGTATTTGAATAGTACATTTGTCAATCAAGATACCCTGAGAGTTGTCCGAGAGCACGTGAAGCAGGGCACGTGAATAGAGTACATGCGCATGCATAAAAAGCAGAATGTCACATTCCTAGCAGGGATGATCCCAGAGGACGATGGTCTAGATGAGAAGATCTAGCAGTCCATTCCTGGAAGGGCAGGAGTCGTAGAATGAAAACTATCGTCAAGGCCTTGTCTTACTCTACGAGCAGAGATTTCTGACATCTTTCTGAGCAATCAGTCGGGTTTATCGCTCAGCTCCGAGTTTTCGCCCTAACATCGGCATTAATTAGGAGCATTACGAGTACCTCAGCCATCGACCCCCACAAAGAGCAAGAAGTCTTTGTTAGTGTGGCGAATCCATGATTCTTTCTTTCTTTTTATTCTTTTTCTTTTTCCCTTGTGCGACTGCGTTTGACCCGCAGATCTTGAGGCTAAAGTGATCAATAAGGCGTAGTGCAGGATTGACCCATTTGCTGATCTCATTGGCGAGCGACGATCGGAAAAATCACCAGATATTCATATGCTATGATTGTAGGATCCTTCAATGACTCGGTCACTCGAGAGTTGATATCTAACTATGTGAAATTCAAATAGCCCATCTCAAAATATAGCCCACGAGGACCCAATAATGGAAACATAAAGACGATGCCAATAAGTCACGGTGGCTGGGATACCAATCCCTCCGGCGATCTACGCGCAAACTACCTCTACTAGCCTGTGATGCAATAAGGTTGAGAAAAGCTGCGATAGTCCGACCAAAACTCTCTTCCTGGCAGTTCCTTTCCCGTTTCTTCTTGTGGCTGGAAAACTCTTCGCTTGATCGCATCCATCCGCAATCGGCAATCCATGGCTGTGTTAATTTCATCTCCACTCAGAACCACGGTATGACGGTGTGAATCGATCTACAGTAGCCCGAGGCTGGGAGTGGGATTGCGGTTTAGTTACTGTAATTAGTGCATCAATTGACACTCTAGTAGTCTAGTTATCTATCTTAGATGAAAGACGTGGCTTGTGTAACCATTGTGATATCGAAACTCAATTGTGCTGGTGATTCCCGACATCACGGGCTCGGGTGGTGATCGGCCGTGGCCATTGCTATCATCGCGTAAGTGATCAAGAGATACCGTTGTCTATCTTTAAACAATGGGATATTCGCGGTATCGAGTTCACTGGTAAATAAAATATATGCTCATGTGGGTGGATATTTATAGACCTACGGCGACTGTAACCCAAGCTTTGTAAATATGCAGCATCAGTCATTGCTACACCACATATTGTGTACAACGCAGCAACGAAGAGAATTAACTTTTGTCGCGAAATTTAGAGAAATGCGCTATGACCTTTGCTGTCTGTCTCTGACTATCGTATCACTGCCGAGCAGTCACACCGAGTCAAGGACTTGATGGCTCGAAGAGACATGGTTATATATACCTTGGCTGCTCTACCAGTATCTATGACTGCCTTGCAGCTCTGTTCTATTCTTCACCCAGATAATCCAATATGAATATGTTTCTATAACCGTTTGATATGACTTCATACAGAGTCCGCAAAGACCCATTATAATATTCCCGATCTTAAAAGTTAAAGCAGTCGATACTTTGATAGATCAAATGTGGGCAAGTCAATTGCACTTCTCCAGCTGTCGAATATATGTCGTCATGCCACACACTACCCATCAGTCGATCCCCAGATCCCCACCAAGTCAGCGAGTTACAAATGTCTGGATTGGATAGGATAAATTATTGCTAGAGAACGAACAAGGAAAATAAACAAAAAGGTGATGAATACATGATGGAATGCCGAGAGATCAGCGAGGACAAATCACCCGGTGGTCTGCATGCCACGTGTAAATGTTTCGGCTGCATAGACAAGGGTACCTCTGCTCGTCCGACTGACTAGAAATGGAGTGCAGACTGGAATTGAGATGCCTAGATATCCTGAGACTCGGACAGATGATCGCTTTCAGAACTACAGGATGCCGTCCCATGGAAATGAAGCGACGAAGCACAAGAAAGCAATATTCAGGGACTCTGCTTGGCGGCGTTAAGGAGTACATATTACCTGTCATATTGATTATTTTTAATTGCTTTTGCTTTTTATATGATGACCCCTTAACATAGGGGATTGAATATAATAATAATACTTATTATTATTACTGTCATGAATGAGAATAAAATAGTGAATCTGATAGTATTATTCTCCCAGGGGAAAACAGAACCCCCTGTAATTAACGTAAAGTTACCGTAATTTCGGGTAAGATGTGGCTCAGTAAACTAGCCTAGCTGGGCCTGTGGCGGTGCCTCTGCCAATAGATCGGGCGCCGGTGTCCACTAAGCCATTAGCCACCGACTAACCCAATGCGCCGATCCGATTTGCAGTGGCATTTGGGGAGCTGAAAGGAGCAGCAGTAAGTAATGTGGTCTGGACAGTTCTCATGGTTCAGCAGCCAAGGGATTGGGATAGTTATAATAATAATATAGCATCCACGGAGTACTCTGTATAGACAAGATACTGAATCTCAACCACCTAACGTGGCCTCTCGGATTTTCGGTTCCCAGATCTACAGAGTACGTCACAGCTGAACCTGTTCCCCCCGATCCCACCACTAAGGGAACCGACCAAACTAAACCACGACGGAGTCCCCGTATGAACCTAGCAACTGCTGGTCATTTTTCTTTATCCTCTCCTTCATCCTCGATTATTCACCCCCCCCCTCTCTTGTCTTTCTTCTGCTTCAATTACTCCTTCACCAGGGACCAGACCACGGAATTCTCCTGCAGTGGCTTCTAGCTTCAGCTCCAGCCACCCTCGTCCTCGACGCAGCGGCTTTGGCGCCTATACGATTCTGGAACTCGGCGGCCCTGCGACTTGTCACCACCATCAACCATCAGCCCACGATCTCTCCATTTCTCTCCCTCTCCAACCTTTCCGAAATCTCTCTTATTTGGTTTCGTTTCAAGGTAACAACCATTCACTCTTCTCCCTAGAATCAATTCCCTCTCTTGCCCTATCTGTCCTGATCCATCCCACCAATCGATCGCCCTTGGCTCCAATCAGATTCCTTGCTTGAGCTGCTGTGGGTAGTGTGCTTTAGCCCGCACCCCCGCTGCGGAGGCCGAACAAGAAGGCAGCCGTCTGCCTCTGGTTCCAAGCGCCCACGACGAATCTTCTTTCTTTCTTTTTCTCCAATTTTTCTCCTTCTCAATCCCCTACTCTTCCTGTCACTTTTTTTTTCTACTTCTTCATTTGTGAAATATTTTCTCTGTCGCAAAACGAATTGGGAATTGATCTGACGTGAATTTCTTAGAGCCACATTGGTGGGAGACTCGTAGTACTAGGTGACCTTTCACCCGGGGCTCGTTCCTTTATTTCGCACACCCAAAAGACGCGATGGCGGAAGACGCCCAAGGCGAATTGAAACAGCAGGGCGCGATTGAGACTGCCCACCAGGCAGCTCAAGACCCCCAGGTTGACGTCCAGCCCGAAGCGGTCGAGAAAGCCCTGCTTGACGAGACCAAGAAAGCGGGCGTGCCTGCGTTCCAATTCGACCCCAATGCGCCCCCAGAAGAAAAAGCTGCAGCTGCGCAATCAGTAGGTCGCTCTGCGCTCACATGGTGCCTATATTAGAAACCAAAAATACTAACCGAGGTTGTTTTCCCCCATAGCGTCTGCCAGCTGGTTTGCCTGACACGAAACCAAAAGGCACCGCTGTCATTACGGATGCTGTAAGTTTCCTCTAATTTATATGACTAGTTCTGGTGTAGCAAGTTCTAACTGGATCCCAGGATGATGGCCCCGACCAATACGACCTACCTCCCCCAAGATCGGCGACGGACCTTCTCAAGAACGGGGGTGCAGCGACTCCGGAAAAGCAAGAAGAGGGCAAAGAAGCAGATGATGCGCGATGGGCGCCCGACAGGACAGGCTGGGCTCCGCAATTCGAGCACCAGAGAACCAAAGAAGAAGACGAAGAAGGCACACTATTGGACCACCAAACTGTTTTAGAGGGCAAATTGGACGACAAGTTCTTCGGAGGTGAGTCGGCTCATACAAGCAATCGATTTTGCAATTTTCTGTGGGAGGCTGACTTGGATTTTCTCCTAGATTGGTATCACAATGCCGGTATCATCGTCTTTGCCTGTCTAGGGTCCTGGCTCATCGCTGTCTTGGGCGGAGGCCTTGCTTGGATCTTCATCGTCATGGCAGCTTGCAGCACGTACTATCGGACCTCGATTCGCCGCGTTCGTCGGAACTTCCGTGATGACATCCACCGTGAAATGGCCAAGCAACGCCTGGAGGATGATACCGAAAGTTTGGAATGGATTAACAGTTTCCTCGTCAAGTTTTGGCCCATCTATGCACCTGTTATGTGTGACACGATTATCAACTCCGTTGATCAGGTCCTGAGTACTTCCACTCCAGCGATGCTTGACAGCTTGCGATTGAAGACTTTCATCCTGGGATCTAAGCCGCCTCGATTGGAACATGTCAAGACTTACCCCAAGACCGAAGTAGACACCGTTATCATGGATTGGAAATTCAGCTTCACACCCAACGACAAAATGGATTTGACTGCGCGGCAACTGAAGAACAAGATCAACCCCAAGGTTGTCCTCGAAGTCAGATTGGGTAAGGGTGTTGTCAGTAAGGGTCTCGATGTGATTGTCGAGGACATGGCCTGCAGTGGTTTGATGAGAGTCAAGGTTAAGCTTCAAATTCCCTTCCCTCATATTGAGCGGGTCGATGTTTGTTTCCTGGGTCCTCCTGAAATTGACTACGTCTGCAAACCCCTCGGTGGTGACACTTTGGGTTTCGATATCAACTTCATTCCAGGTCTTGAGAGTTTCATCAAGGACCAGATTCACAACAACCTGAGTCCCATGATGTATGCCCCCAACGTTTTCCCGATTGAAATCGCTAAGATGTTGGCTGGAAACCCTGTGGACCAGGCTATCGGTGTTGTTGCCATTACGCTTCATGGTGCTCATCAGCTGAAGAATCCTGATGCATTTGCTGGAACCCCCGATCCGTATGCAGTCGTTTCCCTGAACCGCCGAGGCGAGCTGGGTCGTACCAAGACCGTTCATGACACCGACAGTCCGAGATGGGGCGAAACCATCTATGTGATCATTACTTCTTTCACTGATTCCCTCACAATTCAACCCTTTGACTGGAACGAATTCCGAAAGGACAAGGACCTCGGAACTGCCACTTTCCCCTTGGACAGGCTCGAAGAAGAGCCGGAGCATGAAGGTCTTTACCTTGAAGTCAAGGCCAGTGGTAGATCTCGTGGTGCTATCCATGCCGATGTCCGCTTCTTCCCCGTTCTTGGAGGTAGGGAGCTGGAGAATGGCGAGACCGAGCCTCCACCGGAGATGAACACCGGTATCGCCCGACTGACCGTCGAGCAGGCAAAGGACCTTGATGGAACTAAGAGTCTTGTTGGCCAACTTAACCCCTATGGTGTCCTCCTCTTGAATGGAAAAGAAATCCACATCACCAAGAAGCTGAAGCGCACGAACAACCCCATTTTCCAGGATGCTTCCAAGGAATTCTTGGTCACTGACCGGAAGACCGCTCGTCTTGGTCTTGTTATCAAGGATGACCGTGAACTCTTGACCGATCCCATCCTGGGTACCTACCAGATCAAGCTGAATGACATGCTGAAGTTAATGGAGAAGGGTCAGGAATGGTTCCATCTCCATGGTGCCAAGACCGGACGGGCCAAATTGACTCTGCAATGGAAGCCAGTCGCTGTGGGAGGTATCTCCGGCACTGCTGGCTACGTGGACCCCATTGGTGTCATGCGTTTCCACTTCAAAAAGGCGACTGACCTCCGGAATCTCGAAAAGATGGGCAAGTCTGATCCGTACACCAGAGTTTTGCTTTCGGGTATCATGAAGGGCCGTACTGTCACTTTCAGGAACAACCTCAACCCTGACTGGGACGAGGTGGTGTATGTGCCCATCCACAGTGCTCGCGAGAAGCTCACCTTGGAAGTCATGGATGAGGAGTCCGTGGGCAGCGACCGATCCCTGGGCTCAGTCGATCTCTCTGCCGCCGACTACGTCCACGAAAACGAAGATGGAACATTTGAGGCCGACGACGAAAAGCAGCCCATCGCTAGTGGTCTTCGCCATGGTAAGGGACAAGTTAAGGGTACTCTTCATTACACAGCCGCGTTCTACCCAGCCCTCCCTACCGTCAACCCTGAAGAAGAAGCCGAAGAAGAAAGTGCCGAAGAAGAGTCGAATGGCCAGCCCGGTGACCTCACGAGAACGAGCACCGACATGTCAAGGAAGAGCGTCGACTCCAAGCGCAAGAGCTACCATGCTAAGAATCTCAGCACTGATACGAAGGCTTCTAAACCAGCAAATGGCGTCACTAACGGAGAGGAGTCTCAGACTAACGGCCGCTCCAGCATTGACACCACTACATCCCGGCCGGCTACTAACAAGGACTCCGAAACTCAGTCCGTCAGGTCAATCAAGACAATTCCCAAGACTTATATCGGCTTGGATGACCTTGCAAAATACGGTATGTCCCTTTGCAGATTTTCGACATTGATGAGAGCTAACCCTGTAAACAGAGTCTGGATTCCTTGCATTCCAGTTCCACGAGGTTCAGCTCGCTCGTGCGAATGTACAGCTCGAGGTTTTGATGGATGATTACATGTTCCCCGCCTACCACTCGCCCAAGATTCGCTCCAAGAACCAGAAGCTCGGAGATGGTATGTCTCTTTATCCAGAGGAAAAGAAAATAAGAAGCCTAACAGATGTGTAGTTGGCGAGGCTTTCGTCCGCGAGCTTGAGTTTTCGAAGATTACGCTGCGCCTTGTCGACAAGAACGACCACAAGGATGACAGTGATGAGCACACCATTGCGAAGTTGTCTGGTGACACATTGTCTACATTGCAACGCATTTTGGTAATTACCCTTAACAATAGACAGAGCGAACATCACTGACATCTTTCAGTACACCCCCACCGAGCTTGTGCTTCGATCCAGTGAAGGCGAAATGAGCAAGGTCACCGTCAGTGCCAGATACATCCCGGTCCACATGAAGCTCGACCCCACCGAAAGTATCAACAACATGGGTACTTTGTTGGTGCATGTTCTGGATGCTGCTGACCTTCCCTCTGCCGACCGCAATGGGTTCAGTGACCCGTACTGCAAGTTCCGACTGGAGGACAAGGAAGTTTTCAAAACCAAGGTTCAGAAGAAAACACTTCACCCAGCCTGGAATGAATACTTCGAGACCCCTGTCAAGTCTCGAATTGGCGCTGATTTCCGGGTGGATGTGTATGACTGGGACTTTGGCGAGAAGGCGGACTACTTGGGTGGTACTCCTGTTGACATTGAGTCGCTGGAGCCCTTCCAGAATCATGAAGTGTCTCTGCCTCTTGATGGAAAGTCAGGAGCTGTCCACTTGAAACTTCTCTTCAAGCCGACCTACGTCATTCGCTCCCGACAAGGATCATCCACCTTCTCCGGCACGTTTGCGACGCCCGGAAAGATTGTCGGCGCTCCCGTCAAGGGAGTTGGATTCGTTGGTGGCAACGTCATCAAGGGTGCATCTTTCTTGGGACGCGGTATTCGATCGCGGTTCACCAAGGGAGATGATGCATCAAGCACCTATGAAGCAGAGGAAGCCGATGAAGGTGAGGCTGCCGATACTTTTCCGCCGCCTGCTTCAATCTTGGTTGATGGAGAGACACCTCCCAGCGCAACTCCCAACAAACAATTGGAGCACAGCCGTACCCGGAGTGTTGTCTCGCACTTTGGCGATAGACTTGGTATCGGGGGCTCCGGCAAGGGAGACTCCGGCACAGCAACGATTAGTATCGTTTCTGCCAACGGGTACCCTACTTCGACTCATTTGCGAGTGTTGATCAAAGCTGTTGGACCCAAGGGCGCCAAGGAAGTGCACAAGTCCAAGGCCATCAAGAACAACAGTGGTTCTGTGCAGTGGGATGCGTCTCACGAGACCTGTCGCGTGCACAACACAACCGCCGATGCTCAGTACCAGATCCAAGTGGTGAACCACGCCATCTTTGGCTCCGACGACGTTCTCGGAGAGACTTTGTTCTTTGTGGACGACCAAGGGTCTGTGTCTGGACAGGATAAGCCGGTCCAGATTGGGCCTGGTACAGTGAACATCCGCAGCAGCTTCTCATCGCCAGAGACAGGGTCTCTTCGGCCTGTGACCTCGCACTCGAACGCTGGAGATGCAAACTCGGAGGTGCTCGACAGCCCCGACTCCAAGAGGGGACGACGAAGCTTCCTGGGCAAGCGAAATGTCAGTGGAGCATAAATATGAATGATATACAGGTATAATTATAGTCATGATGGTGGGAGACTGGATTATGAAAACGAGTCGGGTTATGCCTTTTCTTTTTTCTCTCTTGTTTTGTTTGTTTGTGCTTTGATTTGTGATGTGAGATATCCTTGAATGGGGTTTATTGTCTGCTTAGCGTAGCGTCTCAATTGAAATGATGTTAATACTTGATTGATGTGTAATTATTACCTGGCGATGGAGATACTCGGACAGCCCTATTATTATTAATAACCGTGGACCGAACTAGAAAGGGTTATTGTTTTACGTCGGGTATAGCAAGCGGCTATTATTAGGCATGACATCTCATATTCAAGAAGAGACTATTTACTGAGGCGAACAGTATATATAGCAGAGGCGAGTGAGCAGTGTCTTACAATAGTCGTAACTAGTCTATTCGATGACCGAAGCAATTCTGGGACAGATCTGAAACATAATGAATCATGGCTGTTGGGCGTTAATTTAATCTGAATCTGGACCGTCCAGAATCCCATACCGGTCATCCTTAGTAGAAATCCTCCGTAGGAATCAGGCTAGTGTGTAGGCATTATTCCAAGATACCTACCTAACTAGTTGGATATGGTGTTGTGCATGTTTTAGCATGTCCAAGCACAGAGCACACCTTATCAAGGCAAATTGCTTGGACGCTTCTGGTTACTGGTGAAGGTGTTCGGGTGGTTACGGGTCAGGCAAGACCATGATGGAGAACCAGAACCAGATGGATTCAGGTTCCCGTATATTCCAAACAAAATTAGAATGTACAGTATCTAGCATAGCCAGCTGTCCAGGCATGCCAGGTTATCGGCAAATGAAAAAAATGAAAAAGATCGTCGAGACAATCAGGGATTGTTGCTAACTGTGTGTGCCCAATGGACCATGGGTTGCTGATGGAGTCCTCTACTGCTAACAGCTGATGGGCAAGGGCCATATAAAATTGCGGATCGGGACGATCAAGATTTATAATTTATAATGGATGCCAGGCGGAGGAATGTACTCCATGACGGTGTAGCTGTCACTGTGTCTGTAATATCTGGTTACTGGTTAGACGGGTGAGTTGAGAATCAGTCAGTGTGCTTAGCTTGTACAATATAGTTACTCTTGATCCAGCTATATTATGTCTTGTGCTACGGTGAGAGACACAGTCTAGAAGAAATTGACGGGGCAGCCAACGTGGGTCGATGGGGCACGTAATTACCAAAAAAGTCAAAGACGGGCAAGAGAGAAAAAAAAAAAAGGGGGTCCGTACGTTCAGTCGAAGACAGTCTGGAACTCGACAGTCGGACACGTTGGATTGCAGAGGAAATATACTATTAGCAAGAGAGGAATTTTTGGAAATCAGATTCTGAATGTCAGGTGGATTGGACTGGTGCATTAGTCCATCTGCAGGTTGGGAGAGGAGGGGATGGAGGGGTCCTCGTGGTGGTCTGATAGAGAGCACTGAACAGGGAAAAGAAGAATAGGAGAAGATGCTAAGAATAATAATATTACTCGTAGTAGAGATGGAGAGCTTTCCAATAGTTGTTGGATGGTTTATACTTAATATAAATCGTCGTTGTTTGTCTGGAATCTATCAAGAATGCTGTACCTGGTATTGTATGTAATACTCTCTACCACTCTACAGTCTACCTAATACCTACACTCTATAGTTAGTCTATCCAGAATTATTAATTATCTGGCTCTAGTTGAATCATATCATTATTATTAGATCTCACAATCACTAGTTTTATATCCTGTAGAACTCGTCGGTGTACTGTGCACCTACTATCAAGGTGCTACTGTAGACAGGGGAGCTCCGTATGTAACAAACGTCCCCCCACTCCTCCCTTTCCCTTCCATTATTTCCCCCCCTCAAAATAATCATAATAAAATAACAATCATCATCCATTCCTCTTCTTCTTTCCTCTCTTCTCCCTCTTCTCCTCTTCAGCTTCATCCTTCTCTTCCCCCAATCTGCCCTAGTCCAGCTTCAGGTACGTACCCCCTCCCCGCTCGTCCCTCCCTGTCGCACCAATGCAAATGACGGCAGCTTGTCGACATCCCTCCTTCCGAAGGGATCGACGCTGTCCGGCGTGGCGACTTGGACAGAACCCCTCCTGGTCCCTTTTCATCGCCTCATAAAACAAGCTTCGTGTCCTCTTTTTTCGTCCTGTCTTTCTCTTCCCCAGTCTCTTCTCGTCTTTACTCAATCTGCTGGTCCACTAACTTGGTCCTGGTGACAGTCAGCGGACTCTATCCTCGAATTACTTCCTCCCTTCTGTCCTCTCCCCTCCAGTTCAGGAGATATACCTATCACAATGGCCTCCGCTTTGCCTTCCCACCTCAAAGCTCCTGCCAGCGAGACCGCCAATGCTGGCTCGTTCGGTAAGCACCATGGCAAGTCTCAGTCTCACATGGTAAGTCCGCAATCACCCAGCGCGGTCCCCGTGCTCTCTCCTTCCCCCTCCCGTCGGTCGCAAATACTACAGCAAGTCAAATGGGATCATGGCGTGTCAGTTCCGCTGTTGCCTGGTTTGTCGCGGTGTTCAAGTCACTACAAGATGGTGCTTTCCATTTGGGTGGATTCAAGTCGCAATTGCCTCGTGATGCTGAAGCTGCACTCGCTGTTGTCTATTTATCCCCTTCCCCAATGCCTCGAGGGTGCTCCCACATCCATCGAACCCGCAGTCTTTGGAGTGAATATTTGTGCATGCTTTAGTTCATTCTACAATTTTCACTCTTTCTTTTTGCTCATTTTTACCATTTGCATCGATCGCACTTCCAATGATTTCTCCCAGCTTACTGACACGGTCCCGTTTTGTGAAACAACAGGCTTTCGAGAATGCCTCCACCAGCGTTGCTGCTTCTCAGATGCGCAATGCTCTGAACGCCCTCTCCGAGACTGTCCCTGACCCCAATGAGAAGAAGCGTTTCGAGGCTGAGATGGACAACTTCTTCGCCCTCTTCCGCAGATTCCTCAACGACAAGGCCAAGGGTAACGAGGTCAACTGGGAACGTATCGCTCCCCCTCAGCCCTCGCAGGTTGTTGACTACGGTGACCTGGGTGCTGAGGCTAATGTTGAGTTCCTCAACAAGCTGGCTGTTGTCAAGCTCAACGGTGGTCTCGGTACCTCCATGGGTTGCGTTGGCCCCAAGTCCGTCATTGAAGTCCGCGAGGGCATGTCTTTCCTGGATCTTTCGGTCCGTCAGATCGAGCACTTGAACCGCACATTCAACGTCAACGTGCCCTTCGTTCTCATGAACTCTTTCAACACCGACCAGGACACCCAGTCTATCATCAAGAAGTACCAGGGCCACAACGTCGATATCATCACCTTCAACCAGTCTCGTTATCCCCGTATCATCAAGGACTCTCTCCTCCCCGCCCCCAAGAGCTTCAACGCCCCCCTCCAGGACTGGTACCCCCCCGGTCACGGTGACGTTTTCGAGTCCCTGTACAACTCTGGCACCCTCGACAAGCTCCTCGAGCGCGGTGTCGAAATCCTCTTCTTGTCCAACGCCGACAACTTGGGTGCCGTCGTGGATCTCCGCATTCTGCAGCACATGGTCGACTCCAAGGCCGAGTACATCATGGAGTTGACTGACAAGACCAAGGCTGACGTCAAGGGTGGTACCATCATTGACTACGAGGGCAAGGCCCGTCTTTTGGAAATCGCCCAGGTTCCCAAGGAGCACGTCAACGAGTTCAAGTCTATCAAGAAGTTCAAGTACTTCAACACCAACAACATCTGGATGAACCTCCGCGCTATCAAGCGTGTTGTCGAGGATAACGAGTTGCAGATGGAGATCATCGCCAACGAGAAGTCGATCCCCGCCGACAAGAAGGGCGAGGCCGACCAGGCTATCTACCAGCTCGAGACCGCCGTTGGTGCTGCCATCCGTCACTTCACCAACGGCCACGGTGTCAACGTCCCCCGTCGTCGTTTCTTGCCTGTCAAGACTTGCTCCGATCTCTTGCTGGTCAAGTCAGATCTCTACCGTCTTGAGCACGGTCAGATGAAGATGGACCCCAACCGCTTTGGTGGTGTTCCTGTCATCAAGCTCGGATCTGACTTCAAGAAGGTATCCGACTTCCAGAAGCGTATCCCCAGCATCCCCCGCATTGTCGACCTCGACCACCTCACCATTACCGGTGCTGTCAACCTGGGCCGCAATGTTACCCTCAAGGGAACAGTTATCATTGTTGCTACTGAGGGCAGCACGATCGACGTTCCTCCGGGCTCTGTGCTCGAGAACTGCGTCGTCCAGGGAAGCTTGAGAATCTTGGAGCACTAGATGTGCGGTTTGTTTTGTGTTTCTCCACCTTATTTTCCTTAATCATTTGTAATGTCTGTTTGTTATTTGAGCTCCCTTTTCATCCCCCCCCCTGCGTCGATATCGACAGGGGGAGCGCTTGATGTATGGGTTAATAGAAATCTGTCAAAGCGGAGTCAGCTGCTATGGATTTGGTCTTCTTGAGATATCTGTGTTGAATGTCTGGGAGGCGCATTCACGGCAATGGGATTCCTTAGGGTGTGCTACAAAACATTATTCAGTAATTGAGCACCTTATTTTTTAATTCTCTTCACTTTAATCGAACCCTGGAGCGATGCCCAGGCGATAAATGCGGGCGGGAATGTCTACATTTCTGTCCCGGTTAGTGCTAGAAGTAGATCGTTTAATATCAAGTGCTTCATTCTATATTTTACCCTGTTTATTTGTTTATCATACACAATCGTCATTGTCCAGTACCTGGATCACGTGGAGCCGCTGTTTGGCTCCGGGGATAGCTTCCGTTCACACCTAGTGAAGTCTCGAAAATGTTCTCTGCCTGAATCCTGCTGCAAAGATGGCCTCAGATGTCGAGGCTGTCTGGGCTCCGAAGTCACTTACTTTGTTCTTCATTTGAATTGGAAAATAAGGCCACAGGGCATTGCCTCGTGCCTGTCTATCAAGCGGTGGAGGGGCGGACCTGGTTTCCCCAAGGTAAAGCCTCCAACGTAGTCTGTACGTCATCCACAGGCAAAACATACAGAGGGCCTTTAGAGCCTCGAACATTCGCCATCATGTTTACCAGGCCTCTTTATCCGTATGGGTTGGTGGACGTACTGCTCTTTCATTATACGGCAGGATAATAAATTTGGCATCTGGACACAATCTTCTCATATAAACTCTACGGTCGATACTGTGGACAGGGGTCTTTTCCTGTCCCTATCCATGTCGCGACATGAATGATCCGACGCAATATCGCCAGATTGCGCCTGGGCCCTCCCCGACATCTGAAGGGAGTCCACCGAGAGAAAGACATCGAGGTCAGACGAGTCCGTGGAAGAAGAGGGTTTCTACGGCCTGTTTGGCGTGTAAAAAGTCCAAGCGCAAGGCAAGTTACTATCTAACTTTTTTAGGAGCGGTTTGGACCGTTTGCTCTGTAATGGAGAAGGGAGAGATGTCTTGACCTAACTAGGAGATGATAGTGCTCCGGTGTACCACCTTGTGATAACTGTCGCGCCTTTAACCGGGTGTGTATCTTTGATGAATCATTAGACCAACGGCGTCGGGTTGCAGCGAAGAGGACCGCTGATGAACTGAACTATCATCGGGACATGCTGAATGATCTGTTCAAGGTTATTCGCACGTCGGATGAATCGCAGGCTCTCAAGCTGCTGGACCTTATCCGTAAGAATGGCTCTGCAGAAGAGATCCGGGCGTACATCGACGAGACGTTGGCTGGCATCGAGGGCACGGATAGGGGTGATCAAGAGACGGTGAGCAAGCTGGAGGATATCCGGCGAACGATCAATGTGGAAGGAGCGGGCCCTTCGTTTCGTCGGAAAGTCATGGATATCAATTACCTCTGCGAGGAGGCGCCTTATAAAGTCCCCGCTAAGCCGTGGACGACGGTGACGGAAGATGATGACCTTGTGTCTCATCTTGTGTCTTTGTATTTCACTTGGGATTACCCGTTTCATGCTTTTCTTGATCGTGATGTCTTTTTGAAGCATATGGCAATTGGTAACCCTGACTCGGAGTTTTGCAGTCCGTTCCTGGTCAATGCTATTCTTGCAAATGCCTGTGTAAGTTCTGTTTGCTTTTGACGGGCTTCACCGTCATGGTGTGTGGTCATTCAATAACAGTTGCCTTGCAGCATTTCTCGGAGTTCTCAGAAGCATATGTCGTTCCAGGAGACATCGTGACAAAAGGTGCTGATTTCCTCGCCGAAGCCGAGCGTTTGAAAGACCAGGGCCATGCAAGACTTAGTCTGGCTTCGTTGCAAGGGATACTCCTTTTGTATGAAAGGTTTGTACTCCCCGGTGTTTATATTCACGTTACTGACCTGATGACTATCAAGGTACTCTATATCTGGAAATGACGACCTTGGCTATATTATGCTCCATCAAGCCATTCGTGCCGGCGAGTCTCTAGGATTGATTGGCCCTAAAAGAGTCCGATTGAGTCCAGAGGAGCTAACGGAAGATATGGAAACTTCCGTCAAGCGGACAGCTTGGGGTCTGTTCCATGTTGATACGTGAGTTAATCGCGATTATCTTTGTCTGCATGTCTAATCTTGCTGGGAAACAGCGTCGTCCATACTGGGTTTCTTAGGCCTACTCTGATCGACAAAGTCAATACAAGTCGGATGGATAGAAATTTATCGGACGAGAGCGCTCTTTGGGTTCCTTATCCATCCCATCGAGCTTCAAGGCCGTCCTACCTAAGTCAATACTTCGACGAGTCGTGTAATGTTTGTGAAATCGCAAGAGATATGTCTCACAGTCTTTTTACGGATGAAGAACGTCCGGCATCGCCTGCTCGCCAGCGCCAGGTCAAGGAGGATCTGTATGAACGACTTCGTCGGTGGCATGGTGCGTTACCGGATATCTTTGATCTGGGTCGCAAACCGCCACCGTACATAATTCTGTTGAGGTGTGTTTCTCCAGTTTGAATAAAAAGTCTGATGGGAAATATAGTTGCTGACGTGGGACCAACCATGGCACAGAATGCGATACCATACTTTGGTTATCAACTTGTTCACTTGCTACCCGGACGATGACGTTTCAAGCGCAGTATCTGAGGCTCCTAAGACACCTGAGAGCCAACCAGCACAGAGTCCTGTCACAAAATACAATGTATGGGAAATTACGCAGTCTGCTGCCCGTGGAATATCCGCTCTTGCCCGTCTACACAGACGGGAGTATGGCATGAGTCGAGCCCACCATTTTGCCATGTACGCCATCAACCTTGCATTGTTCACAATGCTCGAGCAGGAGTCATTCGATATTCTGGACTCGGATTTCTTATCGCTTGCCAGTGCTTTCTCGGTCATTGCCAGCCGGTCCACGCTGGGACGAAACTTGTTCCATATCTTTCGACAGTCTGTCCGGGCAAAATCTCAGAGTAAACGGATTCGGGAATCAAGCGCAGTCTCCGACGAGCTCAAAGAATTGTTTGACGAAGAGTCCACTGCCCCGGGGAGAACCCGTTGGGATGAATATGCGGAGGGTCTGCAGAAACTGAACCAGGATGAGCGTTACCATGGAATTGGAGCTGAAGGAGCGCACGGTCTGCAGGAGTATCCAGGGATGGGTTTATTCGACATGCTCGATCGGTATGAAAGCTTGAGCTTGGGGAAAGATGAAATCGTGCCAGAGAGACATAGGCATGATCCATGCTAATTCCGATTCGTCGATGATATTTCCCATTCGTGCTACCGCGTAATGTTCCTTTTTTGACCCGTTGTTTTTTTGACTTTATCCCAGCCGCTGGACAGTTATCACCCCGGTATCGTCGTGATATGAAATGATGATGGCGATTGATTGATAAAATTTGTAAATGGATAGGGATGGGCTGGAGAATTATGAATATACCATTTACTACGGTCGCATGATTCCAGACTACTTTGACGACGAAAGATGATCGATGCTGCTGTTCCGCGGAAGAAAGAACCTGGTTTGACGTCAAACGCGCGGAATATCCCCACCGCAGTGGCGAGCGCCTTGAAGCTCAGCTCAAGCTTATTGCTTTTCTGACCTTATGACCCTCCATGGGAAAAGGTGACACACAAAAGGGAATTTACTTTTTATTTCAAAAAGAAAAAAAAAAGAAAGAGGTAGGTTGAAAAAGCAGAAGAACGAAGAAAGAGAAATCACGCAGACACTGTCATGTGTTTGTCCCCCGCATGGAATCCGGCTTCTACCTATCTGCTAGACTCGACTGCGACGCCAACTCATCCATGTTGTCACCATGGACGGCTATCCCGCATACAATCCCAACGGCAATAAAAACGATTCGACGGACCTAGAACCTCAAGCGGATTTGGGCCGGCCATGGGGAATCATTCTGAGTCCAGAGCCCCAGATCCCAACAGACAGCAGCGCTCGCACGAACCCCTACGTCACAGCAACGCAGGAAAGACCCTTTCTGCACTCCCGCATGTCATCCACGTCGTCGGCATCGCAAGAGAACCAAAATGCGACAAAAGTCGCAATTCCTCGAGCCACCCACTACGATACCACATCTCGTCGCCGGTCAGCCCGGGCGTGTGAGCCTTGTCGACAGCGGAAGGTCAAGTGCGACGGGAATAGACCCATCTGCCAACAATGCGCGAAATATGATGTGATGTGTTCCTATATCGACGTGAAACGGGTGAGAGAGCAGAAGCAACTCAAGACCTTGACGAAGAAGGTCGAGCGGTATGAGGCATTGCTGCGGGATTTGGAAGCGGGCGTTGACGCCGGTGCGGCGAGACAGATAAGGAGGACTCTAAGGGTTGCTCATCCTTCCTAGCTTTCTGTTTGTTTTGTTGGACAATAGCTAATATGGAGTGTTTTACAGCCCAAAGTTACGCAGGAAATCAAGCAATCTCAGGCCCAGGACGACGGCGAGGAATCAGATTCATCCGGTTCGTCTGTCGCATCGCTAGAGGCAATCGATTTAGTCGAAGAAGATATCAATCGCAACGAAAAATCCAGAGCGGCTGGGTATTTTGGCAAGAATTCAGAGGTCGCGTGGATGCAGAGGCTGGAGGATGAGGCAGAACATCGCAGTCGACAGGGTGATGACCCGTTTGGGCCTGAGGGCCAGGGATTTGACGAACAACATCAACAGCAACAGCACCAATCGAGGAATGACATCCCCATCGCGATGATGAGCTACCATCTGGACGATCTAAATATCCCCCTTGTGGACCAGGCCGACCCCTATGATTTGCCGCCCAAGGAGCTGGCGGATCGTTTTTTCGCGGCGTATATGCATTCGGTGCATCCGTCTTTTAACGTCATTCGGAAGGCGACGTTTACATCACAGTACCAGAAGTTTTTCAGTCAGCCATCCCAGCCGCCGCGCAGGTGGTTGGCTATTTTGAATATGGTATTTGCTATTGGGTGTCGATATTGCCGGCTCGATAATGATGACTTTGGCGATGGGGATTATAATGATCTGGTGTACCTGACTCGAGCGAGCAAGTTGGCTTTAAGAGGAAGTGTGCTTTTTGAACATCCGGATCTTCAGCAGGTTCAGGTGGAATTCCTGGTGGCGTTTTATTTACTTGCGATGGGACAGGTTAATCGGTGAGTTGGCTGTGTTTACTTTTATACTCCATCTTGATGAAACTGACAATGCAGCGCATCGAAAATTTCCGGAGTAGCGTTTCGATCAGCTATATCACTTGGAATCAACCTTCGCTTTGTCGATGGGCACACGCATTACGCTGCAAAGGAAGCCCGGAGTCGTCTCTGGTGGTCTATTTACGCTCTCGAACACCTGATAACCGCCACCACCGGTCGAGTCTCGTGCGTCGGGGAGGGCCTTGGGTCCGTGTCTGCACCGCTCCCATTCGAAGAAGAGTCCTTTCACAAGCCTGAAGTCCAATCTCTGATCAATGATCAATCATTACGAGAGAATCGCCTGAAATCAACCATCTTCGAAACAGAACAGGAGACCAAATCTAACGCGGAGTGGCTGGCGACGTGCGAGCCCAACCCATCCCTGTTCTTTTATTACACAATCGACCTCGCCGTCATCACCCAAGCAGTCATCAACCAAGTCTACAGCATCCAGGGATTACGCGATCGACACTTCCAACTCGACCAACGCATTCAGAAATACTCCTCAAAACTGGATAGCTGGCTATCCAAGATCCATACCGCGTACCGATTCACCTCTGTCCCGAACGATCCAACAAACGACCAATTCGCGCTCCCACCATCATTATCCACCATGCCAGAAACCCAGCAATACATCCGCGAACGCGTCAGCCTTGCCATACACTACTACAGCGCCCGAATCACCCTCTGCAGACCCTGTCTCACCCACAACCACAGCCACCAACCGCGATCCAATTGCTCCTCCCCATCGGCCACCTCCGACCACCACCAAAGCACCCGATCCCGACACAGACACGACATGGCCCTAACCTGCCTCCGCTACGCCTGCTGCCTCATCTCCATCCTCCCCAACGAACCAGACCCCACATGGCTCATCCACGTCTCGCCCTGGTGGAGTCTTCTCCACTTCCTCGTCCAAGCCACCACGGTCTGTCTATTAGGTTTCTCCAACTGGCCTTCCCCTTCTACCATAGCCCCAGAAGAACAACAGCAGCAACAGCAACAGCCCTTCTTACACCCCCCGCCGCAGCTGGAGGTATCGACCGTCGTGACACAGACGAAGAAGGCTTTGCGCTGGCTACATCAGATGGCGGGTGCGGATGCCGCGTCTCGGAGGGCGTTTATCCTGTGTAACAGTTTTATGAGACGGATTGCACCGAGTTTGGGGATTGATGTCGATGATTTGCCAGAGGTGGAATCTTTGCCGCCTTTGAAGGGATTTGTTGATGGTGAAGTTGACGGTGAAGATAGTATTGATAGGGCGATTGAAAGTTGATTTTTTTGGATAATTTAACTATATAGTATTCATGAAAGCGTTATGGAAGCTCATGTTCAAATTGATAGAAATGAATAAGCTTATTTATGGTTCCATCAGGCAATTTCCACAGAATAATACATAAATGCAGCCAAGTGAAAGCGTATATTAGAAAAATAGCCATCATTGATATCTGGTACAAGATGAATGCAATCCGTATCCACTATAATACCTACCTAGTACGCTCACAAACAAAAGCCTATAAATATGATATAGCATTGATAGCGTAATCCCACAAAACAAGAAGGGAAAGAAAATATAACACGTGAAAATACATATAACACAACAAGCTGGTAGGATGCAAAGGATGCAAATGCTGCTAAGGAAAAATAGGGCTTAACACATCATTATAAAGTGACAAGAACGAGAAAGGGGTAATAACTAAAAAGTAGATGCTCGAAATACGGACATATGGGGGAAATAATATTGCATGTGAAAAAGCAGAGAAAAAAAATCAATAACAGTTCGCCTCCGATCAACTCATTGAAGAGAATATTAATAATACCTTGTCCGATGGAAAAGGGAAAGGAAAGGAACCCAATAACTCCGTTCCAGGGTTGAATTCTCGTTAAATCATTTACTTCAGGTGTTCAATGACCATTCACATCCGTTGAGGCATTTGGTGATGCATATGTTGCGGCAGGTGTGGAATCTGCTGTGGAATTGGCTGCGGCATTTGCTGCTGCATATGTTGTTGGATCTGCTGTGGAAGCTGTTGCGAGATCTGAGAGAGCTGCTGGACCTGTTGTGGCATTTGCTGCTGTACTTGTTGTGGCACTTGTTGTTGTACTTGTGGCATTTGGTGTGGAATTTGTTGCGGCAGCTGTTGAGGTGGCATCTGTTGAGGCATAGGGCAGGCACGCTTGCGCGATTCCTCGTCCTCTGGCGGACCCCGTTTCTGGGCTGGGTTCATTGCCATAGCGTCCATAGCTTGATTCCGTGCTGCCACATCCGCTTTCCGCGGGCGTCCACGAGGCCGACCAGTGCCCGTCGGTTTAGTTGAAGCTGGCTTTCGCGGGGGCTTTGATTTGGGAGTCGAATCACCCACTTCGGACTTCCGAGGACGCCCGCGGCGTCGTTTCTGTGGGACCACACCATCTGGACCAGTCTCAGGAGCAGATGTTGGGGCAGGAGCAGGAGGACCAGGCGCAACGCCATTAATGGCAGGAGTGGATGATCCTGATGCAGGTGCGGGTTCAGTACCAGATTTGGATGCTTGAGCACCATTGGCCTTTGCTTCCGATTTTCGTGGTCGCCCTCGACGACGGGGAGTCCCAGTGTTCGGGCCGGGATTCGGTCCTATGGCGTTCGAGGTTGGCCCTGATTGCGTTGATCCGTTGGATTGCACCGCGCCGTTGGCCGGCGAGGAAATTGACTTTGGCGGTCTCCCACGTTTCTTCTTAGTGGCAGTTTCCTCCTCGACAGGTTCTAGCACAACCGGTTCTGCTGCGCCAATAGTAGAAGGTGTTGATGAGGGACCGGGATGTTGATGTTGTGGTAATATTGTATGCTGCGGTTGCTGTTGCCGTTGTGCCTGCTGCTGCACCTGCTGCTGGGCTTGTTGCTGGGCTTGCTGCTGAGCGTGTTGTTGCGCTTGCTTCTGTGCTTGCTGTTGCGCCTGCTGCTGGGCTTGTTGCTGAGCTTGTGCCTGCTGCTGAGCTTGAGCCTGTTGTTGTTGTTGTTGTTGCTGTTGCTGCTGCTGCTGTGCCTGCTGCTGTGCCTGCTGCTGTGCCTGCTGCTGTGCCTGTTGCTGGAATTGATGTGGTTGGTATTGATTTTGTTGGTGTTGATATTGAGGCTGCTGGTGATACGGCTGCGGTTGGTGTTGCTGGTACTGCGTCTGAGGCTGGCGTGAGTATTGAGGCTGTTGTGGTGATCGCTGATACTGCTGTTGCTGGGTTTGTTGCGGCTGCTGCGACTGCGGTTGCGGCTGTGGTTGATACTGAGACCGCTGCTGCTGCGCTTGGTAATGAGTCTGTTGCTGCGGTGGCTGGTATTGGGGCCGTTGCTGCTGCTGCTGATATTGAGATTGCTGCTGCGCTTTGTACTGAGGCTGTTGTTGCGATTGGTACTGCGTCTGCGGCGGTTGATATTGAGCCTGCTGCTGTGGTTGATAGTGAGACTGCTGTTGTTGCTGCTTTTGCTGTTGCTGTTGTTGCTGGTGCTGTTGTTGTTGATGCTGCTGCTGTCTTGCGGCCAACAGAGGAGACACAGCTGTAGGTGTAGACGCAGCATGGTGTACCTGAGTACTTTGTCGGTGCTGAAGTTGTGGCGACGAGAGATTTATCGCATGAGCATGTGGGGACAACGATGCTTGAGGGTTCATAGCAGCATGCGGACGGAAATTTGGGATTGGATTGATATTCCTTTGCAAGTTCTGTATAGACATATACGGGTCCTTTAACTGGCCCACCGGATCCGAATTTCTAGACATGAGGTCCGCAGATCCCTGAGCCTGAAAATGACTAGGAAATGGACTAAAATTCGCACCCGCTGGCAGTCCAACCAAAGGCCCAGAGGATGAGGGTGCCATCTTTCGAAGATCTGGGGAATGCGAAAGACTTGGCTGCGGCTGAGCGCGAATTAGAGGGCTGTTGTTGGAGAGGCCATTGCCATGGTGGGCATGATGCGTCGGCGCAGAGCCCAATGATGGGGATTGCAGATGTTGTTGTTGATGTTGAGGGTGCGCACTCTGCTGTTGCTGATGCTGAGGGTGCTGAGGGTGCTGAGGGTGAAATGCAGGTCCCCCGTATCCCATCATCTTGGGCGATTGATTATTTCACCAATAAGATCACCGCGAATAACAAAGGAGAAGCTGCGATGTTGTCAAGACATGTGACCACCGCGTCTACGACTGACTGACCAGACACGGTAGTTTTCTGGCAGAAACAACAAAACGATTCCAGACAATTAATGAAAGTGGTAATCAAAGTAGTTTTGTGAACACAGGAGCAACAAAAAGACGCGTTTCTATGATTGCAGCCGTGTAAACTGGGAGGACTTGGAGCCCAACCCGTTGGAGGCCTGAGGCTGCGCTACGGCAGCTGGGATAATCCTACCGCGCAATTCTTGGGGGTGAGGAAAAAAGGGAAGAAAATATAAAAAAAAAATGAGGCGCCTCCACGACCAATGCGTGGTGTTTCGAAGCCAGTGAAATGCACAGATTGATTGCAGATAAAGGGAAAGACGAGAAAAATCAACCTGTGGGAGTTTTATTGATGGAAACAGCGCTGGAGATGGCCAAGAGGATGATTTGTTTGGGGATCTGGAGATGGTCGGTTGCTTCGAAGCGTTGTTCTTTTTTTTTTTTTTCCTTTCTCTCTTTTTTTTTTTCTCTCCGCGTCACGTGAGCCGTCACCACACTGACCACTCACCACGCAACAAGTGGTTTTTTAGAGGATTTCAGCACAGCCTGTGAAGATCGTATAATGGTCGTGGAGGAATCAAAATGGAAGATGAAGATAGCAAAGCCAGGAAGGCCTACAGAACGAGGGATGCTTGGATGGGGTGCAGAGCAAGCAGCAAGATGGATTGTCTATTTTTATTTGGTTCCTGCGCTAAAATCTGGAGGATTAATTATTATTTTATTTTATTTTATTTTTTATTTTTTATTTTTCGAATATTTATTTTCTTTTTCTTTTTTTTTTCTGACAGCAAAAAATAAAAAAGACCCTCGGTTATGATGTCACATCTCCTCGTCTGGGGATTATCAAGACAATTTTCATTCTCAGAAAATTATTGAAAATGAAGCCATAACAAGGAGGCTCATCGTCTATCCAGTTTCTTGCCTGAAGACAGCCTCACATCAGCCTGGAGGTTGCTGACGCTGCCCAAAACGGAATAGCGCCTGGGAGAGCGCAGCTATCGCCAACTGCCAACTCCCTTCATCTCATCAACCCATCGCGATTGTCTAAAATGCAGGCTTCTGGAATCTGCGGTGTCTAGATATGAAGATCAGTGGATATCCTCATCTTCAGCTTGTCGCTCCTGATGGATTTTCATAAAGAAGACGTGTGCAGAAGCGACCGCTATCCTGAGCCACCGACAATGACAGCTCTGTGAGTATCTGTCGCCAATCCTCTGGACTCGCACATCGATTAAGATGACTGACGATTTGGAAAGATGCAGCAAATAGCATAATCGAGCGAAAGACCGACTAGCCTTCTAGTATACTGTCACAATCTGCTCCGTATGCACAAAAGCGCCCAACTCAATGCCGACACTTTGACTGGCTGGACTGGCAAGATATGGACCCAGAACTGAATGACAGGATGGATGGTTTACAGACGATGCTTCGTGGGGATTCTTGATAGCTTTATCGACTCCATACTCCATACCCGACTAGCCTATCTCGTTGTCTGAAGGACACGGCAAATTGGAAATAGGATACTGCGTGCAGGTAGCGGATACTATCCACTACTATCCCGATTGACGACAAGGTGACAGGCTAGGGATTACCAGCACTGCGATCGTCACTTTGCAGACTCACGCTCAACCTTGCAGGGATTGTTGGAAAGAATCACTTTCGATTTCCCCGAATCAGAGAAATCCACGACAAAAAAACTTTTGCAAGTGCATTTTTAGAGTTGATTGCCGCCAGGTGTGTTTTTATGGCTGAGGAAACTTACTACGATTTTCTAGACAACTGTCGTTCTATATCCACTCGAGACATATTGGTTTTTTCCAGCAATATGAAATGCGGAGAATGCCTAGCCAATGCATTCTCTAACTAGCATTATGTGGAACCCACTTTGATGCATCATTGTTTGAGAATATGCACCTCTTCCCTCCCATATCACAAATTAGAAACTTTTATAATTTAATTTATGCCATTTTGGTCCTATGAGGTCTAATATTTTTGGTATACTAAATACCTGGTCTTCATATTCTGGATAAATAGAAAAATATTCTATGAGAAACAAATGCTTAAATGAGCCATGGATTACCGCAGAATGAGCGCTGGCATACGTCAAAAACAACTCCAATATACTACCAATATGGGAACGATCAGACAGGAAAGCCAACTATCAACAGGAAGCGATCTCGGCTCATTTTTCTTCAAATCCCAATCTTTTCTCTTCTGGAATGGCAGCACCAAAAGCCTCAGGAACCCCTCTAGCACTACCCCCAAACATCGACCACGCATCCTTCACCGAGTTCATTACTCTCGCAACTGCCATCGTCAGCCAAGATGATATACAAGTAATCGAATCCCACAACCAGCTCCAAGACGGATCCTACCACAACAATCCCCACAGCCACGACCCCCACCACCTCCTAGACAAAGACCACATGCTCGCGTCGGCCGTAATATGTCCCCATTCTGTACCTCACATCCAATTAATCATCAAACTAGCCAATCGCTTCCGGGTTCCGCTCTGGCCGACCTCCGTGGGGCGGAATTTAGGTTATGGAGGAGCGGCGCCGCGATTGCGGGGAAGCGTGGTGCTGAATTTGGGGAAGCACATGAATCGCATACTAGAGGTGAATGTGGAGGGGGCTTATGTGTTGCTGGAACCGGGGGTGACGTACATGGATCTTCACCAGTATTTGGTTTGGAATGGGCTGAGGGAGAAGTTGTGGATTGATGTGAGTTCTTGATGCAGTAGATCTGATATCCTGGGCTAATGTGGGATAGGTGCCTGAGCTGGGAGGCGGGTCTATCTTGGGAAATGCCGTCGAAAGAGGAGTCGGATACACCCCGTATGGAGGTAAGTCGTGATGCGGTCGCCCCGAGCAGAAGGCCTTACAAAAACCAGACCATTGGATGATGCACTGCGGGATGGAAGTGGTTCTGCCAACGGGCGAATTACTTCGTACTGGAATGGGAGCGATGCCAGAGCGAGATTCGTCTGGCGATGAGAAAACACGACCTGATGAAGAACCGGGAAATAAATGCTGGCAACTGTTCCCGTACGGCTATGGGCCTTATAATGACGGTCTTTTCTCCCAGAGCAATTTGGGGATCGTGACGAAGATGGGAGTTTGGGTGAGCGTTCCTGGAATTGGAGATGAAGATATGACTTTGCAGCTAATAGCGGTGCATCGCAGTTGATGCCGAATCCAGGAGGCTTTCAGTCTTATCTGGTTACCATACCTAGGGAGGAGGATCTTCACCAGGCTGTTGAGATAATCCGACCACTACGAGTCGTAAGATTATCTTGGCATGTAGAGATGGGGGTATTAGCTAACAACCAACAAGCAACTCGTCCTGCAAAACGTCCCAAGCATTCGCCACATCCTACTAGACGCAGCGATGATGCGCAACAAGTCCGAATGGACATCATCCACCAATCCCATCGACGATGAGGGCCTAGACGAAATTTCCAAATCACTCAATCTCGGACGATGGAACTTTTACGGGGCGTTATATGTGCGAGTATAGAATCCATCCAGCCAAGCGTACCTAACAATAGCTAGGGCCCAGAATCCGTCCGAAACAACCTCTGGCAGATAATCAAACAATCCTTCTCTGCGATCAAAGGCGCAAAATTCTACTTTCCTGAGGATATCAGGGAGCATTGCGTTCTCCACATTCAGAATTTGACACTCCAGGGTATCCCGAATAATGAAGAATTGAAATGGGTCCAGTGGCTTCCCAATGGGGCGCATGTGTCTTTCTCGCCGATTAGCAAGATCTCAGGAGATGATGCGCGTTCGCTATACTCTATCGTCAAGAGGAGGTGTAACGAGGCCGGGTTTGATTACATCGCGACATTCACTATCGGGATGAGAGAAATGCGTATGGCAATCCTGACAGTACCCCAAACAAGCTGACAAGACACAGATCACATCCTCTGCATAGTTTTCGACCGAGAAGACCCCATAATGAGAAGAAAGGCACACCAGCTAATCAAGACCTTAATTAAAGACTGCGCGGCACACGGATGGGGTGAATACCGAACACATCTAGGCCTGATGGACCAGATCGCTGAAACGTATAACTGGAACGACAACGCACTGATGCGATTCAACCAGACGATCAAAAACACACTCGACCCGAATGGCATTTTGGCTCCGGGGAAGAGCGGTATATGGCCGGCAGTTTATGATAGAAACAAATATAAAATGTAAATATGGATGGTATTCTCTGAACCTGTAGATTGTAATCAAAGCATCTCTTGATACACATAATATTTAAAAAAAAGGGTATAGAACAAACACAAAAGATCCTGAGGAATATAGGTATATACATGATAGATGTCATGCAAGGTTTGACCTCTTCTTCGCCTCCTCTTTGGCCTTTAGATCAGCCAAGGCCGGCTCGACGAATAACTTCCCAGATAGCACACCCATGATTGTCGGGATACTGACAGCTATCCACAGGATCAGCACACATAGCGAGAGAATCTGAGATAGCACAATTAGCCAGAAAGCCCCATGATTATAAATACTGGTAGTGGGAGACGTACGGTACCAAGCACATTAAAAAACGCCGAAGGCATCTCTACCCCCATCTGACATGTGCTGTTCGCATACACACCGAGCGGGAACACAAACGCCCACCAACCCATATTAAACGGGAAGGATCTACAGCGTAAAAGCGAGGCTATGGCGAAGACGAGCCAGACTAGACCGAAAGCCCAGAGGATAAGGGAAATTAGGAAGCCGATAGTGTAGAAGGTCGGACCAGCGGATGGGTGGAGGGTGTTCGTCTCGGGGAATATTCGATTGGCTATTTCGCCTAGTTTCAGGATTCTTGTATCGTGTTAGAAGAGATTCGATTTGGGTGGTGATGTAGATGGCATACACAAATGCGCCTTGGCCTAATGGGCCCAATGGTAAGAAAACGCTGACGATGACAGCTTTGGGAGGGAGTTTGTGGAGAGCAAGTCGCTGGAAATAGACCACCATGACCATCATGGCGAGCGACATTCCCATTCCCCACAGGGCGTAGCTGACGATTATGGTCCAGAGGGCATGTTGTGGGTTGGTGACGACGTCTGCCACGAAAGCACCGGTGGAGGAGGCGACGATGGAGCTAGCGATCGGGAGAAACCAGGAGGCTGTAAAGGAGGACAATGGCGCTTCGTTTCCGCGGATTGTTCTGAACATGTCGAGTTAGTGTACTGATTTATTTCTTTAACCGATAGGTTGAGACATACATCAAAAGTGGTGGAGTCAAAGTCGTCACGACCGAAACGACCGCATCGAAAATCCACAATCCCCAGGCAAAATTCCTGGTCCATTCACCCCAAGCCGGAACACAGACGTAACAGACCATATCGATGATAGTCGAAAGGCCCATGGGAAAAGTGCCGAGGAACATGGACTGAACTGGATGCATGACGACCGCCGGCAAAATCTCCGGATAGAGGACATATCGAAGGAGAGTTATAATGCATCCTATCCCGAAGAGAAGAACGTTCAGGGCGAAGATCACCACGGAAATCCAGTATAACCAGATCCCATTATAGGGGAGGGAGTTGAGGAGGACGGCCACGATTCCCGTGCCCATCGTGACCGAGAACCATCTGCGTCGACCGAGTTAGTGATGCCTTTGCGAGCGAGAATTGATATCAGACGTACGATGGCGCGAAATTACGGACGATTCTCCTCCAACCAACATCATGTTTGCTAAGTTCTGGCTGTTCTGATGAGGAATGGTGGTTTGTCTCTTTGCTGGCCATTACAAGAGAATTATCACCTTCAATAGGTTGGAATTGGTACTGGATCTGATCTGATGTGGTGACCTGGACGAAGGGATAAATGCCCTGGGAACCCCAAACTTATCAACGAGACTCTCCCTTGCATGGATGAGGATATAGATAGAGCCGATGTAAGGACATTTAATTAATATTCCTAGGACAAATATCTGGATAAGACCATCTGAAACCCCAGAAATTCGGCCGAGATGAAAGGATCGCAGAATTGAGGAGTCGTTGACGTTTGCGGAGAAGAACAACCGAGCCTACAGAGAATAGCCGGAAGGGGCTGTTTGTGTCGCTCCACATTCTCGAGACTTGTCACGGCGATTTGGTCGATTCAGTGGGGCTGCTGGGTGTATTCGGATCGAGAGTTGGTATAATTGAAGCATGAATGGATTCAGAAAGCTTGGATGGTATATCGCATCATTCGGATATCACCGTGTCAATTTCCATGGACATATTTAATAAATACAATAAAACCATCAGACCCAGTAACATTTTCATAACTCATAAAAAAAAAATCACTAAACCCTTATTTCTTCTCATCCGACTTCTGTCCTCCAAGACCTTGGACGGTATTCTTCGCGCCGTCACCCACGTTGCTGGCGGTATTTCCAACTCCTCCAGCAATGCCCGAGACAGTGTTTCCCAGGCCAGCAGTTGTGTCGCCCAATGTCTTTCCTAGACCGCTGACAGCAGTTCCTGCAGTGTTGGTAACGCCGCCGAGTCCTTTGCCTAGGGTATCAGTGACACCGCCGAGAATGCTTTCTATTAACCAGTGTTAGATATTGTCTTGGAAGCTGTAGTAGAGTGCACTCACGGTTCTGGTTGTTGTTGTTGTTATCAGACATTATGGTGATTTGGAATGCAGCAGGTAGTAGATTTGATATAGATAGTTCAATGTAATTCAAGGGTAGATAGCTGAAGATGATTGCAAGGTGACTTAACGTTTTAACGAAGGGGTTTATATATCTATCCGCGTTGACCAGAATTAGCCATGATATAATAACCCACAAAACAAGCCACCTGTGCCATCCGAGCGTCAGTTCTAAATCAGGACATTGATTGAGTCTGGAACAGCCAATGAATGGCGTAGTTAATCAACCATTGATCTCATCGGTGGAGGCCAGTGGCGAGGGTGCTGGTTGGCTGGATACACCGCGTTATACCCAGGGTAATTGCATTGTTTCAGGGGAATTTATCAGATGATAAAGCCACTGGCGTAGCCGTTTTATGCAATATAACCATTGTGCATTTATCGCCGAAGGAACCCATATATGATGGTTTGACCATGGTCCACGTCGATGGCGATGATGTCATGTCGGAGATCGGGTATCTGGATCTGGAACAGGTTGATCGGGGTATCATTCTGGGGGGATTTTCATGTGAATCATTTCCTAGTAGACTCGACTGTTAGCATTGATTATTGAAGGTAGAGACTGACAAGGATGCAATGCCGTTGTTGGCCTTAAACTATATGCAAGCTGCATGCAGGGACAAATATATTGGCCATAAACAGTCCGTCGGAAGAATTGATTATCTCCAGGCTACACAGCAGTGCATTTTAAAATGCATAGTGCCTTCGGCCTGTCTTGGTCAGATACCAGCTCGAATGAAATGGTATACTAATTCTTCCAAATGGAAGAAACCAGCTTTTCCACTCGGTATCTTATCTCGGTGGACTTCAAAGCCGGGCTCCTAGCAGACGGATGATGCCGAAGGAAATAAACGCCATGTTATCCCATCAAATCTAGTTGATTAATGGCATTGGATAACCTCTATCGTTGGTAGTATGTAATGTCAAGATATGTCCAGACAAGACCCAGGTGATCAAGATGTGTCGTTCAGCCCAGAAGATATGCATGGCAGGCATGTTTGACTAAAGAGACTTCAAGGCATGTCAGAAATGAGAGGAATAGGAATAATAAGAGTCTCATTGACAAAAACCTACCTTCGGCAAAATGTGACTGAGCTTGATACAGCCCTGGGACTCATTCAGGGCAATTGAAGTAGCTTCCCTGAATATCTGAGCAGTGGATCTGGCTTGGTGGGCTATGCTCTCTCAACAAGAAGCAAAGAAGTGAATAGAGAGACATAACACAAGCTCTCGTGGGAGAAAAAAGTTGACAGGAACACTACGCGTCTAGGCATGGCCTGAGGCACAGCCCTCGCTCCCACAACGCACTCAGCTACGCGTCTTTATTCTCTTACTCCCCTCACTCTCTCACTTCAATCTCACTCTTTCTTCTCACTGAAAGCCAAAGACACAGTATTCTGATTACAACCATACTATCTTTCTGAAAAGAACCATATACCTCGACAGTTTTTGTGGGAGTACAGGTACATCCTATCGAACTTTCCAATTTCTTACATGAGACCAATCCTGCCTGGTTCATCAACAGCCAACATGGAGCCTTTTATTCTCAAGTTGCCAGATGAGTTGCTCTATGAGGTTTTCATGTTACTTTCTGAGAGCAAGTCTATTTGGAAATTCCATGGACCAATCAAGAGAGATGAGCTTTCAGTCTCTAACATGCAAACGGTTCCACACTATCGTATCACCAATATTATACCATTCTATTCATTTCCCCTGCGGAGATAGAGACTTGGTGCCGCTGCCCTTTCGACCGGGGCTCTTTATTCGCACAATGGAAACTGCCCCCATCCTCCGTCAATTCTGCAAGATCATTTCGATTGACGTCAAGCCATCGAAGGAAAGCATAGCAGCTGATTATATGCCCCTGGATCAATTTCTTGTCGATCTTAATAACCTCAGGTCTCTGTGGATATACTTAGATATCGGGAACCCTCTGGGGGCTTTGGCCATATTTAAAGCCATTCAAAAAGAGACCTTGATTGAAATCAACTTGTGCGCGACTCCCCATACTTGGTCTAGCGTCCCAAGTAAGCAGATATCTTCATCACCTCGTGAATTTGAACGAAGACACCGCTTCGGTAATGATATTCATTGACAAAATATTTTCTATAGAAAAACAAGCCGGTTATCACAAAGTTAGACATCATATCTTTCGACCAAAGCTCACCTATTCTCGGGGAGATACTCAAGTGGTTTACTGGACTAGAAAAGTTTGAATTCAATGGTCTGGAGGAAGAGATCGACTATTTCCCGGAGTGGAATTACAAAATATTCGAACACACGCTAGAGCCGCACAAGGATACCCTCACAAGCATTACCATCACCAGTATATCTGATTACAGCGATGAGTTCTTGGACTTAACGAAATTTACAAGCCTGATTCACGTGCGACTCCCAGTCCGATACCTGGTTTTTCAATGCCCCAAAAAAGCCGTTGAGGCACTACTTGCTCCTAAGATCCAGACGATTACTATTGATTTTGATTCAGACTGGGCTGTGGGAAGCGGTCTTGAGACGGACCCAGAGGCAGACTGGATCGTAAAAAAAGAGGACATTGATTGGATATTTGTTTTTGGTTTGAGTGTCTTCGATGTGAAAGATTGTGACCTTCAAGAGATCTATATCTTCTTTCACCCCCTGCTAGGTGAAGGCACTCTTGACGAGGCAGAATGGAGTAGTTGGGACTGGGAATACCCCTGGGACCTAATGCAGGAGACGAGCGAAGCATTAGCAACACTTGGAATTGCACTCACCTATGATGAGCACACCTTATCGAGGGAAGAATTTGAGGAGTGGAAGGCCGATAGAACTAGTTTCCACTTGTACCCGGATACGGTTTCTTGATGGTATGTTGATGAGACTGCTTGTTGATATTTGTTTGTGGAAATACCATCGTCATTAAGATAAATACTAACCATCGGAATACCAGCTTCTTGAGTCAATCACTTTCGGCGTATATCCTTTCCTTGCTCAATCACCATTGCTTTCCTGTCGTTACTGGTCGATTACTCTTGCTATCGAGCTAGTCCAACACGTCGACGAGAACTTTCTTCTTGTCCTAGGTTAGCTGTGCAGTGGCCTTTACGAAAGATATAGCAGATAATCGCTCTCTTCCTGGGACCAATCCTTCAAGCTCCCTCCCCAGTCCAATCGCCTGGGAACAATTTATAGTGTCGTTCTTATCATACATATTGCGACAAGAAAGAATAATTTGCTCCCATTCCTCGGCCATCACCATTCCGTCATTTCCCGTCTGCAAGATCTACGGCAGACTCTCTTTCTCTGAGGGAAAGAAGTACATTGTCGAATGAACGTGAATTATGTGAATTGTTGAGCTCGCCATGTGTTTTTCGCTTTTCGTGTTTCATCATCCAGCATATCTTCTGTTTTCACCACCACCAAGATAGTAAGAGCCCGAAAGACAGTGTCGGCGTCTTCGACCCTTGTTTTGATTTAACTCTCTTTAGATCTCGTTTCGTTATGATGCGCTTGTTTGATCAGTCCAGTACTCGCATATGGACTCCATTGAACCAAAAACCCATTGTTAAGGTTTCAGAACCTTTTCATCTATGAATCTGTTAATGCTATACCGCACTTGAAGACGGAGGAGCATCCTGAAAAATAGGCACTCATGGTTGTCAATGACTTATGGCAAAAATCTGAAATACAACCAATAATCATATGGAGCGCAAGGTATTTGTGCGTTACTCAGATCTTTTTTTGATGTCGCCATGGTGTTTTCAATATCTTATGATGAGTATACCGCGTAGATAATTTGATAGTTGATAACCCACCTCGACGCAATGTTGAAAAGGGCTGCTTAAAAAAACCGCATAGGGGATGCAAATTACTGCCATGTGTACATTCTAGGACCAAGAAGACTTAGGTTCCATATCCAGCAAGGTCGATAATGCCTTCGTGATCATAGTCGAGCTTTGAAGGCAACTTCGATGTGATTCTGAATGCAAAGATGAATTCAAGGCACTTATAATAAACGCAAGCCAAGGACAGCCTGATCTATAAACAAAAGAACGAGAGGCATCATAAGCAATGTAATAGAGATAGAGAAAGACTCTATATAACTAGTTTCATCTTCAGAGTCTAGATAGGTCGACTTAGGGAGTTGCGGTAGAGTTGGCTGATAGTTTTGTCTTAGTATCTTACACTGCATTTCCCATCTTCTCCTGCATTCCTTTCATTCGTCGAGTGAGTGATACGTTTTCTTCATGATGATAGATCCCAACAGGATCATTGTCCCACAAAGATTGATGCTGCCCAAAAATCCCATAGCCAGGTTGCATACTGCGTGGTGAATCTTCCTACCACGACGCCCACCGAAGGGCTGATGACAGACCCAAAGTTTATACAGCAATGGCCCGGTCACACTCTTCCTTTTTAAAGTAGTCGCCAAGGATACCTGTGCCAACCAGAGAGACGATGAGAAGAGTGAAGTATCCAAGAACAGGGTGTTCACTTACGACTAGTCCAGCACTCCCTTCAAGTCCAGTTCAAAAATAGAATGCAAGTAACTTATCTTTGTTTCTGACAAGTGACAGAGAGACCAGGGTGATGGACTATCTTGTCCTGGGCCAATTATGCGGGTTTCTTGGATCATTTTATTCGAAGACAATCGTCAATGGGATCCTGTGTTGGCTCTGTCAGTATATGTTAATGCTTTATTTTCAGGACGGTTTATCATTGTCAACTTCAACTGTATAAACCGAGTCGATATCGTTTTTCTGCGGATATGCTATTGAGAAATGAACTCCGGGGATCGGATTGTGTCATCTGGAGATCAGGTCAGAGGGGGAGAGTTGGCTGATTGCGTGTTGGCTGATGCGAAGGTTCTCTGTTTGTCCAGCGGGGGTCAGTCAAAACAATCCCGTTCCAGTCATTTTTTTCTGTTCACCTTTTATCCTAACGCCTTACTTCCAGTCCCAGCACTTCAGCCTTTTATTCAAGATCAAATGCCCTATCGATCATCGAAACGGTATCTCAAAGGTCTTTATCATTGACAGCAGCCTAATTACCCATCCCTGAGTCGAATTTCTTACTCGGAACCTGTCAAGCCAAACCAAGATAGATAGGTCTAAGACCCCCTTTCGAATAAAATCTTTCTAACAAAAGCTTTCTCAAGATTATAGGACCCTACAGTCGAGATCCTAGCATCGAATCCCCATCGCACGAATGCTAACTACCTCACATCGTTTCATATGCTGTGCTTTGCCCATGGGGTTGTCACTTCTTCGCGTGTCCTAATCACGACGCTGTTCCTCTCGAATAGCAATACCATATTATGGAGAGGTTAAATACAATGTGAGTAATCGTTGGGATACAAGGGCAATCTGGCATTCATTAAGGCTTTGTCCAACTGGCTGGCTGAAGACGAAAAAGACAAGGTTATCTAAGCTAAGATGAACAGGCGACTCAACAAATCATAGGACCAACCAAATCCGATGAGATGCGAGTAAGCATTGCATCAATACTACAGATCAGACGTACTAATTCATATTGGAAACAATAGGTCGTCTGTCTCACATATCGATGCCTACGTATGTTCGAAGACTGCAAACAAGGCGCACAAACCGCTAACAACCTGGATTGCATGGCCTTCTTACAAAAGAACAGAGAATCACGTTGGAGACGCTGTTTGATATATTAACAAACTTCATCGGGATCCCCTTGTGTTATCCGGGCGAGGAGGGATATTTAGGGATGCTCCGGCATGAGTGTGATGGATTCGCCAGAGGGGATCTGCAAGAGCATCTAATTCACTTCAGGAATCAGAATTATCCTTCCCAATAATCCATCTGAAAAAAAGAATTATCTCTATCTTAAAGCCTTTTAAAATCCACCCGGATATTCAGATATGGAGAAATCAAGATCAAGGGATTGACTTGGGGAGTCACGACGCAGCTACAGCTGACGGATTTACCGGCTTTGATATCTCTGGTATCAACATACATTATACAAGAATCTATAAGGGATCGTATTGATGAAGGATTCATAAAGATAATCTAGGGCTAGCCTAGAGTAGACCATCCGACAGCAGCAATCCGTAGTCCATTTCGTCTTTCTATCATTCCCGAATTCAAGGCACCAGACGTTCCTCCGTGGTGCTTTCCATATTTCCTTTTGATAGGACGCATAGTTCATAAGCCAGAGGATAATTTTGCAGTATCTTTCTGCTTGCTAGTTCTTTTATAGACAGTTATGTAATGCATAGCAATTCCTTAGTATTCAGAACTAGGCCACAGGAGAATTGAACTCGGGTTATTAACGATATAAAAAAACAGACAGATACCTACCAATTACTCTGGAAGAGAACAGAAAGCACATGACTGGCCAGTAGGGTTTGTGTTTGTCTTTGTTTTGGCAACTCCCCCACAACGCATTCACTGCCACAACAAATTCCCAGTGTTCTCGAAATCCCTTCTGACTGTCTTCTCTCATATTCTCTTTCCCTTCCTACTTTGAAAAAAGACGCAAAGAGTGCTTTCAATGTCAAAGGAAAGTCCCGAAACGTGCGCCTCTGTCAGTGAGGCTACAATATCTGACCATCAGGAGAGTTGCCTTGTAAAGGACAAAACCCTCGAGTACGTCTTTCTCGAATCCAAACCGTCGCAGCACTAATATGTTTGACAGCCTCCATGGAGAAACAGTCAAAGTTGTTGTCAAGGGAAACCAGGCGTCTTTCTTCATCCACGAAAATTTGATATGCGCGAGGTCAGAGTTCTTCCGAAAAGCCATGTCTGAAAGCCCAACAGCAGCCCAGGAACGCGTGATCAATCTTCCCAAATGCAAGCCAGATACGTTTCAGCTTTACATACACTGGTTGTATACGGCAACTATCCCTCTCCACTCCGTGTGTACAGCTGATCCGGCATTCCCGTACGTGCTCCTTATGACAGAGGCGTATGTGCTAGGAGAAGATATATCCGACACCAATTTCAAGGACACAGTGATTTATGCTCTCCAACACCAAATCACGCGTATAGTCGCCTCTGGGTTTGACGTTGGTGAGCTTCTTTTGAAGGCGACGGTAAAGGCGTACGGAAATACCCCCGAGTCGTCCCCCATCCACCGCTTTTTGATCGATCAGTATGTTAAACAAGGGGGAGCGCAGCATTCTCGTGGGCCGGTAGAGACGGACGATATTCCAAAGGAGTTTTATATTGATCTCTCAGTGGCTCTGATCTCCACGGAAAATCGAAAACAGCCCAAACTATTCGTGGGAATGTGCCAGTATCACTGCCATGGACATGACGAACCTACCAAATGCTACCGCAAGAAGCTATTCACATCACGTTCTCCTTTGGGGCTTCCATCTGCCCCGCCAAAACACGATTTTAGCCCAGATTCGCTCGCCAAACGCAGAAAGATAGGAGGAGACTCTTAACCAACGCTTTTCGGGTATGGTATTGGAGAAGACATATCGGGATGTGGTATTTCTCTGTGTGTCTCATTCATGTTTAGTATTTCCGTATCATCAATACCAGACAGGACGGAGTATTGAATGCAAATCTATGTTTTCGGAGTCGACGAGTGCCCTGCTGATCAGTGACTGTTTTTATATTGGTACGACGAACTAGTACCTGAGCATCCCCGCCTGCCAACGTCAGCTCCATATCCTCGAGACGAGATCATCACATCCACCTCCCGATAAAGTGGTGGAGTCGTTCAAGCCGCACGCCGTTGTGGAAATTCTCCGTTTAGAGTGCTGGTTGAATCCATCGTGCTTCACGATTCTATTCGTCCGACAGGTCTAGTTTCGAAATGACTCCACCGCGCAGATACCGATTAGAGGAAGATCTGCAGTATCAAATATACATCAAACGTTGCCCCTGGGGACTATCAAATCAGTTTTATCCTGATCAAATCTCGCTTGTCCTGTGACAATGGAATCGTTCATCCAGCAGTCATACCATGGCGTTTACGTCTCCACTGGTAATGACTCGCGCAGGGGCATCTCTTGTGGAAGTCTCATATTTGTAGTCTATTTTCTCCTCATTTTGGACTCTATCCTTTTCTTTTTTTCTTGTGTACACGTTAATTCTCTACAGAGCTGGTTTCTGTGGATTTCATTCTTTGGTCTTTATTTCTCTCGTTTTACAGTATTGCATCTTCGCACATTATGCGTTTCACTCTCTTCGCTGCGCTTGGCCTTGCGCCTCTGCTAGCAACTGCCCAACTGTCTGGTAAGGTAGGACCTTCAACTTCCGCCTCTTCCAAGGCCAGCAAGAAGACCTGCAATGTCCTCGACTACGGCGGCAAAGCCGACAACTCAACCGACATCAGCTCCGCCATCAGTTCAGCCTGGGACGAGTGCTCCAAGGGCGGCGTTGTCTACATCCCGCCCGGCGACTACGCACTCGACAAATGGCTCACTCTGACGGGCGGCAGTGCCTGCGCTCTGCAGCTGGATGGAATTATCTACCGAACCGGATCCGACGGAGGCAACATGTTCATGATCGAGCATACGTCCGACTTTGAACTGTTCAGTAGTACTTCCAAGGGTGCTATCCAGGGATTCGGATATGAGTTCCATGCTGATGGATCGTTGAGCGGACCTCGCATTCTGAGAATGTATGAGGTGTCGGACTTTTCGGTGCATGATGTTGCATTGGTGGATGCGCCTGCTTTCCATTTCTCAATGGATACGTGCTCGAACGGCGAGGTGTATAATATGGCTATCCGGGGTGGTGACTCGGGTGGTTTAGATGGCATTGATGTTTGGAGTACTAACATCTGGATTCATGATGTATGTTGATTGATTTGGTGGTTGATCAGTACTGACAACGTGTAGGTTGAGGTCACCAACAAGGACGAATGTGTTACTGTCAAGGTATGTTACCATCCATCGGTCTACGTACAGCGCTGACGATGGGCAGAGCCCTGCACAAAACATCCTGGTCGAGAATATCTACTGCAACTGGAGTGGTGGATGCGGTATGGGTTCTCTGGCATCCGACACCAACATTACAGACGTTACATACCGCAACATCTACACATGGAAGTCCAACCAGATGTACATGATCAAGAGTAACGGCGGAAGCGGCAGTGTTTCCAACATGGTTCTTGAAAACTTCATCGGTAAGATTAACCCATCTATCTATAACAAGCAGAGACTAACTTCCCAGGCCACGGAAACGCCTACTCCCTTGACATTGACGGCTACTGGAGCAGCATGGACACCACCGACGGCGACGGCGTGGAACTCAGGAACATCACCATCAAAAATTGGAAAGGAACCGAAGAAGACGGTGCACAGCGCGGACCCATCAAGATCGAATGCGCGGACGCCAACCCGTGCACCGACATCAACATCAGCGACTTTGAAATGTGGACTGAATCCGGCGACGAACAGACCTACACCTGCCGTAGCGCGTATGGATCGGGATTCTGCCTCAAGGAAGGAAACGGTGGCTCCTCGTTCAGCTCTACGTTGACTGCTACCGCTACTCCATCTGGATACGCCGCTCCTACCATGTCTGGTGATCTGTCCACTGCTTTTGGAACGGATGCACCTATTCCTATTCCTACTATCCCCACTTCGTTCTACCCCGGTGCGACGCCGTACAGTGCTTTGGCGGCTGCTTCGTCTGGCTCGGTGGCTGCTAGAGATGCAGTTCCTGAAGCGACTGGTGTTTATCCTCACTTCCGATCCAGCCGTATGGCTTCCTTGAAGGGTGGTGCGCACCGCTACCATAGCCACTAATTCTTGGATAAATCGAGATGATCAGCTCTGGGAATAACTCTGTTGATGCTGAGGGGTCGTCTTGAAGAAGAATAGATTTTATTGATAATATGAAATAAATGGCATCACTGCAGTATCAGGATGAGTTGGTCCAATATGCATATATCAATATCTGCTGTCATCGTCCTTCAGGAATATTGATTGTTTGATAGTGGCATAATTATATATCATCAAAATAGAAAACAAGGTGGCAAAGTCATCAAGGAACAACAACTATCAAATTATAGAATTTCATATCGATTGCTATGCTTCATGTCAGCTGAAATGCGGAATAACGTCATCCCTTGTTCAACAACGCTCGACATCACTTGCGGGGAAGGGATTCCATCACCTCCACAACACTGACTAGAACCATCAAGAAACACACAATGTCATCAACAAATAACAAAGACACAACCTCACCGACAGAGGAAGAACCCTCATCTTCATTCCCCCTCCTGCAAGATGGAATCGACCTGTCCTACACAGCCAAAGCGGAGGTGCTGAACCGCGCCATCCAAGACATCGGAATGGGACGCTATCAATGGCAGCTTTTCGCCGTGATCGGATTCGGCTGGGCGAGCGATAATCTCTGGCCGATAGTGACATCGCTGATATTAACGCCCGTCACGTACGAGTTTCACGTCTCGCGACCGCCGCTGCTCACGCTGGCGCAGAATATCGGGCTCCTCGTCGGCGCGCTGTTCTGGGGCTTTGGATGCGACATTTTCGGGCGCAAGCTGGCCTTTAACCTCACGATAGGGATTACGGCCGTGTTTGGGCTGGTCGCGGCAGGGTCGTCGAATTTTGCAGCAGTCTGCGTTTTCTCCGCGCTGTGGTCAGTCGGCGTGGGAGGCAATCTGCCGGTGGATTCGGCGATCTTTCTCGAATTCCTGCCCGGCTCGCATCAGTATCTGCTCACGATCCTGTCAGTCAACTGGGCGTTTGCGCAGTTGCTGGCGAATCTGGTCGCGTGGCCGATTCTGGGGCATTTGACGTGTAGCGCGCCGGAAGGATGCACCAAGGAGGGGAATATGGGATGGAGGTATTTCCTGTTCGCGATGGGGGGGTTGGCGATGCTCATGTTTATTGTGCGGATACTGTTCTTTACGATCTTTGAATCGCCCAAGTATCTGATGGGCAAGGGGAGAAACCACGACGCCGTGCGAGTGATCCATGAAGTCGCCCGCAGGAATGACAAGACGTCGACTCTGTCTGTTGAAGAGCTGGGCGAAGAAGATAGCGAAATACAGCCCCTGAGCACAGGAGACATCATGCAGATGCGTCTGGAGAAGCTGAATGTCAACCACGTCAAGGCTCTGTTCAACAACCCCAAACGCGCCCGGTCAACCATCCTCATCATCCTCGTCTGGGCCCTCGTCGGCCTGGGATATCCCCTCTACAACGCATTCCTGCCCTACATCCAGCAATCAAGAGGCGCTGAATTCGGCGACGGCTCAACCTACATCACCTACCGCAACTCCCTCATCATCGCCGTCCTAGGCATCCCCGGCTGTCTCGTGGGCGGGTATCTCGTCGAACTGCCCCGATTCGGACGCAAGGGGGCACTCTCCACCTCGGCCGCCCTGACAGGCGCCTTCCTACTCGCATCGACAACAGCCAAAACCTCCAATGCCCTGCTCGGCTGGAACTGCGCGTACAACTTCATGAGCACGATTCTCTACGCGGTGCTATACGCATACACGCCGGAGATCTTCCTCACCAAAGACCGCGGCACGGGCAATGCACTCACTGCCTCGGCGAATCGGATCTTTGGCATCATGGCGCCGATTATCGGGATGTTTGCGAATCTGGAGACTGCGGTGCCGGTGTATGTGAGCGGGGCGTTGTTTGTTGCGGCGGGCATTTTGGTCATTTTGATTCCGTATGAGTCGAGGGGGAGGGCGAGTCTATAGCATATAAGCATACTCAGTAGGTTCATGATTCAGGAGTATGGAGTAATCCAAAAAAAAAAAAAAGACCAGTTATAGCAGGTTAAATAGAATAAGATACCTCATTGCTGGTCTAGACAGTGTGTCTGCATATATCGATATAATAAGAATATCTATTGGAAATATTCAAACAGCCAATAAAATAATACAATCTAAGCCAAATAATGCAAGGAACACATCTTAATGATACTGACAGACTTGATAGATCACAAATTCAACATAATTGATATATCAACACCTTGATGACAGTTACAGACATTCTCATTGCTTTTTCCGTCACATATATCACTTCAGCTACACCGATTAACCAATTTATTAGCCCACTTCCACTCTCTTCCCTTCTCTACACTGCCTATTCTATCATCTACACTCAAAATGCACCTCTCAACCATCCTCACCAGCCTGGCCATCGTCGCCCCTGCCATCAGCGCCCCTATTATCCCCATCTCTATTGCTGAAGCCAACGCCGTTGCCATGGCAGGTGCTGCAGCAATTACTACCCGCGATACTCCCTCAGCATCAGTACGCCTTCAATACTCAATCCCAACCCCAGAACCAGCTAACAAACAAGGTCCAACTCAACGCCATCCCAGCAACCCTCCAGCACTACACCGTCCCCTACAACCAATGCCAGTCGGTGACAGTCTCGTAAGCCCCAACCCTTCCTACCTGGATGGAAGAGATACTGATACAGACAGTGATGTTTCTGAATATACTCTTCACGACGGAAACTGCTGGCTGTATGATCAGTCTGGCTGTGGCGGGACTGAGCGTGCTCTTGAGGTTGGAACGCATAGTTTTGTCCCGTTTCATAGTGTGAGTATTTGGTGTACTGCGGTGCAGTGAGATTTATGGGGGTATTTAGATTTGCTGTAAAGTAGGGATTTTGGTATAGCGTGGATGTATTTGTATGTTTATAATATTATGATTTATGGATTGACTTGGCTTGTGGTGTTTGAAAGTGAATCGCCCTGGAGTCATGTGTCTGAGTTTGGGAGCTCAAGGTGGAATATAGCAAGAATATTGGTGTCTGCTACTAGACCTACTGCTGGCTAATGCTGATCATGTAGTGTCCCAAGGTGAACAGGCGATGTTCAAGTACGTCTGGCCGGATCACTTCAGAAGAGAACAGTGGATACAAGATATGGATGGTATCTATAAGGAACAGAATTGACGTGTACAACTAGTATCGATGATGTTACAAGAAGTCATATCATGGACAACAACAATGTAACTCCTTTGATTCGTTTCCTTGAAAAACAACCATTTCAACACCCTTCTTTCTTTTATTATCCATTCCATGAAATGTTCCGGGTGGGTTCCACGATATGAAGTGCATGAACCTCTTGAGAGGAGCACTTGCTCGCCTCCGGCCGCAATCTTCTCCCCACCAGCGATAGCCTGCTCCCGGCAGAGATGACCTTATCGGCCATTCTGGATATTCGTGTTGTGATTTGGAACATTCGATGTTAGAATTAGTATGATTTGATTCGTATGATGGGAATGTGGTGATTTGTGGGTAGCCATAGGAGATAACCCTGATCGAAGGCGGATTATATTGGCTTTGTACGGTGTTGAAAAATCTTCAAGTGCACCTACAGGACCGGCTGAGGAGGTACACGATGTAGATGCAGAGGAGGATGCTTAGCAATGCCTTATTCCCCAGAGGGAATCGAGTCGGTGGGCAGAAGAAAATGATATGTGTTCCCTTGAAATGACTTTGTATGCAGTTGAAGTCGAATTGAGCCCAGAGGCAAATGGGCAAAATAAGATGATCTGAGCTCCCTGGAAATAACGTACTGTCCAGTGGAAAATTCGCAGTATACCCAAGGTGAGAGGGGAAGAGAGTGAACGGAGAAGAAGAGTCATTCTAGCATCCAAATTGGTACTGGAATTGTCGTCCGGTCGTTTCAGAATAGGCCTCTTCCTGAAGCCAGATAGTTAGTATCTTCTCGCAGAGTCTTGAAGGGAAAGACCTTCTGTCCGCTTCTTTGAACGCTATCTTCGAAGTACCATCCTCATTGGTGTATATGTTTCTTGTATTTTCTTCCACGAGATGCTTGTAACTATAATGCCGCTGAGTGTCCACTGGGTCTTCCAACGGGTCACACCAGCATTGGATGAATCTGGATTTCTGCACACAGCCGCAACTGTACTGGAATCTTGGAAAGTAGCACCTATTAAGCACGTTGTTGGTGATTGCATAAAGTCACTCTGGATTTGTGTCGAGAAGAGAAGATGTCTTCCCAGCTGAAGTTGCGACGATGAGGTCTGGTCCTGCATCCCTCTTTCCACGACAGATGATTTACTTTGAGTGCTGCTGTTTCCACTCCTTGGGACTGATAAACGAGAGGGAAAGATATTCTAGAATGCGTATCAGATACAGAAAATATGAATGGCAAGCACACTTATTCTGCCCACTGAGTACCGATGATTAGGCGTTTTTCTGTGGCCTTAAGATGCCATGACATCTGCATGCAGTTGTAAACAGCTGGAGAACCCATTGGGTCTGTCTCAAGGATAGATGTCTCATGGACTGGTGAGTTGGTGGAAAGAGAGATGGAGAGAGAAGAGAGATATGAGGAGAGAAGTAGGTATAAATACTACTTTCTGTGAATAGCCTCATTGTAGAGATGGATACTTATACAATTCACCTATAATAATTCACACACTATACGGCTAGTATCCAGCCCAGTTAGAATTGGCGGAAGAGAATTTAGCAGACGGAACATTGTGCTCCGTTTTTAAACACATCACACCATCAGTTCAATAACATCAATATCAATATCAGTAAAATGAGTTCTCGAGCCTGTCAATTCTGCCGCGTCCGCAAGATCAAATGCGACAATCTCAAGCCTTCGTGCGGTTCGTGTCTGCGCAATGATCGCCAGTGTGTGTATCTCGTTGGGCCACCCAGACAGAGGTATCTCTTCTTCCATCCATCCATCTCCATCTATTAATGAACAGACCATCACGCGCCCTGATCGAAGCCGCTCATCGCCAGCGACGCGCAGTGGAAAATGTCCTCATCGCCTTGAAAAAAGCCGATCCCAGCGACCGCGACGCCATGCTGGATTCCATCACGCTGAAAGATGGATCGCCTCAGATTCCCGGTTCGCTATCAGGGAATGTCATCGTGTCCATCCGTGAAGAAGACTCATCCAGTTCTGAATCAGAATACGACGTGACGACCTTTCTCTCGCGCGATGAATGCGGCACAGTCGGCGTATTCGGTCCCTCGTCAGCTCTCCACGCAGGCAGTCCGATGAGCACTGAATCGCCGGATTCGCGACCTCGTGTAGAGCCAGATGGATACCAGTTGATTGCGGATGCTGCTCTATCTCGACAGAGAGAGTTTGATATTCGCAGTCTGCCGACGGTCGGTGGCATTCCATCCGAACTGGCGATGCATTTGCTGGATCTGCACTGGAATCGACAGCATCATACCTTTCTGCTTACGTATCGGCCTGCTTTCATGCGAGATCTGGTCAACGGGGGCCCCTATTGCTCTGACTTCCTGCTCAACGCCGTCTGTGCCTGCTCGAGTAAATTCTCCGAACGCCTCGAAGTCCGCGATGATCCCAATCGCCCAGAAACAGCCGGCAAGCGCTTCTTCGATCGATGCGACCAACTCCTCGCCGAACAGTCGTTACTCGCTCACTCCAGCATCCCAACCATATCAGGCCTTCTCATGCTGGGTAGCTCCTTCAACGCACGCGGCCAAACCTCCAAAGGCTGGCTCTACACCGGCTACGCACTGCGCATGGTCTACGATCTCGGCCTGCATCTCGACTGTCGCGAAGTCGCTGGCAGCGCAGAGGAAGTCGAAGTCCGGCGACGCGTGTTCTGGGCGGCGTTCATCTGCGATAAGCTGCAGAGTCTGTATTTCGGGCGGCCGTTTACTATCCAGCTGCGTGATGCGCACGTGTCGAGGGATTTTATGGATACGTTTGAAGAGAACGAGTTGTGGACGCCGTATATCGATCCGGCTATGCTGGGTGGACAGATGATGCCGCCTCATATACCAACGAGGATTCACTCTGTGTCTGTGTTCCAGCAGCTATGTTCACTGTCCAAGTTGATGGCCAGCATCATTGATAGATTCTACGTCGTCGGAGCCACGGGGACAGGAACGCGAGCACATCTAAACATCATGGATCGAAGACTCTCATCGTGGTATCGCAAACTTCCCTCTGAACTACGCTTCGAACCATGGTCTACATCCCAGCAGACAGTCGCACCCAACATCCTCATCCTGCTAACAACATACAACGCCCTCATCATCCTCCTCCACCGGCCATTCATCTCCAGTGGTCATCTCCGCTCCGCAGACACCCCAGCAGACTCATGGGAACGCTGCATCACCGCCGCCAGAAACATCACCAGTCTTGCACTGTCGTATCGATCTGCTTATTCCTTACGCCGGGCAAATTATATGCTCAGCTACGCCGTGTATGTAGCGTGTACAGTACACGCGCGCAATCCTGCCATCCGCGAATCAACCCGTCGAAAAGAAAGCTCGTCCCCGTTGACGATCTGTCTGCGTTGTCTGGATGAACTGGCGATTCCGAATTGTGGTGTTTCTGCTCCCGCGAGGATTATACGCCGGTTGATGGAGGCTAATGGGATTCCTGAGGGTATGACCCGTCCTTGTTTATACTATAGAAATGCTAACGATGTAGAACCCGATCCAGAACCACTGGATATCAACCTGGACTTTGACACATTTCCTGGCTTCGACATCAGCACGGCAGGATTTGACGATCAAGGATATCCCGAATTCACACAAGATCTGGATTTATTATTTGGCTTTATGAACGAGTAACCAACCCCATCCACATAACAAATCAATCCAAGACAGACGGACCCTCCTTAACAACCTGATCAAAATACGGCTGAAAAGCAAGCCACATCTTACTCGAATTCCCACTCTTGCGATGCGTCATCTCTGCCTCTTCATGCGGTATAACAATCTTCTCCCACCCCGGGCCCGCCGCCGCATTCGCCATCATCTGCGCATGACAACATCTATCCAGCGCAATAAACAAAAACGCAGCCTCATCAACCGTCCGCCCACATGTTATCATCCCATGATTCTGCAATATCACACTCCTACACTCGCACAACGCAGCCGCAATCCTGGCTCCCTCCTCCGTCGAAATAACAGTCCCCCCATACCGCGGATACACAGCGAGATCGTTATAAAACCGCAGCGCATCTTGATAGATCATTTCGATGGGCCTCCCAAAACAAGAGAATGCCTTTCCGTAGGCAGAGTGCGCGTGACATGCTGCGTTAAGGTCCGGCCGCGCTTTGTGGATTTCGCTGTGTATGGCAAACGCGGGCCCGTTTATGGGGCTTTGAGCACCGCCAGGAAGGACGTGGCCGAATTCGTTGACGAGGACGAGGTCAGAGACGCGGATTTGCGAAAAGTGCGTGCTTAGGGGGTTTATCCAGAAGTGGTCTGCATCATCAGTATCCTATCAATCAATATCAATCAAGTCAAGTGGGACATACGTGGGTTTACACTATCACGCAACGAAATATGCCCCGCAACACCCTCGTCAAAGCCCTGTTTCGCAAAGACGCGAAACGCAGCTGCTAAATGCTGTTTCTGGTATTCGCGTTCTTCTTCTTTATCGGTGAAGATTGGGGGAGAGCGGATGGCGACTTTGCCTTCTTTGTCGCCGAGGAAGTGGACGTCTTTGAAGAAGGTGTTCTTTTCTGTTGTGGTAGTATCTGTAGACATGGTGGGTGTAATTGATTAATGATGATGTCTAGGTAGTGTAGTGATAGGGCAGTATACTTATAGATGATACGACGGAGTATAACGGAGTATAACCCCCCGTCTATTATACCCCGCACGATATCTATAGACGGAGGATAAGCATCCTTTGATAGATTACTTTCATAGAAATACACCCTGCGCAGCTATGTGTTCACGAATAGCTCTCATGGCTGTGATGAGCCGAAGACAAGTTGAGGGATTGGATTGGCGAGCTCTACTCAATAAGCGGGTCTGGTTTCACCAGAGATAGAGTATCAGACCGTTGAGAGATGTATTCAATTACAAGATCATATCGGATATTGACAATGGAGAGGTCAGGAAGGTGGTTTATCGAGTATTTCTGTAGACGGAGATGAGGTAGACGCATACTATTGGAGGTGGAGATGAATATGGGGAAGAGTATTTGTACTGCTATACTAGATGCTGATGCTTTTGAATGCTTGCTTATGGTTTGTGGTTTCGTAAGCAGACTGGTACCTATGTCTAACATATTGTCCATAAACCAATCACAAGCATTGATGGTCCAACGGTTAAGATGCCTCTCTTCCAAAGAGGCGACCTGGGTTCGACTCCCAGTCAATGCATTTTCATTTCTTTTTTCTTTTTCTTATTTTTATCCTTGACCTTCTAGGTCATGCGAAAAAAATACTCTCTTGAAATTTTTTTTTACAAAGTTTAGGCAGCGGGCCGACCCAGCGTTGATCCTCATATTTCCAGTCCTGTACTCAGGTGATAGATCATGAAGACCAAAAACGTTTTATCCAAACGCATTGTTGGTCAAACGGTTACGATACCTCTCTTCCAAAGAGGTGGCCCGGGTTCGACTCCCGGACGATGCATTTTTTTTTGTTTTCTTTTTTTGCTGATGGTTTATTTTACTTGAGTTGTGGATGTATGAGGATAATCTAGAACCGGATGTCTACACCCGATGATGATGGCTTTTACCTTGTTTACCGGACAAGGTATCACTGATATGATCGATCAATCAGCTATTTAACTCAGATCGAATTGAATAATATATGCCGTCGTTGACAGTGGGCAATGGTAGGTGATATGATGGAAGCTTGCAATCGCTCATTGAAGCGAGAAGTCGAGATGGGAGTGCTCATACTGGTTATGATCAAGATAGCGTATTGAATGGAATTCCATATGTTGGATCTACCGATTTTATCTATTATCTCTGTCATGAATATCTATCTGTGACGATCTGCCATATAGAGAGCGTCCTGGATAACTAGTAATTTGCATATCATAGTGAGGTATCGCTAGAATGCTCCTTGATGAGATGACCATGACACCATATTGCAAACCCAGTGGTTTCGCCTACTTGATACTTCGTTCCATAATAACTAGTTAGAGACCAGAAAGGGAAGCAGTCCAGGAAGATGAGAGCTGTCAATGGCGAGATGCGAGTGAATTGCATTCACCATCGACCATAATAGTATTGTGTCAATTAGGCAGATGTAGAATCAAATGTTAAATGTTAATAGAAAAATTAAATGGCTGCCTATTCACCGTCCATCAAGCAGCTTAACCATAAAAAAGCACAGCAAAAAGGAAAACAAAAGAAGAAATGGTAATGCATTGACTGGGAGTCGAACCCAGGTCGCCTCTTTGGAAGAGAGGCATCTTAACCGTTGGACCATCAATGCTTAGTTATTATTCAGCTCCGCTACTATGTTATCTAAACAGCCCCACAGCACAAATCAGAAAACGAAAAAAGAATGCATTGTCTGGGAGTCGAACCCAGGCCACCTCTTTGGAAGAGAGGTATCTTAACCGTTAGACCAACAATGCTGGTTTCTGACGTCATACACTACTCTCAAGTTCATTTCCACATTTGCCTGGGATTATGGCCTTGGTGACATTCCTGCATCAATTGACAGCGAGGAATTAGTATAAGGCTGGCTTTTGGCATATATTATCGATGTTAGATAGTTTGATTTAGATAATAGTCATGGTGTAGATAATAAGTGTGGTATCAAAGACTTCGGGAAGAACGCTGTACAGAAATATATTTTGAATCAATCTCATTTATATACAATAACACCCATCTGATATGCTTGTGTCTGTTTAATAAACTTCATCACTAATCATAACTCATAAATCATTTCACACATAACAAGTAGTATATATCCATCAATGTAAGAAAACATCCTCTTCCTCCCCCCAAGCCTCTCCACCCATAATCCCATGGATATAACACTCCCCAACGGCCCGATACGCACCCGGCCTCTCCTCACTCGGCCTCAGCAGAAACGGTACTTTCGCACCATGGAACACGACAACTCGATCTCCGATATGCGGCGTCGAGCCAATCCCCAGATACCTGTTCTCGGTGACGAGGAAGTTCCAGCCGTGCAACACCTGCAGGGCGTTGATGTAGTCTTGGCATTCGAGGAGGGCGATTTGTTTTTGGTTATCGGCTGCGTTGGTGGAGGGGCATTGGATGTGGTGGATGGGGGTGTTGCGGGTTTGGGTGATTTCGTCTGCGCAGTTGTCTGCGAGGAGGTGGCGCAGTGTCTGGTACGAGGGGTGGAGGTTGAATGGAGATGAAGCGATCTCTTCTGGAAAATCGGCGCCTGCGATGGGGACTTTCCATTTGAGATGGGATGCCGTGTCGCTATCGCCGCATACTGAATCGACTATCTGATCGACCTCGTCGAGATAGCAGGCCATGGAGTCGAGAGTATTCGGGTATTTGCCGACACAGGTGATGGTGTCCACCACGACTCCGCGGATCAGCAATTCATCGCGGGTACGCCCGATGTCAGCCATGGGGCTGGAGACTCTCGATGCAGCACAGAGGATACCCAGACCAGACGATTCAGAGAGCGACGGTCGCTGGGGAATCGTCCAGTCGGGGACCCACGATGGGAAGCGGGTTGGCTGGGTGCCGAGACCCGCGTGGGAGAGGAGCTTCAGGACGCGGCCTTGGTCCACGAATTTGTGGGCGTACGCGATCACCACGTCTTCCAGCGGAGCGGCATAGTCTGGTTCGAACGCGACATCTCCGCCGTCGAGGGAGAATCCGAGCATGCTGAAGAGTCGATCTCGTGTCAGGGTTGACTGGACGTGACCGGACAACGATCCGAGGAGATGGATCAACGGCCAGCGGTGCGAGTGGGCTTCCCAGTCTCGATGGGCTGCCAGAGTGGCTATATGACCCCAGTTGGAGATGGGAGAATCCGTGGCTTTGATGGCCTGCATCAAATCCGTCCATCCGATGATCTGCTTTCCACAGACCATCCACAGAGTGCGTGCGGCGACAATCTCCTGGACGACCCATGCCCTTTGGAACCACTCACGCGCGAAGAATCCATCCATCGCTGCCCCAGCTGAATGAGCTGGATCTCCTGATTTTGCCTGCAAGACCAGATCACTCTGCTCATCTCCCTCCCCTAGATACGCCACCACACTGCAGGCGGATCGGTAGATGGACGGCATCAACCGGACCTGATTTGCCTTCTCCTCTTCATCGGCCTGGTTAATGCAGATGGCATCGACCCACAAAAGCACCGAATGCCTTTTATCGCGGAGACGCCGAAGAGCAGCATCCAGCGAGACCGTGATGGGGAGCAGCCCCTTTTCTGTCCGAATCGCATACGGCGTACCGTGATCCCCCCATGCATACGAAAGCGCTCTGTACGGACCGGCAGACTCAAGCGTGGTATGAGAAACGAAGCCCCAGATATCGTCACCCTCTTGGCCGGGGAGCAGTGAGAACAGGCGTATGCTCTCGCCATCCAGTGGGCGGTAGGAGTAGGTCTTTCTACCCCGTAAAAAGCCACTGCAGTTGAGTCCGGGGACTGTGTTCTGGACAGTATTCTGGGTTGATCCTGACGAGAGCCCGGCGGAGCTCCTCCGGCCTGTGTTTTGAACAGTATTCTGGGTTGATCCTGAAGGCATTCCGATGGAGCTCCTTCGGTCCGCGTTTTGGACTGTATTCTGGGTTGATCCCGACGAGAGCCCGATAGAGCTCCTCCGGCCGTACTGGCTCATTCGGGTGCCTACTTTGGACAGGGAGTTTCTCATGACGAGCGAGCTCGAGGAATACGGATCGTCGCTCAATTGAAGGGACCGACCGTCGTGGAGTCTCAGATAGCCCAGGACATACCAGTACCATGGATCGACGAATAATCGAAGCCGGGCATTCGATTTGATGTTGGAGACGAGGGCGAGTATCACCACGCCCTCGGAGCTTGCTATCCCTGAATGAACGAGAGACAGCTTCCATGACTGAACATATATTAGAAGAAGAATACTAAGATGATCAGGCTACTCACCTTTTCCATCTGCTCCAGGCTCCAGGGAAAGGGGGAGTGGGTACCATCTTCCGCTGCTACAACCTCAATATGGTAGACGGGGGGATTTTCCCGCCAGCGCTCGGCGGACTTATACCCCAGCTGGACGAGAAAGCTCGTCATCTGGTGCGAACAGCTGGAAAGGGTAAATGGCGAACAGCCGGCTTCCTTTGTGAATGAGGGGAAGCCCACTCTCTCGCGCTTTTTGCTTGTCCAGTGTTTCTCAGGGCGATATGCTTCAAGTCTGTCTTGAAGCAAAGCTGAAGTCTGAATATATCATATTAGTATTGTCTGGGATAGGGATAGCACGGGGACCTACCAGTGACTCGGCAGCAAATGCGGCACCGTCCAGCTCTTTTTCACTTTCATCGGGATTCAGAGGAGGCAAGTTCATGGTGCCATCATGATCAAAAGTCAAGATCCTGCTTGACTCTTCTTCCTTGGCCCTTGTCGTCACCTGAGCTGGAACTTTAGAGGGCGTGACCTCATCAAACTGCTCAGATACTTCCTCTTCATCTGTATCCAAGTACTCCGGAACATCCCTGACTTTCATTCGATGATCAGACGCACTAAGCGGGAACGTGTTTGCCCTCTCCAGCCCTCTTGGAGTATGCTCATCCTCAGGAATCATCAGCCGATGCTGAGCGATGAACTCCTGCGTTTGCTCCCTGCTTCCACGGCTCAGAATAGCCCGTAGCAGGAACTTGCACGCGGTTTCCTTCAGTTGGCATTTCTCGAACAGCAAATCTACCAGTCCCAGCGGGACGTGGCTGGCTTGGATATCTTTTGCCGTGAGGAAGATGACGCTGCTGTCTTCGAACCGGGCGACAAAGTCACTCGGTTGAGGGAGTCCGTGGATCTTGAATGCCCGGTACGTCAGGCTGAGGTTTCGTATGACGGCTGGTACTTTGAACACGCGGACTCGGCGGAGTGAATGGTAGATTTTCTCTTGCAAGTTCGGATCTGGGAGGAGGCTCTTGATCAATGCGGCTTTTGATCTGATGAGATGCGTATACACCGCGTCGAGGTGGACTTTGCCTTGGGGTGTACTTTCCGTCGTAAAGCAGACGGACATCTTTCGTGATTCAACCTGCATTGCCTGCAAGAGCACAGCGAGCTGCTTGATCTGTTCCATCGAAAATAAAAGCACGGGTGCCTGTCCTTGGAACATGCATGACAGATTGTCATCATCCTCAATGAACCAGCAAGAACCCACATCCGAGGCTGATCGAAGCTCGAATCCCTCCTGTCCAGCAGTCCCAACAGGGAAGATAGGTCTCTCGGATAGACTTTCATGGTCTTCGCAGGACGAAGGCCATTGATCCTGTAATGACAAAGCTTTGTTGATGACGAGCAGGAGGGTGAAGATGTCCGTCAGCGAACTGGAAGGAGTGATGGACTGGGTTTCGTCCACGAGGTCTTTGAATTCGCCTTTCCGGGGCTTGGTGATGCTCTGGAAGAGTCTTGTGCAGGTGGGATATTCCAGTTCGAGAAGATTGGCTGGGAGGTTGCTGCCTTTCAGCTCTGATACTGTCGCCCATCGCCCTGCTGTGCCGTTGTATGGCGGGGTGTATATCAATGCGCTTTCTCTGAATATCGTCCTGAGAGCTGCCTTGCTGCTGCTAGTATATCCCGCTTGGATCTGGTTGTATATATACGACAGCGTGTGGCGTGGGTACCCCCTTTGAGATGCAACCATTGCCCTCAGACCAGAAATGTACAATTCGGCATTCTTCTCCATCGTCACCCCAAACACCTTCAACATCTGCCAGCTCTCATTCTCGGCGTCCTCAATATGCAGAATGGGCATTGTCGGAAGTTCATAGAGACACTCCAGCTCTGGATCAAGGGACAGGGAGAAGGTCGTCTTCAGCGGAACTGTCTCGCCATTCAAGCAGGTTACCTCTATTTGCGCGAGGCGATCTCGCAGTTCTGCTTTGCAGTTGATTCCACTTCCAGCTTGGCCTGGTTGATCTTCTATCCATTGTGAATAATAGCTCCAATGGTCGCGTAACAGCCGAAGCACGTCAAAGGACGGGTGGTCTTGAAGAAGGAATGTGAAGTCCTCGGATATCTCAAACGACGATTTGCCTAGCGAAACCAGTCGCGGCAACGCCGAGACACCAAAACTCCCACTCAGAAACGAAAGGCAAGCCTGTCTTCTATCCTCCGCAACAGAAGCAAGATAGTCCGGATGCAGAAAAGCAAACCGGTCTCTGTTGCTCAGAAACCTCGCAGCAGGCGAACTAGACCCACCGCCCTCTCCATCAATGTACAGCTCCGGCCCCCGTCGGGGATGCCGCTTCTCATCGACAAACCATAGCTGCGACCCGATTGGCGGCGTCCAGGGCTGTTCATCGAATGTCTCGAAGAGGAATTTTGCGTGGGAGACCAGCTGGCCTCTGGAGACAGTTTTCGGGTTGAACGCGGCATCGCCGTGCATTTTCAGAATCAAACCACACAGCTTGAGCCGCGTGCACGGGGTGACACCCAGGTAGACGAAGAGGAGTTTGCGATTGAGATCCGTCGCCGCGTCCGGATCCACGAAGCGGTGGCTCACGCCGGGCGGGATGTCAAAGTCGGTGGCGTCTTCGAAGAGAAGCTGTTTGCCGCTGCGGACAGAGGCCCATTTGCCTTTTCTTAATGGGATCAGCATTAGACTGGATATGGCGGAGGAGAAGTTCTTTTCCGGTGATAAGGTCAACAGAGCCCCGGCCAGTTGGGAATGCCATTCGTTGGACTTGGCATGGAGGGCTGGAGCGTCTTCGCCAAAGACATGTTTCAAGTCTTCGAGGAATTCAGCAGGGGAAAGTTCCTCGACTCCGAGCTGGGAGAGGGCATCATAGTCCTCGCGGGAGTATTTGGGCGAAAGATATTTCGACTTTGTCTGCGGGCCCAGGGTGAAAGGCGTGTTATTCCCGTCCATGAATCGCTCTGGCACGCGCTTTAGAGACGAAGGCTTGTAGAATGAGCCATCGAAAGCTTCCAGAACCGGTCTGTCCGCGAGCGCATGTACTATCCTGTCTGTGTGAGGTTTGAAAGAATCTGATACCTGACCAAGTGGAAGGTAGCGAAGCCAGGTATACTTGAGAGCGTCTGTGAAGCCATCGACAGCAGCGAGAAAAGTGTCCACCAGACCTTCGCAAAGGGCATCGTTCCATTTGCAACTCTCAATGTCCTCGCGGCTTGATGAGAGGAGAAAGTCTGCTTGGAGAAGAAAAGGAAGTCCATAGTCCCGGATAGGGAGGACGGATGAGTAAACCCGCTGGGGTGATATTCTAGGATGCAGCGCATCACTCTCAATGGGAAATGCCAGGACCAGCTTGGACTGATCTGGCCGTTTCTCTTCACGGGGCATGTCCACCATATGCGAGGTGACGATATAGCGCAGCGGACTGTCGTCTTCCCTCAGCGTGGTCAGTTGCTCATCTTCTTCATCTTTCCAGAGCTTCTTCTCCCACAGCCCGCTCTCTTCGTGGACAGCCAGCTCAATCCGTTTCAATCGTCGAAGAAAGAGAAAAGCAGCCGAGTCAATCGACTGGATATCGTGAATCAGTCCTCGCTCATCGTAATCCTCCGCCAACTGGATCAGAAACGAGGTGCAGAATGCACTCTCCCTCGTCTCCGGGAAAGCCTCCCAGATGGGGGCGATCATGCCCAGGGGCTTGTGCTTGTCGAATTTAAAGGTATATGCCCCAGAAGCAACCCACACGGTGTCGGCGGCCTGGAAGACGGATTTGAACCCAATGCCTTTGTCGGCATGGCTGGAGTCATCGTCGCTGTCTACTTTGGTACTCCGCCCTATTCGACAAAGTGCCTCGACGTTCTTTGCCGTGAATCCAGTTTCATTGCAGTCAATGCGCAGCGTTCTGTTTCTATACGTCAATTTCAAAGTGGGAATGGTGTCACTCTCGTAGTCGTTCTCGTCTGCATTCTGTATGAATTCGAGCAGAAAATGCGCCGGCCTGGAGCACAGATCTTCGTACAATCTCGCAATAGCAGCTTCGAGATCTTCCACATTCGAGCCCGTCGCATTCCGCGCATCAAGCCCCTTTGCTTTCCTGATTCGATTGATATGTGCCTTTTTTTCCACGGCACCGTTTGCATCAGGTTTTGGTAATGTGCGCGGGAAAAACGCCCATAACAGCGCCATGGTCGGCACTCAGACAGTGAATTGAAAAATCTGAGTGCTCGACGAGAGGGGCTGACAGTGAAATAGATGGATATAGCAGTCATCGAGCATGACGTGTCACCCAGCCACAGCACATCCAGCGTGTGAGTTCGCAGACAGTCAATTTCTGATTGGCTGGTGCTGTCGATCGGTGATAGCATCGCAGCCAAATCCAAGGCAGCCAATCAGATGGCCGGATGAGATCGCCACTTGGATCGCGAATATACGGCGTAACTAGCGGTGAGAATTGACTCTGATTATTCATAAATATCACTGATTCATAATTACCCCTCTAGTTATAGGAGAGAGCTATATTAAGCTAAGATAGTATTGATAAGGTAATAGTTCCTATCTGGTTATACTAGGAGCGATATACTATTCTTAGATACGATTCGGTCATCGAATAGAAAAAACAGCTATTTCTTCTATACACGAAATGCTAGACGCAGATAATCCTCCGCAGTACTGATGCATCTCGCAGAATAATAGACAGAATACCTTCAATTATTGACGAATTCTTCATAATATTGATCAATGATTATTAATGCTGATTCTTATTGAGCAGTGCGTATACTATAACCTACTATCGATATACTGATGACCAGAGTTTATCCCATAACGGATTGGGAAGATCATCAGCAATTGATTTTGACTACACATGACGTTGTGCTACATATAATAGCATGCACCTGCTGAATATAATTCTAAGACCGCACGCGTAGTTTTTTGGCCTAATGGTTGTTCTAACAGGATCTGTAGGCATCCATCGAGGTAGTCTATCCTATCCCCATATCGTTGCTATCATGATATTCCTATGTGATGTCCAGACTACAATGGCAAATGACAGCCCCTGATGGCCGATCTACGTAGTTTAGTTTCCTCGTTTGTCTTCTCCACCTGATCTTCCTATCCGAATATCCGATTGTATAGGTGGCATTATCTGGGTTATCTACACTACAGGGTTGTCATTGAGGATGGATGATATGCTGCAAGGGTCGGAGAAAGAATCCGCAGAAATAGTCTATACAGAAGATCAGATTTTATGAATGCAGTATACTGACTGAATTCTACATTGTCTACAATAATATAATGAAGAACCCCTATTCTTCAACCTCGGCACTTTCAGGAAAAAATCGTCAAGTGGGCCAAAGTGGATACAAACGGCTGCTGATTAGCAATCAATCTCTATTTAACCTTATTGTCTTCTATTTTCTAGAACTCAATTCATTCAATTGTTCTATATTCTATTCTTTATCTTCATCTCCAAAATGACTGCTCGTTTCCCCGCCCAACATGTCGACCCCTCTCCCCTGGGCCAACCCCTCCCCTTCGCCTTCTCCGGCCGCGTCGCTCCCAATCGCTTCCTGAAAGGTGCCATGAGCGAACGCATGGCTTCCTTCACCATGGAGGACGTCGCCGGCCGCGGCATCCCCACCCCCGAACTCGTCACGCTGTACAAACACTGGGGCGAGGGCGAGATCGGGCTCAACCTGACCGGCAACGTGATGATCGCCCCGGACCACCTCGAAGCAGCAGGCAACATGGTCATCCCGTCTGATGCGCCGTTCTCCGGCGAGCGCTTCGAGCGCTTCACCCAGCTGGCCACGGACGCGAAGAAGAACGGGTCCCTGATCGTCGCGCAGGTCGGACATCCAGGCCGTCAGGTGGCGGATTATATCCAGCCGAACCCTATCAGCGCGAGCGACGTGCAGCTTAAGGGGGAGATGTTTGGAAATAAATTCGCCCGGCCGACTCCCTGTACCAAGGAGGATATCGCAGCCGTCACGGAGGGGTTTGTCCATGCGGCCGAGTATCTTGAGAAGGCCGGCTTTGATGGCATGCAACTCCACGCCGCGCATGGATACCTGCTCAGTCAGTTTTTGTCGTCGACGACGAATAACCGGACCGACGAGTATGGTGGGGAATTGAAGAATCGGATGCGGATTATCCTGGAGATTCGGGATGCGATTGCCGCGCGGGTGAGCAAGGAGTTCATCGTTGGGATCAAGGTGAATAGCGTCGAGTTTCAGGATGATGGGTTCCAGCCGGAGGAGGCGAAGATTCTCTGCCAGGCGCTGGAGAAGCATGAATTCGACTTTGTTGAGCTGTCTGGAGGCACTTATGAGAAGTGGATGGGCGATATGAAGAGAGAATCGACCGAGAAGAGAGAGGCAGTATGTTCCCTTTCTGATTCTATATGATATAAGATGAAGCTGACAAGATAGTTCTTCCTCGACTTTGCCCAACTCATCGTCCCATCGCTCACCAAGACCAAGTCGTACGTGACGGGCGGTTTCCGCACAGTCGAGGGCATGATCGACGCCCTGAAGATCGTCGACGGCGTTGGACTCGGCCGTCCTCTTGCCCAGGAGCCATATCTCTGCTCGCATATTCTGGCCGGCAAGGTGGACTCGGTCGTGATGCCCAACCTCGACCAGTACGACTTTTACACGACGGCCGTTGCATCGCTGATGCAGATGATCCAGCTCGGACGAGGCCAGCACCCGATCAACCTGGGTGTGCAGGAGAACGTGCCTGTGTTCTACCAAGGCGTACAGGAATTGGTGGCTGAGAAGACGAAGGACTTTACTGGTGTTTACTGGGGACCGTCCGTGAAGGGGTATTCGGCTGTGCTGAACCGTGATGTATACTAATCTATATAAATTGTATATACAATATAGAGATAGAGATATAGATACTATAGAAGATAGACAGACCGTCTTTCAACCTCCTCGACTAACTCTCGATTCACCTGCATCTCCATCCCCAACTCCCTCCCCCTCTTCACCCAATACCCATTGATGAACCTCACTTCTGTCTCTCTCTTGCCACGCAAATCCCACACCATCGAGCACGTCGTCTCTGCCGTTCGTCGCAAGATGCCATTAACCGTTTCTTCCAGCCGATCAACACCAAACCTTTCCTTGACTCTCTCTTCATCATGTTTGAGCTCCGGCAACGCAAGCACCACCGCCGATATCTCAGATAATATCCGTCTGCGCAGCTCAGGAAGCGTGAATAGGAAACCGTTCTTCGCGTCATGGATTGCGCAAACCGGGTTGCAGAATGCATTCACGGCTAGTTTTTCCAGTTGAATCTGCAGTACCTCTGTATACGCGTATGCCTTTGCATTCAGTCGACTCGACAATGGCAGATTCTCCAACATGTACTCTTCCTGACCATCCTTTCTCGATGAATATACCCCCGGCACCAGCCCCAAAGATGTAGCAGCAAACCCCGTATGCGTGATATCAAACGGCCTGTTGAGCGTAACGCCATGCGAAATCACACCAACGATATACTTTGGCCTCTTCGCAGGATCAGGAAACAACGCCCCATTCACCTCATCAATCATCCCGCATCCATTCTGCAGGAAGAGTATCGTCGATTTCGGAGTCAGACGGTGTTTAAGCGGCTCGAGGGCAGAAACCGTTTGTGTGGCTTTTACGCTGACGATGAGGTTTTTGATCGTTTCTGTCGTGGGTGTTTCGCTGCCGTTGTCGTTGTGAAACCATTTATTTTGTTTGTAGACTTCGACATCGTAGCCTGTGTATGCTATTCTCTCTCCATCGGTAGTTTGCAGTGTGATTCGTTCCTTATTGGCCTTGTATGCGTCTAGTAGCGAAGCACGATGGAAGAGGAGGGTTCGGGCGGGCGCATTGGGGAGTTGCGAGAGACAGTGGGCGGCGAAGGTGCCGATGCTGCCTAGGCCGAGGATGTGGATTCTGGTCATTCTGGTAGATATTCTGAGTTAGATGGATGAAAGATACACAAGGGTGGTGGTATTTATTGGGGTGATGAAAATTCTGTTGTTGTATAGATGCGCCCTACGCCCTGTTCTGCCGACCCACTGTACTATACAATACAGTATTATCTTATGGGGTTTTCTATCGATATTTACGGATAGAATAGAATAGAATAGAATGTATATCTCATATACCTAGCCGTACGCCCTACGCCCATTATCCTACGCCCACGCCCTGTCTTAACGGTACAGATAACATCCCTTACGCAAATGAAGTCTACTTGTGCCACGATGCACAAAGACTGATGGAATGGAATGTAAACGTCAATTAACCAAGAAGATAATATGACAAGAGGTTGGAATGTAGTACTACGTAATCTGTGTCGAGTGACGGGTGTAGCTGGACAAAAAGGGAAATAGACTGAATTGATGGATGAAATCATCCAGTGCTGGATGGGTATATAAACCTCCTCCTTTCCTCTTCTCTTCGGTCAATCATCCATCGAACAATCGATCAGAATGGCCATCCACAACATCGAATCCTTCTCCGCAGAGTCTTTCATGACTCCTGCCGTCAAGAAGATCTACACCCCCTCCTCTCAATCATTCAATACATCTCATCTCCAAATCAACCACACAGCCCATCCCTCCTCCCCTCCCCCCCTCGACTCTCCCACCCGGAATGCCCCAACCGACCATATGGCCCAGGTAACCTGGTCCTCATCCTCCGGCTGGTCAGCACCAAAGATCCTCCCCTACAGCCCCCTCACGCTTGATCCCTCCGCTAGCGTACTGCACTACGCGACCTCCTGCTTTGAAGGCATGAAAGCCTGGCGCGGATACGACGGGAATCTCCGTCTGCTGCGGCCGCGGTATAACTGTGCCCGGATGTTGGCGTCGGCGACTCGAGCAAGTCTCCCTGGTTTCGATACGGAGGATCTGCTGAATCTCATCCGGACTGTTCTCGCCATCGATGGTGGAAAGTGGGCGCCTGCTACTCAGCCCGGATCGGTGCTGTATATCCGGCCGACGCTGATCGGGACGGGTGATAATCTGGGCTATAAAGTGCCTGACGAAGCGATGTTGTTCGTCATCGTCACTGTCTGTCCGACCATCAATCCATCGACGGACTCCACAGCAATCGGGAAGAAAATCCGTCTTCTGGCCAGCGATGGCAACTTTGTACGTGCGTGGCCTGGCGGCTCTGGGTCTGCGAAGATAAGCGCGAATTACGGACCGTCGTTGCTGGCGCACCACGAGGCGAACAACGCCGGCTGCGATCAGGTGTTGTGGTTGTTTGGGGCTGATGGACAGGTGACGGAGGCCGGGGCGAGTAACTTTTTTGTGATTTGGAGGACGGCGCAGGGTACGCTGGAGATGGTGACGCCGCCGTTGGGCGACCATACCATTCTGCCTGGTGTGACGAGGAAATCGGTGTTGGAGTTGGCGAGAGCGGGGTTTGAAGATGTTGAAGCTGTGGATGTGGTTGAGCGCAAGTTCAGCATTCACGATATCATCACTGCAGCTGGAGAGAATCGACTCATGTCTGCGTTTGCTGTCGGAACGGCCTTTTTCATCGCCCAAGTCGAGCGCATTCGGTATGGAGGACTGGAAATCAATTTCTCTGACGCACCGTATATCGGTCTGCTCCAGAAGGGAATGCTGGATATTGTTCTTGGAAAGAAACCCAGTCCATGGACTGATATCATCCAGGAGTAGATACTATTTATTCTTATCCTGCTCGCAATGCAACCGTCTAAATGCCGCTAGCCACTCTTCGTTATCTGCAATAGTCTGATTCCAATCATCTTCGCAGTCGTAGAGTAACCGTCGTGACTCCTGCTGAAACATTTCATCGGTTGGTATGACTCCGTGTTGGATTTTCTCGCGCGCGTAGTGGCTGAGATGGAGGGTGAGGATTTCCGTGAAGCTGCTCAACTGCGACATTGTCGGGTTTGATTGAATGGGAGTGAGAGTTTTTTCTTTTTTCTTCTCTGTCTCAGTTGGTTCACCTTCAACCCAAGCAGCTCGAGAAGATATCTGCGCAAAATGATCCCGCACATCCGCATTCGTAGCAGAAAACGGAATCATAGACTGCGACTCATTCCCGATCAGATATGGCGGCAGACTATTCGTGATCTTCGCCGTGATGGACGGCGGAAAACCATGATCGCCTTTCCAGTCTTTCATCGTAAGACCTTTTCTGAAATGCGCTGCCAGATGATCGATCCGTTCTTCCCAACTTGTCAGTGAAGCATCGCAGAATCCACACCGAGAAGTTATAGACTGCATCGTCACTTTCCAATCATCAAGTAACGGCATCGTATCGAGATGATGCACTAATCGTAGATGCTGCACGAGGTGGTCTTTTCGCCGGAATGCGCGATTCCCAGTCTCGTTCTTCCCTTGACATGCTGTATAGTTATGCATATCTAAATGCTCCTCGCTCGGATCCAACGCATTGCAATACGCGCAGTGTCGTCGATGCGTGGCAGGTGAGAACACACTCGCCCCGTGAGGCGCGCATATCCACTCTTCCAGATTGAGATGCAGCGATTTCTCATGTCGCGACCAGTCGTATTTACTCTTGAATCTGTCGCAGCAGAATGTACAGCAGAATATGCGTCGTTTATCGCCTGCTGGTGTGCTTTCAGGTTTGGGTTTTGCTCTGCTGACGCGGTTTCGTGTCCTACGTGCACCAGCTAGTTCCTGCGACGGAGACTGCGACGCAGCCGAGTTGGCAGATTGTCGTGATGAACCACTTGACTCACCACTTGTCGTTGATGGCGGGCGGCGATAGTGGCGGAATGCGTCGTTTTTCTTCGGTGGTGGTTTGCGCGTCTGTCGACGCTGGGCAGGGTTATTCTTGACGGCGTCCATAATGGCCGCCATGGAAGCAGGTTCGTCTTCTGGAGGCGATTCCTGCCATCGCTGCATGGGATCCAGTGCTGGCTCTGTATCTGTGGCGTTGGGGATGAAGATGGGCGCTGCTGATTCCTCCGTTCTGGGGATGAAATATCGACTCCTCCGTCGTGGGAGACTAGAGTGATACTGTGGGATATTGCCAATCTGGTCGTTCATCTCATGCTGAGATTCAGATTGGCATGGATTACTACTTGCCAGCAGACCAGGTTGGAGGTCGACATGCGACGACCATGACGCCGTGGAGTCATGGCCGAGAGAATGCACGGAGCCAGGGAGACTGTGGCTGTTTTCTGCTAGACTATCCTGGAAGACAGGCGGCGAAGTAAACTGATCATGAAGCTCTGTGTAAGGATCCTGCTCAGCGCATGACGGGTCGAAGTCAAATAAATTAGGGTCCGAAAGGTCAACTGCTATCGTCAGTTTTCATTCCGTTATCATGATTAAGAAGACAGACAATCCAGTCCCTCATGGACGAGGGGATCAAATGTATCCCAGTTCTGCCATTGCGGCATTCTGCCTTTTGATGGATATCAAATGATACTATTAGATGGTGAAGAGAAGATGTGAAGATGTAAAGGGTGGCGGTGATTTCGGACAAGTCGCCGAGTGGGGCCATTAGTCATCAGCTGAGGCATTTATTTGACTTTATTTGATAGAAACATTATAGTTTTAGTATATTTAGATGAATATGAATGAAATGATAAGAATAGATATGCTGTGTAACTATATACAGGCTGGAGGACAATTGATGGAAAACGCATAAGTATCAACATCCATTCGAACAATGAGTGTTGTTGTATTCCCACATACTTTGATGCCTCGCGCTCTTCTTTGCAAGTAGCATTTGGTGATCTTGGATATATAACCCATTGAGAAGCTCACCAATCTTGGGTCGGACTAGTCGATGGCCCAGTAGACATTGATATCGCTGAGATATGAGAATATCTTTGACAGTTCTGCTGGGACAGAGCACAGTTTGATTAAGCATGCTGTGTAGATAATCCATATCAGGAGTACGCCGGGTTAAATCTGGTTGCCAGTCTGAAGTGGGATGAGGAACAACGTTGCTGGCCTGGAAGTTGCTATAAAATACAAACAGCTAAAGATCGCTTCGTGTAACGGATTTCTTGCTGAAGAGTCATGTGCATTGTATACCGGGCAGACTGATATATACCGCAGCCTTGACTGATGGCTCGATCGAACGGCACAACTGACCAGTGACCTGTGGAAGGGCTTTTCTGGTGTTATTGAACTCAATGTACCGGCCGGTAGTGCCGTCACATATAAGAGTCCATGCTCAGTGGTGTTTTCTGCTTAGGTGAAGATGTACGGTCTAGAGATTGCTGTACCAGCCATGTTCATTGCAGGCTTCGGGACTATAGCTCGCGAGCAGTTCGGTCAGTGGGTAGCGTGCGTCTCTTTGACCGTTACCTGCCAGATAGGCCATGTATAGCATGGCTTCTCTAACACTTCTCCATTCGGGCCCGAGGCTGAGCTTTGAGAGTGATAGAGAACAGGCGAGGCCAGAAAAGTAAACATGGTCTCACGCCTCAGACAAATGGTTTGGTTGTAGGTAGTCAAGATGCCATAACAACACTTGCAGTCATCCATATAGCGGGCAATCTGGCCTATATAAGACAGTTAGCATTCGCCAAGGAGACATGCTTGATGCCAAGCATGGACATACCATAGACCATCTTGAAGTCGTTGTTTGCATGTAAGTTTAAGCTGTGGGCTCCACATTGAAATGTTGTGAGAAGTATTTGACATATGCTCACTTTGGTATCGGCTGTAATCGGAAGAAATTCGGTTGTCTGCTGGCTTTGAAGAGGCTATATCCTGTACAGAGGCGTGTAGTTCACAATTGAATATCGTATCTCTGATCCCACAATGGCGAAGATTACGCCAATTCCAAAATTTTGGAGCATTTGCTCACCGCCAGTGATAATCTTCTCACCGGAAGAGACAATTTTGTTGGTCATTTCGGTGTTATTCACGTTGTGATATCGAAGATGTAAGCTTAGAATTATTCTGTTATCTTCGTATGATGGGAATGTGGTGATTTGTGGGTAGTTTTCCACTTTGATGCCTCCGCGGTCAATGCCGTTGATAGAAGTCTTTTGTGTTATCGACAATTGGCAGGAATAAGACCTTTTCACTCCATGTTTAGGAAGGGGCCTTGCAATGAGGCTTCAGTTCAGGTGCCAGAAACCCTTTGCTATTCCGATCCTTGTGGTCTTTCCATTGCCACAAGTGATTTTTCTATTTGGTCTGGGAGTTTCTGTTTGTGTAAACCAAAGTCCATATCCCAGTTGAAATGCAAGTATAGCGCGGGAATAACCAGTGGAAGACATTGAATGGACGAGCAGGAGAGGGTTAAAGTCGGCATGCACTGGAATAACGCCGACTTGTATCCTCGAGGATGTGTAGATGCATACGTACATCATGCAGTCATGCCCCTTACTTTCGATCAAAGACAATTATCAAATCATGGGCAGTATTATATCTTGAAAGGCATCTTTCAATCAGCATTGCCCCAACTTGTAGGTGGCTGGGACAGGCCAAGGCGAAACCCAGGCTCAGTACTACATTATGCGTTTGTAGGGTAAGTGTAAGAGATATATTGAAAACAACTCAGTTGTTATATAGAGGCCGTTAGGATAACAGCATCCAGGGCTTATCGACGACGATGGATCATCAACGACCTCGAATGTCGGATAGTTGTAGTCGAATGGCACAATCGTTCGTCTTCATCTGAGGCTATAAACTTGCGGCAATTCCTGGGCTGAACACCGCTGGCCCGAGACTGGTTTCAACCTCGTTTTCTGTGACGATGGACTGCCTAGAACACTTCATTGAAGGCTTCGCCGATCCGGGTGACCGACATGACTTTCACGATGGAGCCCATTTCTTCGTTTTCGAACTCCAACGGTGTCTCTGAAGTTCTGTCTGGTGAGATTGAGTCGTGGCCGTGGTTCTTCAATTTGGCTGGCGACCCAGTTTGGGGTACTCCAGGTCGTCTGTGTATCCCTGGTTTAGCTATTGATATCCTTGAATTATAAGAATGGACAAAGAAGATCTGCTGGGATAGAGAACACTAACAATTAAGATACCGAGCCATGAGATCTGTTTCCCAAAACTGGTATTATCGTGCCATGATGTAGTAACCTAAGACACGCAGTCAGCATCAATTATATTATGGATTGAAAGATGACTTACAGGATCGCAAGAGCTGTATGCTGAAAGACACGCAATGCAAAGATATCTTGACAAACTGCCAGCGTCTTGACCGGATAGATCCACACGAACGTATCTGATACAGAAACACAGCAGTGCTGTGAGTCGCAAGTGAAACGTGCCCACTAGCGTCCGAGAAGCTGGTATAACGACGGCAAAAGCAACTGCTAGCCACTATTTCACTGCTGTTTCTCTTTGGTCGCAGTTCGGCTATCAACTATTGAACAGAGGATGCTGGATTCTTCTGTCTGAATCAGTGAGCAATTGCTGTATGCCAAGGGAGATGCTGTATTGAATATACCCAAGTTCATCTATCCGATTTGATATCCATGCCGATCTCTTGACAGTTCAAGTCACGCAATCCAGTATGAGGGACTGTTGAGTCAGGCCGTGCTATAAATTTCCATAACAAACTTATATATTGCTTCTCATCCGGGGGTAATGTTAGTTAAACCATCTTGAATATTGCCAGGAATCTACCTACTTACCATTCAGAGCAGGGATGTATCCAGTACATAATCAATGTCTTCTCCAATTTCCTCGTTAATTGGCTGCCCAATCTCCCAGATCCATTCGTGTAGCTGATCCTTTTGCCATTGAGAATGCTGGCTGCATAAGAATGATTCAGGGCTGTTGGTTGTGGCCGCCAGTTCGTTGCTTCTTAGATGTCTGGCATGAAAGAAACAAGATATTTGGTGGCAAGTTCATGAAACTGTTCAGTAACCTTCACCACCAACTTGCGAAGATCCTCGTTGGAAAAAAGACGCAATTGCAGGCCCAGCTAACTGGCGAGGATTGTTGATGAGTTGCTTCCCAACCTGAGGCCCAACGTATGAGATCACAACATAGTTAGACTTGACAACTGCCGCAGATGAGCGCAGATTTCTCTCTTGAAGGCTAATTCAGCTCTCTTAGCCATGTATAGCGAGTTCCAGTAGTGATTGACGATGATGAATTGGCAGTTCCTGGTTCATTGGTATGAGCGAGCCAAAGGCCCGCATGTGTTGATCAATGTATGTTCGGTTCTGTTTATTTTGTGAATGCCCTTCAAATAGAAACGTTTCTTTAAGCGACAGAAGCTGGTTCATCTCCAAGATATGAGATGTCAATGTGTAACTTGGGTAAAACTGGTGGCTGAGCAGATCTTTGGCCGATGTAACCACAGAGGATTATGCACCATGGCCATGAAGGAGGCAGTTTCCAGAGCTCATCTGTGGTTTTATGTCAGTCAGAACTGCAAAACAGCTAGTACCATGTTGACTGTCTCTACGACTAATTATCAGGAGGAAGGTTCACATGGAGTGAGTTCATCGCTCCCATCTCATCTCCGCATATACCACCTCGAATGATTCATGGTACCACATCATAATCGTACTGTGATATAGTGGCATTTTCAGTAAACATAGACAGTCGATGCAGTAGAATGGCACCATGAGCCATCACCAGTGGTGTAAAGGGAAGGGTTGACCATGTGGCTTCGCATATATCGGCTACTTTGGAAAGGATTTGGTCGGCCATATTCGTGAGACTGTGCGTGACTGTTGAGAGCGCTTTAGGTGCTTGTGTCATAACATCAGACTGAAAAGCTACAGGCCCTTAGGTGCTGCCATCTTCTCCAGGCCATGTACATACGGCTGCAGTTCGATTGTAGCCTCAGAAGTAATCAGTTGGATTTCCGCCACGACCAGACAGCAGCCTCTGATCGGTCTCTGTCCATATATAGCATAGTAGGACTTGTATAATGAAGCGGAGTATCGTAGGATGCTAGACCCAGGACAAGCAGGGTCATCGACCGCATGCATAGACAATCTAACAGCAGAGCAATAGACCAAACCGAGAAGCACCTCGAATTCATGTGACTTTGACCCTTTAACAAGAGAACAATTGTTGGCATCTGGGGCGACTGTTTGCGCATGCAATTCCGGCTGGCTGCCCCAGCAGCAGGACGGTAGGTGAGCAGATTGTCTTACCAGACGTTTGCCTTTTTTAGACCCCGTCTTGGATTATTCGTCATACCGATACACCTCAATGAACCCCTTTTTTATAGTTTCTTCGCCTTGTTTAAGAGGGATTTTGGCGTATGAGTCAAACGTAGGTGACGCCCATACTGGCCATCTTCGTGGCGATCCGAATATATACAGCGAAGATCGGTGGTTGTCGGACAAACCGAGCACACGATGCATGAACCGATACAGGGCTTCAACTAACGCCCAGTCCATCATGGACTTACCCCAGGGTCTCTTCACACGGATAAATTTGATAGATGGGTTGTCTCGGCATGGCAGCATTGTCACATAGCGAGATATCAGCCGGGAACCGAAACGAGGCACAGGAATGAATTAAGGCTCTTCTTTTTGCATCATTTTCTGCGTGCCAGAGGCGATGTATCAGCTATTTTGAGAGGAAATCTGGGAAGGAAAAGCCACTAGCATTCTGATATATCTCGTATGTTGAGAGCCTTGCGATTCGAAGTCGGATTTTAATCGCAGACTTAGGAGTCTTTCAGACTGTTCCCTGCTATGTCCAGTGATACTGCAGAACAACAGCGCTCGTTGCATGCGTGGGAACTGTGATACCATAAGACTTCATATCATCACTGTCTGTTTTAGCTGCGTATATTCATATGACGGTTTGTATATAACGCATGTCGATACTGAATGGCTTTTATATCGTTTAGCCTTTCTTTTGTGTGCTGGGTTCTCCAAACAATGCTTAGCCCAAGCGTATTCAACCCTGTTTGCTTGGTAGTTTTGCAGGTCTGACTTGTCATGTTTTATATATTTTTGGCTTTGGATTCAAATTTTTTCAGGTGTGGTGATCCATTTGATTGAGGATCCACGATATAGATAACTAGCAAAGTATTAGCAATGGTCATTCATGTGATTAAATGACAAATACCTAGAGAGAATGTTAATAAAAGCTATTTTATAATCCTCCCAGTGGCTGTTTCCATCGAAGACAGCCAGACATTAGCAAACGCCATGGCCAAAACTCTGTTGCACGATGCCGCAGCATGTATGGTTCATCCATTGAGACGGCTCTTTGGTTAGTAAAGATCACCATTTTTTGTCCTCGATTCTTCCGTAATCTGTAAGACAGATATAATTGAATCGCTTCATAACGATTATTGTTATTTCTTCAAGGTTGAGGACTGAGAGGTTTCCAGTGGTCTTAACGCATGCTGGACGTCTGTAGGGTGTATTCGTAGGACTTGTTCTTCCTAGGGATTTCCCGATATACTGTGATAAATCCATATTGTAGGAATATCGTGGTAACGTTCTACAAGGAAAGTTTCCTAGACGGTTCATACCCGGGCGATAGGGCTCTAAAGTCCTCTGTGCCATTCGTCTTGCTGAAGTCGCCATCATTAGCCATTTATGGTCGAATGAGGATGAAAGCAGGAGCGATGAGGTCAAGAGTGAGTATAGCATTTGTAGTAAGAGTAATGGCAGTAGACTGTATTATAATTCATTAGCACACTTTATCATAGGGATATAAGTGCTATACTCACCCCTAGTCAGGCTTCAACATCACTGTACATGGTCCAGCTTGCATCTTTCTCAGTGCCATTATGATCCATGCTAACATCAACAAAGCCAATCAGACTTTGAATGTTCCATATGCGCTAGCCCAGAGTCATTTTCATTGTATTGCCATTGAAGCACCAGTGTCAAAGAGGCTTTAGTGAAGCTGGTCCCCCTCAGTCTGGCAAGGACCTGGTGTGTGCTTAAACCACATCCTTAATCTCTGATATCCATCGAGGACGACTATGAGCCCTCATTCTAATGAAATTCCTGCTGTAACTTCACACAGTGGTCGTGTCCGCTTGCATAGCTATCAAGTCTGACCTCCAGAAAGTCATGACCCATCACACATGTTGTTCTTCCACAGTCTTCGCCTTCGAGAATCCTGTCGCACCCAGTTGTAATATTGTTAGGTAAGTGCATCGAGCTTGTAAATGTGTCCATGCTTGGTTTGCATGACTTGTAGAATGGATACCGTTGGCTGGGCTATCCTACGGACAGCTAAATCAACCAGATTCTGAGTGACAACTGAAGTGTTTCTAGTGTTCTGGTGTGCCTTACGATGCGGAAAGACAGTTTTGGCTCCGCTCAGCATCCATCTGCTGGCCTATCTGGGTAATGGTGGCTGCCAGCTCGTGGCCGTGGATCAGCAGTTGACTGGAGTCGATCGAATATGCTCGCGTATCTGCTGAACCGCTGCAGTCTGGTTCCCAAAGGTTCTGTAGATTTGCAGCATGGATTGGGTGGTTTGGCATCCGAGTGATACGTAGGAGCCAGATTTTTCCTGCACCAATCGCGCTATCCAAATATTCATGTTCCGCGCTCAGTGGTTCTGGTGCTTTGATAGAGGTGTTAGATGGCAAAACAGGAATTGAAATATAGCGACCAATCTTGCAGCCTCCATTTGGTAACTGCTAATTATTTGTCTTCATATGATTATTGATCCACTCCAACGATTCGCTTTCCTGGATTTATTGTGTCGGATCTATTCCTAAGACTCGGGGGGAACCACTGCCAATGAGGCCGACTGCGGTATGCCGGGCTTGTAGGTAATGTCCACATCCGAGGAATTGACGGAAAATCCACTATTATCATGAGCCGGACAGTCTGAATCTTAGTCGTGTTTGCTCTTGGACAAACAGCCACTCAACTAACTGTGCTTCCAAAGGCTCGAGGACCGTAATTGTATCTGTAGAATTTGATGTATCGCCCGATAGCAACAGCACCGTAGACAAGGGATCCGGGAGCGTGCTGATGGCCATGGAAAGCAAAGAAGGTTGCCAGCCCGCTGGCTCACGGTAATCAACCTCTGATTCTCGTAATCTTTGCGAACCCCAACTGTCTAGAAGTTGGGCATACAAAGACCAGTATAGAACCTGTGGTGTAATCATGAGTAAAGAAAGCAACAGTGGGAAATCAGAGCAACAAAATCAATGGTGCTCTTTATGACTGTCACTGCTGCGTCGATTCTTCACGACGGGCCTATTTGAGATGTCCTGTTTTGAGTCGGAATGACACCGGGTTTCGGCGCAAGTACTGCTACCTAGTTCTCGATGTTTGACCATCCGGATGAATTTATCACCTTTGGGATACAGGTTAGTATCGGAAGAAGGTGGAATAGAAGGGCATACCCGCTTGTATACATATACACTCATCATTTCAATTCCCATCTGCATCCATGAAGCAAAGATTGCCTCTTGGGTAGATACAATGACCCATCCACCCACCCGCCTTGACTTTTCATTCCTCTTGATGGTCATGATAGCCCTGGTGTTGCACAGGATTAATATGCCTCGTTGGAGGTACCATTGCATTTCTAGAGTACTTGTAATCAGCACTATTCAGGTCTGCAATGGAAGGTACTGTACCTAGGTTATCCCTGGGTTCGTCTGCAGACTCCGAATAGAGATTCGTATATATATTGTCGATGTGCCATGTGGGAGATTTTGCAGGTTTTTGATGTCTCCAGGCCACGATTTGGTACTAGTTATGGCGAGTCTCTGTCAGTCCACGCTCATTGGCCTCCGTATGAACACTGACCATCGAATTTTGATTTCTCAAAGTATCTTGTCAACCACAGCCCGAAGGGATAATGGCAGATGACAGAACGTGGTGACCATATTGTCCGTGTGGGGGGTCCCATGCCCCTTCATCGCGTAGGATTTAGCTTCTCAGATAGCAGAGTTGCGCAATGGTGGGTAATTATTTGGAATTCTTCTGATGCAGAGATCATATATAAGTGGCGTTCAGTTACGCATTTTTTCAGACTGTTCATGAGTCAGATGAGCGTGTCTTATGTAGCATATGGCCATGAATAGGGGATGATATGGATTACTTACTTTCGCTTGTAGTTGATATTGGGAAACGGCCCAGGATGTATGAATGCATGTCAAGTGGCCATCCATGAAAAAGTCGAGGTCTGCCGGAAAGAAAGCCCAACCTGGGTTGAGCTGGTTTTTGAAAATCCTATGGTCTCTTTTACTCATCTGAGCGTTCTCGGGGGTGTGTCTAAGTATTGCCGCTCCCACACATGAATTGAAGATGGTGGAGCCTGGATGGGATCTTTAGGAAACAGCACATGAAAGGGAGCTTTCATATGAATCATTTAATATTGGTTTGCCAATTGTTCAAACCAACGATAGTGTCCACTCTAGGTGTATTGTTGTATTGCCACCAGAAACCGACCATTCTGCGCCTGGGTTAAAGCTGGGAGGGACATCAGTCAGAGGACAGCTTTTGGGGTGTTGTTCGGGTTTGATACTCACGGTTTTTATATTTCGATATTGCAGTAGAGAAAAGACCGGCTTTATTGAGCAGTGCTATTGGAACGACGTTGACTGTAAAAAACCTCAGTGTTTGGTGATAGATCAATACCACCACATTTAACTTCCAGGTAGAATGACCAGAATCGGTGTGGTCTTGAAATCCGTTTCCACCGTCAATTTTTCTCTATTTCTCTCTCCATCTGACCAGGGCCACTGCAATTAAAGAAAGAGTAGCTCCGATGGCAAGCCGGGAGAAAGACAGTCCTGTTCGTTGCTTTGCGTTTCTGCCATTCAGTGCCTCGCCTCCCAGTGTTATCTTCATTTGCTCGTTTTAAACTTGTTCCTATAGTCCTTGTCTCAGCAAGTTGATGCCCGATGGAAAGGGACAACCGACATACCTTGACTGTTCTTTTGAATATAGAATAGAGACTTTCCTCTTTTGCACTCATCTCCTCTATGCCACATACCACTGACCCATGGACGCATCCCTTACCGGATAGGGTTGTAGCACCATCTTATCGTTTGCATGAGATCTCGTTCTCAATTTTCAAGAATAAATTCCAGTGGGAGTGGGCGGTGCTGTGCAGGACATGCAACAATCCTGGCAGCATCATGTGCTTATTGGGCGGCAGAAGCCAACGGGTAATTGGGTATGTGGAGAGGATCTGTCCATAAGAATCAATATCATCACTTTAATCTGATACCAAGACATTCCTACTTACATTTCGCTTTCCATGTCTGGCAAAAATGAATAACTTTTCTCCTGCTCTCGAGGTAGACTGCGCGGTGATCTTCTCGACTGGGATCTCCCAGTCTATGTGCATTCCAGGTGCCAAAGTCAGGCTGAGCAACCGGTTCATCAATATGTTTATCTGCTAGGCGGCTGTTAGAACTGCAGACTTAAAACGTATTAGCAGAGTAGCTCACGCAAAGATAATAATTCGTCCTTTTTCTCAAATCTTCGGCTTCCTCGGGGTGCTCAACGTTCCCAGCGTGCTCAGCAAGCTCAAGCCCCGACCGACTGAGGTGTTGCCCGATCTCCAGGCTGTGTGCTGGAGGAGTGCCTGAAGGCCTTATATATGAGTAGAAGACATGCACCTCTCCAATGATCTGCTTGTTCTAGTCATTTGCTTTGTATAACTGCTTTCATGCTGAGGCCGATATTCCGCTGTCTTCGCGATTGAGAGTCGGTATACAGCACGATTGAAGACATATCCGCTGCTTTTCCGCAAAGGCCCGACGCAGAGTCGTTTTAATCGGTCTGACCCTATCTTGTAAAATGTTTCAAATGTTATCGATCACTTATAGTTGCCAGCCCACGTGGATACATATTTCCGTTCGAGTGTTTTCTTGTCGCTCTCACCGTTGAACAGCTTCATGAGTATACCACAAGAAGTAGTCCGCGACGACAGAAGTACGATTGCCTAGTAAGATATCGAGATTAGAAAGGACCAAAGATAGATAGAAATTAAAAGAAAGACATACCAGCTGCGCAGGGATAAGAAGGGTCTCAGATTGAATTGGCGTGATCTCATCTATAGCTTGGGCTTTGCTATTGAAATGCGAATGGCATCTGATAAATTGCCATGCTAATAACCACCAGAAATAACTTCAGTATAGTATTTAGAGCACAGACGAATAATTTCAAAGCCATCTTGAATATCGCTTGAGAGTCGCGAGGGTTTTTAGCGAGAATATATAGTAATGGTCAAGTATCTGGTCGGCCGACGTTATGCTCGGCATGGAACCCTTGTTCATTTTGACGTCGCGTTCAAGTACTTGACTCCATCTCTTGAGTGATAAGGCTTGTCAATGATATATATATATATATCCGGACCTAAAAGAGCAGAAAATGGGTCCAGCAACCGTGTTATTCCCTTTTGTATTCAGGGTAATATTATCGTCGGATAGTAGGCTGGGTGGCGCTTTTTAATCGTCTTTATGGGATTCCCCATGTTTTCCGATATGATCTTGCACGACTGGAAGGTGCCGATAAACGACCGCACCATGCTCGTTATGTCACATCTTCTTGCATGTCGCTGGGTATTTGACGAGACCACCAATGTGGTGAATTGTTCACGATTCATGGATACTCGATGGACAATCGGTTCTTCCTCAGTATCCGAAAACCGCCTGTGTTGGTTTTCATTTCCGTCGAGCTTGCAGAAGAAAGTAACTGTTTGCGCAACCAGGAAACCATTCAACAGGCTCTGGTATAAAAGGAGTCATCAATAGTAATTCGAGTTGACCGAAACCGACTGCATGAAAGGAGTGGTTGTAGTTCGTCACTGGCGCTATTCCGCATGCCTAGTCCTCTATTTGTATTCGCTTAGAATAGTGAGAAGCCAGCATCATCGAGCAAGGAGTATTCGTGCATCTTCTATGCTATGGTGGGTAGAAAATGGTTTAATTACTGCGCCGCCATAGCTTTGATGACTGCCCCAGGGGGGCAACCTGGCTTTCGGGACTTTCAGAGGCTCAAAGTGTGATGGCTGGGATAACTGGAAAACGCGTCGATATAAGCGTCATGGCTTTTGTTTAGGCTATACCATCGTATCAGTACGGATATCATAAAAGATAGAGAAAATCACCAACGGCCATAGCTCGCTTGCATTCCCATACCAGCAATACTCTGAAGTGCAGCAAATGCCACACGGGCTGGCACAGGAATCAATAATACCGATGGCTTCAAGTAGAACCCTCGTGGGATGTGCTGGAATCGCGGGGACCAGTGTTTCAAATGTGCTGGCGGACCTGGTTTGATGACCACGGTGAGAGAGGTATTTCACGAATTTAGCTCGAACGGACCAAGGTTGGTACACCACTACCGTGAGCTCGTTGTAGGTCAACTGCT